AATATTAATACACTGTTAGCATTGTAAACACAAGTAATAAGTAATCAAATACATTGTTTGCAAGAATCTCAAAACACAATGATGCCAAATGGCTTTAAAATACAACGGAAACAGTAACCCGGAAATTTAGGCGGTACCGAGCTTGCAGCGTTCCTTAGTGTAGAAAACACCAACCATAGGAATGTACTACGATATTTTCCCTTTTCTTAATACTTTTCCTTCCTTTTTAAATAACAAATATATTTTTTAAAATTTCCGAGATGATTTTCTTTAAAACTATGTTTAATGTAGTTTTCAGTGCCATATAGTTTTCCAACTTAAAAGATTTTGATCTACATGAAAATCAAGAGAGAAATTAACGTTGATGTTGTTAATTTACGTTGCACTAGAGCTGCACAATGGGCTATTGGCGACGGTCTGGGAAACATCCCGGAGGATGATCCGAAGACAAGCCATCACAATTTTGATCCTCTGCGGAGGGGAGAGAAACTAACGTAATTCCTAATCTACGATTTGCAAGCGCATAAAACTAACCAATAAAGTTCTCATTTGCATTAGAAAAAATTGCATTCAGTGAATTAGCGAAAATGCTTCTTCAGTTTTATGTAGAAGGATTTAAGCCGCGCATGCATCTACGTTTAAGCAAACGTAAGTAGTCAGAAGTGTTTCAACTGTGCATTTACAGCGCTAGGACGCGTTCGAACAGTAGACTCTGTTTAAACCGTTTTTCCAGTAGTAAGAGAAAACTGTCATTAACATATAAGATTTAAGTAAATAGTTATACTCTTTACATTTAATCAGTTCTACAGACTGAAAATAGTTACCACCAACCAAATCCTATTTTCTTGTGTTTATTAAATTATTTCTTACATGCTGCCGGCATTTTTCAATAAATGAAAAATGCTCTAAAAACAGTAAAAGTAAACTAGGAATTGCAATTATTCCACCAAGAACTTTCGTAAATACATCTTTTTTCGATCTTCATGTGCTGTGCTAAGTGAAAATTCAAATTTAGCTTACTTTCGTAATTGAGTATTTTGAAAAGAATATTTCTATTCATTTTTGTGTGTTAAACCATTAAAAGAAATAAATTTTATCCTGCTTTAATATCTTCGCACAATGTCATCTACTGCTATTATATTACCCTCTATAAACAGAGGGATTTATCGAACTGTAACTCAAAGTTTTTCTGGATTATTTGCATATGCCTCTCGTAACGACGTTTATTTTATCGACACTAAAACTATTCCTCCCACATTCTTAGATTCTCTTTATCTTCAGGATATTCACAGAAGCAAAATTGTCGTTATATCATTTTCTAAATGTGAGGGGGGACCAGATATTCTTGCCACCTGTTGTGAAGATGGAGAACTTAAAGTTTGGGATGTTATAAAGAAGTCTTGTTTAACGAAAGTTGAAACAAAAGGAGTAAGTTTGAACCTAAACATAAAAGTCACACAATTTACTTCTATTAATTCAAGGTTATTGTTTTGTTCTTTTCATAAATCAAATTATTTTAGATCATGTAAATAGAGCTAAATTGGTTTAGCTTCATTAACGTGCAAAATTATTCTAATTTTAAAATTCTAGTCTAAACTCACTATGTGGGACACCTTAAAATATTGATGAAATTTGTAGAATTAGGGATGTAACGAATATTCCATATTCAGCCCTTTTGCAAAATATTTGATTAGCCAAAAATCTGACGACAAATAATTTTTTTCTCCTTATGAATGGATTGAATACCTAAAGAGTAATCTAACATCATATTTTTTACTATACATGATTAGAATTAGTTTTTACACATATTGTTCTAAAACTTGCAAATTAACTAAAATTCTATCACTTTATGCAAACTGCGAGTTTTGTACTGAAATTTTTATTAATTCAGTCAATTTTGTCGTTTTTTTCGGCATTTTTGTTTTAAGAATTTTTTGTGCTTATTTGCTGTTTTTATTATAGTTCATCGTTTTAACGGGGAGCTTCTAATTGACTTAATTCTTTTAACATTACTTTTTTGCTGTACGTGAAGACAGATAACAGACAAAGAAAACTGTGATTTCAATATTAAAGTTATATTTAAAGAACTGAGAAATAACTTTTTAATCAGCTGATTTATAATGAGGCAGTATATTTTTAAAGTGTGTTTCTTATGAATATCATTCTTTTATCACAAGTTTTTTCTAAAAATATGGTATTGTGATAAAGTTAAATTGGGATTTTTAGCTTTGAATTTCTCATTTAAAAATTAAGAACGTGTTTTGTTTTGGTTTCTATCTCTATTTTTCAAGAAACTTCCACGTTTTTAATAAATGTAAGAAGTTTTCCACAAGACTTAATTCTTTTTTTTTTAAGAAAATATCCTAATTGGAAAATTGAGGTGTTCAGATTTAAAATTTTCATTTAAAAATTAGGATTGATTTTTATTTTTTACATTTTGTTTTTGTATATAATTTTTTTGGAACTTTTTATGATAATGAGGCATATTTGAAAGCTTTTCTGATAGTAGGTTCTCTTTTAAAATTTTATGTTTACTTTTTTTAAATATACTTTTTCTTTCGGAAAATATTATTTTTAGTATGTTTTGTTTTGAGAATTGAGAGGATTTTTTCCTTCTTATTTCTCTTTTTTACAACTATATTTATGATCTTTTTTAAATAGCTGTCACTTTTTTTATTATGTTAAATATTTCTAATGGATAACTATTATAGTTTTTTTCTCACTTTACCTTCTACCAATAATATAATTTTGACAGTTTTTTAATAATGTCTAAAACTTATTTATTATGAAAAGTAATATTTATGAATGTTTTTATTTAAAAATAAATAATGTTGCTATTCAATTGCCGAACATTCAGTATTCGTCCGATTTTTTTGGCCGAATATTCGACTATTTGGCCAAATCACTATTCATTACATCTCCAATTTTGATCCATTAATTTTTTTAAAAAATCATCAAAGTAAAGGACCAATAAGAAAAATAAAATTTCTCACATTTTTATGGATTTTGTGTGGTACCTATTCCTAAATAATAAAATAATTTAAAATATTTTTTTACAAGCTTCTTTAATCTTTACCTTATATCTTAACTACTAACAAATAAGCAAAAACTGCAAATTTCTTTTAAAAACAAAGTAATGATGACTTCCTGATGATAAAAAAAAGCAGTTGAAGCTTAAATTTATATTTACTACTCAATTGAAATTACATAAAAATAGGTCTTTTTTTCTTTCTTTTTTTTTCTTTCTTGGTAGTTTGTATTAAGGATCAGTTTGGGCAAATATGAATACTTTTTGACACTTTTTATGTTTTCTTAAAATAATAAAGCTAAGTGTGTTAATGGCTTAGGGTAATTATTTGAATTGTTTCAAAAAAAATAATTGTGTGTAGTCAAAATGGTTATTAAAAAATTTTTTTAATTGAAAACTTATTTAAAACAAAAAATACATTTTTAAAGAAAATAATGCAATTACTGAATTGGATAACATTTGTCTTCCTGTATTGTTTCTGAATTCATAATTCTTATGTGCATCATGAGGTGAATCAAGGTAACCCAACCTTGGGGTATCTCAGTCCACTGTTCTTTTTTCTTTTATTTTTAATAATAACATAAAAAATGACAATATTTCATAAGAAATTATGAATGAGGAGCAATAGTCAATTTGTTTTGTAGAGAACATAAAACTACATAGATAATTTTGATAAAATAAAAATTGAAAACTGGACTAACGAACCTCTTTAAAGAAACAATGAAATTGAAAAAAATGGATAAGTATGACAAGCGAAGCTGACATCTTCGGGGGGTACCAGCTCCGGAAGTTATAAAAGCAAAACCTTTTCTATTGAGAGAGCATGACAAAAAGTCTAAAATTGCTCTCTCTGTACCCCCAAAGGTTTTGCCAAAGTCCAGGAAAAGAATATAATACATAAAGCAAATACAGAAGAATAAAAACAAGACAAATACCAAAAATCCAATAACCAGATAACACAACTCATTGCGAAACATTATGTCTCACAGTCAGTTGTGTCATTTGCTTTATGTATTTTATATTATGTATTATATTCTTTTCAAGGACTTTGGGGTACAGAGAGAGAGCAATTTTAGACTTTTTGTCATGCTCTCTCAATAGATAAGGTTTTGCTTTTATGATTTCCGGAGCTGGTACCCCCTGAAGACGTCAGCTTCGCTTGTCATATTTATCCATTTTTTTTTTCAATTTCATTGTTTCTGTTGTTTCAATTCCTTTCGGATTCACTGCTGCTTAGCAGGATTTTCATAGAAAACATTATTTTTAATAGCTTTTAAAATTTTGAATTCTTTTCTTAACCTTTTAAGAGTTTTTTTTTTTTAAATATTAAAACAGTAAAGATTTTATTATAAGGTAAAATACTATTAAATTCTCTACTTTGTCTTTAAAATTGAGAACAGCTGTCTGTCAAATAAGTAAAAATTGAATCAGGTAAACATTGTTTTTCTACAGGAATTGAAGTTAGAATCTATTTCAAATGTTATAATCTTATATGTAAACAAACATAGTTACCTATGTGTTACACACCTAATTATTTTTCTACTTATAACCGTGTTTTTATTTTACTAAAGGCGTCATATTGCTCATTCAGATATTTTCGTAGATATTCTTTTTCTTATCCACCTACAAGTTCTAATATAATTTAGGGCACCTACTGTTATTTTTATTATCTGCTTATTTTTTAGACAAATGTTCTCGAATGGGTTTATGGTAGCCCCGATACTCTACTCTTTTCACGTGATGGGAACTTTCTCATAAAATGCATAGTGACACGGAGCTCTCATATAAAGATTAGGACTGCTTCTGAATTTAATATCAGTGTGATTTGTGCAAGTCGTACCAATCCAGAATATGTTGCAGCAGGGTAAGTTATTCTTAGGTCACTCTCTAGTATTATGGATGTGTGAAAAATTGTGCAGAAATTTACCTGCTGTATCCTATTATAATCTCCATGGCAGAATCACGGCGGCACTGTCACAGAACGCTACAGAGTTCTTGCAGAAAGAATTTTCCTTTAGAAAGTAAAAAATTTTGATTTCTTTTGTGCAAAAATTTTGGAAATTTTTTTTTCTTTAAAATTATATTTAAAAGATGCCTTTTTCGCTTATCAGAGGAAAAGAAATGTTCTTAATTTTTCAATTCTTATTTGAGAAGAATGAAAAATAAAGAATATTGAAGGAAATTTTTTTTTCTGTAGAAATGTTTGAAAGATTTTTTTCCCTCCACAATTATACTCAAGAGATACCTTTTTCACGCATCAGAGGGGAAGAAATGCTCAGAGAGGAAGAAATGCTGCTGATTTTTTTTAATTCCCTTTCACTTGATTTTATGATTTTTAGTTATTGTTTTTTTTTATGTGATGATGCTTTATGAAATGCGAAAAAAGAAATAATTAGTGTATATTAAAATGTGAGAATATCGCCCATGGTATTAGAGTAAAAAAATATTACATATTCATTTAAAATAAAAAATTAATACATACAATTTTATTCTATCCAAATAGGCTTTTCTTTGCAAATACAACGTTTCTGTTACTTTAAATTTGATTAATAACATGTTTATCAGTTATTATTAAAAGTATCTTGCAGAAAGATATTAGTTCTAGAGAGGTTTGTCGCAGAAAGCCAAATAAATTCTGCCACGGGGATTATAATAACAAAACAAGTGTTTATTGAAGCACAAGACTGTAGATACGGCATGGAGCCAGTGAAAATTACCAAGGCCCAAGACTTTTGAGCGACCCATCAAAAGATCTAAATTATGTATATTTTGCTACAAATTGTAATTTTTTAAAGGTCCCAAAATTAATTTTCTTCCACTGGTTCCATAGGGAGAAAAGAAAATATCATTAAGAATTTGTAAACATGCTTTTGAAAAAAGTCTTTCTTTAATTTTTAAAAAGAATATCTAATAGTGAAACTTTATTTAGGTTTACACATTTTATTCAGCCTATTTTTATTTTATAACCGTTGTTAAACAGCCAACACAATTTTTCGGGTTTACAACTTCTAAAGTTCAACTCCGTAGCCATGTCATTTTGAACCCAATCCAAAGGGAATGAGAACTCCTGGATTAAGTATTGGGAGAAATTTGCCTTCATTGAGGACTTTTAGATGGAACTTTGCGTTACATGGAGAGGAAAAAACCCCAAACCTCTCATGGTTAGCCTGACAGCAAGGGAACTTTAACCCATGATCCTTCTACTAATGAGAATATTTTACGTCAGCACTGTGGTTGGTGTAAGCCGAATGCGGAATTTGTTTCAACTCACCATCACTGGGATTTGAACCCGGTTTACCTCATTGGAAGGCGAACGTTCTATCCCCTGAGACATCACGGCTCTATTCAACTTATTTGTATAATTTATCAAGCATGTGATTCCTCTGCTAATGCATGGAATTCTGCGAATCTCGAGACCGTTGATTTGCGGACTGTCGCCAATCAATAATTTATATTCGGACAAATTTTTCTTGAAGTTCTGCTATTCTAAAATTTAAATTTTATTGCTTATGCAAAATCTTGTGAAGAAGACATTTTATACCATCCTTACCAGTACCCTCTTTCCTTTTTCTAAGTTCTTATTCAAGCGTGATAACGATTGCTTTTAAGCAGATTTGTTTTAGAAAAGCTCAATTTCAGATAAGATTTTAGAAAACTATTTTTTTTTTTTAAATTTCATAGTTACTTCTGCTTGAATTAATGAACTACTGAGGCTAACACAAAGGTATAAAATTGATAACCTTAAAAGTAATTCTGAAATGACAAACATTTGAATGATCGTTTTTTTTAATTTTTTTAAAGTTTAATTTTAATGAGTTGCAAATTCCAATTAGTGACCGAAGAATTATTTTATCAATATTGTATATTTGCCCCCTTTTTTTATTTGGCTATAATTAGATAGAATTTTTAATATGATGTTATGACATGAAAATTTCAACTCCTTCTATACCATTGTAAATCCGTTCTTCAATATTTTTTTTTCTTTCCATTTGCAGTTAACGCAATTGGTTTTTTCATTGTTTTTAAGATTCCAATTTTTTTACGACACAAAATTCAATTTGTGTATTTATTAATCACTTTCAACATGGCGATGCCTCTGTTTTTTCGATCAACTTTTTCTCAGTTATTGCTTCTGTTATCCATGGTTTTTTAAAACCTGACGTTTTCATATGATATTTTGAAGAAATGGGAAATTTGAATTGTATAGGAGTCGTTTGTGTAATTACTTTTTGACACGCTCGTTTTGCTTTAAACTGATCTTTTTTCTTCTTCTGTTATTCCTGTTGATTTTTCACATAAAATTTTTAAACTTTTGAACTTAACTATGATACAGGAAATTCAAATTGCACACCTGAATATCCACTCTTTGACACAATAATTATACTTCTTTTTACTAGTAAATTTTGCAGACACTATAATGGTATTATATCTGTTATTAATGTTGTTCAAGAAAATTTAGTTCTCAAGCTCAAAGCTCATCATGCTGAAATTACAGATATTTCTTTTAGCCATGAATCTTGGAGCCTACTTTAAAATACTGTTATAAAATTGAATGATTTTTTTTAATGTTTTGTTTGGTTTATTTTATGATGTACAAATATTAATAATTTTTGCAGGCACTATAATGGTGTTATATCTGTTATCAATATTGTTCAAGAAAATTTAGTTCACAAGCTCAAAGCCCATCATGCTGAAATTACAGATATTTCTTGGAGCCATGATTTTTCTGACATGGTGAGATACATTATTGCCTATTTAATTTTTGCTGCAAGGAAAATTAATGTATTACTTTTTTAATTTTTAGGACTAAAAATTTTTTTTTTCAGTATAAACTTATTACTTTTCAGCAGTGTAAATTTCAAAGTATACAGTGTTTTCACTACAGCGCGAGAATCTTGCATATTTTTTTCTTTTCTCACATTAAAAAATTATTAACGCGAGAAGTTCGCGCACTCTATTAATCAATTTTAAAATGCTCGAATTTCGGAAAAAATTTCGTCTTCTGCTATTTTGAATGAAATCTGTCATTTTTAAAAAGACATGAAAACAGCTACGACAAGTGTTCAGAAAAAAAAAATTTGTCCTTTATAATAAGTTGTTTAAAGTTAGCTCTTTTTTTAGCTGTTAATGAATTACCTAACTCCCTCATCGACAATTTACAGCAATTTGTAAAAGTTGAAGTCTGTGAAAACTATGCTGGAAGACCTAACAAGAAGAATGAACATGGAAATAACTTCAACGAATTTAACTATTCTATAACAGAAATAGTTGAAAAGCCTATGCTGGCAGATGTAGAGGATAGGAAAGTGTGTGCACAATGCTACAAACTTAATTAGTGATTCCGAATAGTTCAGCATCTGTTGCAAGGTCATTTAGCACCCAAAACCGAATTAAAACAATATGTCATAATAGATTGACTGATGAGCATTTGAGCAACCTAAGGAGAATAGCTGATGAAAAAGAAGATATAGAACATTTTCTATATGATGATGCAGCAGAAATATCCAATGGTTTAGAAATTAGAAGATGTTAAAAGTGTATTATAATTAAAGAAATTTTTTTAAGTCTATTCGTGTTTTTTTAATTTTTAGAAATCTCACTTAACTTTTTGAAATCTCTCCCAGTTTTTAAGAAAGGGTGAGAAATTCTCTTCCATTTTTTTCTGTAATGAAAACACTGGTCTATCATAGGATAATACTTGCTTTCCCATTCTCGTCTATGAAAAAATATTGTTGGTAGAAATTGGGATTTTAATAGATTAATATTTTTTTGAACCCTTTATTAAGTTCCTGTTTAATAAAACATAATGAAGTTAATATTTAGCAACTGTTTAAAAAACAAATGCTTCTTTTTTCTTTTTAATTTTCTGTAAACTGTTGAATAATTAAAATGGTTTTGTTTTACATATCGGGATGCTTTTTTTGTTTTTGTTTTTTTGTTTCTTAGATTTATGTATACTTCATTACTTAAATATGTCCTTAAATATTTGTTCTTTTTATTTGCTTTCATTGTTCCCTCACATAGTTGGAAGGGAATTTTTTTTCTAGTTTCAATTGGATAACAAGCATTCGTGTATCCAAATGAGTTTGAGGGTTAAAGAAGAACTCTTCTTTTCATTATATTTTAATAAGAAATGCATTTTTGATCAGTTTAATTGACTCAGATATTTTATGTCATGTTTCAATTCGTGTGCAATTTTTTATTTCTATAAAAAATTGTTCAAGTTTAATTATTTTATTTACTAAGACTTATCCTGAATTAATTCTACTCTCTCAAGAAATATATACAGATTTATCTTTTAAAATTAGCAATATTTTTTTTTTAAATAAAGTTTTTTTGTTTTGGCATTTAAAATCTTGTTTAATTTTTTAACAATTTCGTGACATGCAAGGCACATCCTTCTTGTGCAAGTAGTAAATTTTTTATTGTTTTGACTTTTCAGAATATGTATGTATATATTTTGCCTTTTTTTCCCCACTGTTTATATCAAACTAAATGTATTTAGTTTAAATACCTAAAATCTTTTACAGTTGCTATCATTCAGCTTGGATCTGTCTGTGCGTTTGTGGAAATTAGGAGAAAATTCACCCCAAAATACTTATTATGCTCCTCATACAAAATCAAGGAATGATGATAAAAAAACCCAAAGACTGTTTGGGATGTTCCATCCTTCTAAACCAGATGTCATTATATGTGTTAATACCAAGTATGTTTTCTAATAGATTAAAAACATTTCAGTAATTTTACTAATTTTTTATACCTGTAATTATTTTACACTTAAAATTATTGGCTTTATGATAGGCAGATTAAAATATTTTCTACACACTTTAAATACAGTATTTAATGATATCCATAAGCTGTTGCTCTCTTTAAGTGGCTCTTTTACTCATTGTTACGTATTAAGCAATACAGTCAATTGTTGATAATAATTAAGTTGTAATACGGCCAGTTATTTAATGATTGTCATATTCAGAGTGTATTTTATTCATTTTCATTGTTTGGCACTTTAATGAAACCCCAATTTTATGACACTTTAATTTTTAACCACCCTACCCTTCAAGCTGAGAGCGATTAGCAGAAAGATTTTGTTTTCAGTACTGAAAGCAGAGCCATCGCTGCATGGCTAGCATTTTTTTCAACCAGAAATGAATTAACCCACAGTGGCCAATAAACAGAGACAATTAACAGCACAGTCGCAAAAGTTGGGGGTACAAAAGTCTCACTTCATGTCTTTTGACTTTCTTTTTTTTTTTTTTTTTTTTTTTTTTNTTTTTTTTTTTTTTTTTTTTTTTTTTTTTTTTTTTTTTTTTTTTTTGGTGCTTGAATGTAGAAGGGGACAAACAAACGGGGTGGCATCTTGTGTTCTTCCAGGAGTTTCTGTTTTTATTTTCTCCCTTGAATTTAATTACATTCAAGTACCTTTGAAATTGTCTTATGCTCAAATTATATATATTCTAATTATTCTGTACATGCCATGTGTGCAAACCTTTTCACTAAATTGTCAAAACTATGTAGGCTAAATTTTTAACAATTAATAAACTTAGTACTCTAAAAATTTTGACCATTATTTTAGCCTGAATTAACTTTTACTAATCAATTTTTTATAATCTTAATCTTTCTTTTTTTAGATGAAACATCCTAGTTTTCACTTAGTAACTTAAATCAGTCTTAACTTATTTTTCTTTTTACCTTATGTTGTATCTTAAGTTTAAATCTATGCAATCAAAATGTTACTCAGAATAAATAGATACGACCAACATATCTTTGCTGTTATCCCACTAACCAAAGCTGATAAATTGTTCTTATTTTTAAAATGTAATATTTTAATACCTTGTATTATGTTTCACTAATTTTTTTTCCAAAGTGTTAATAGTATTGTTTCATTTCAGGGGAGAGGTTGGAGAAATCTCAATGAAATCTGAAAACTCCAAATTTGTTTCATACTTGATGAAAAATTCTGAAAATAATATAAGGTATCCTATTGCTCTGTTCCTCTCTTCTAACAGAGAATATTTATATTGCTGGGATTCATTTAAGGTATGAAATTATATATTTTTTATATTGCTCTTATTCAAGATTATTTTTATCTAAATTAAACAAATGTTAAAAGCCGTGGAAAAATATAGAGCAGGAATTTGATTCTTCCGCTAATTCACTGAATTGCACGAATCAAAAAACTTTTGAGTCATGGACTTTAGCGAATCAATAATGTATAATTGTTAATTACTACAATAAATTTTTGGAATTCTGCTGATCTGAAATTCGCATTTTGAAATTTTTTTACTTACGCAAAACCTCGTTAACAAGACATATATTTGGATAAACTTCAAGAACTTGAGACGGAAAAAATTCTATACCAACTTCGACTACAATTAATAAACCAATAACGCAATAAAATTGATAATCTATAAAGTAATTCCTAGATAGCAAACATTTCAGTGATCATTCGCTAGAAAGAATGGTGTTTTTCTCATCTCTTTTAAATTAAGTAGCACTTTTATTACAAATTTGGATTTGTAACAGAAGAATCATTTAATAAATGGGATATATTTGCCCCTTTTTTTATTTGTCAATAACTAGATTAAATTTATTTTTAATATGATATTACAACATAATGTTGAATCACGCATTTCCGTTATAACTTTTATATTGTCATAAAGTCATATTTAAATTTTTTTAAAATTCTGATATTTTTACGACAAACAAAATTTGAATAATGTATTTGAGTAATATCTTTTTGATGTGCTCGATTTGCTTTCAGGAAAAAATTCAGATAATTTATTCTTTCAACAATCACTTTCCTGACAGAGTTAAGAAGAGTAATAAATTCTAACTTTTTACCGTTTGTCCAAAAATGTTAAGTCTATTTTCAAACCTTTTATTTTCTTCCTCTTCTAGAAATATTCTAAAAATAATTTTTAAACTCTTGATTCAGAATTTTTTGAGAGTAAGTAAATTGTGCAATATATATATGTATATAAATGAATTAATAACTTGAACTTCGGACCACCTCAAATAACCACCTTTGGATATAATGATCAGATCTTCACGTTCTAGCACTGAATCTTAATGGTTCAATGAACCTCCAAAATATTGCAGGTGGCTGTAATATTGGAAATATGGTCTCCATAATTTGGTCAGGTGCGCAATTCAAAGTTTGGACCCCAAAATGTCAATTTTACTTTTTGTGTGTTTCACCATATTTCAAGAAAATTTTAAAAGAATTTAGAAAAATTTTGCGCACATTTATAAAATCTGTTTATTAAAAGATAAAAAGATAATTTTATGCAAAAAATAAAGTTTAATCAATGTTTATTTTTTTAATTATTTTTTTATATTTATAGTCGGAAAAAATCTTGAATTGTAAAGTACACGATGTTTTACATAATTTTTGAAATATTCAATTTCACATGACAAAATAATAATTGTTGCGAAATCTATTTAATAGTTTCTAAGAAATTGAATTTTAAAAAACATTATATATTTAAAATTTGAGTTCTCAAACACTATTCAACTAATTTTGCTCTAACTTTGTATTTTGCCATGCAAAATTACTTACTCTAAAATGATGTGAAAAATTTTAAAATTTTTTAGACTATTATTGGAAAATAATGTAATAAGAAGCAGTAAATATTTTATAAAATTTATTTTTGTTCATAAAATTATTTTTAGATAAACGAATTTTACAATTGTGTGCAAACAATTTTTAAAAATTTGTTTTAAAAGTTCTTGAGAAATGGTGAAATACACAAAAAGTAAATTTTTTATATTGTTGACCATATTTCCTATATTGCAGCCACCTTCTATATTTTTGGCGTTTAGAAATCCGAATCTGTTGACAAAAAGGTATGTTTAATCAGAGAAAGTACCTTTTTGTGCCTGATTTAAATGTAACTAAAATATCTTTGTCTTGATTTAAATGTAACTTAAAATATTCTCTACATGAATTAATTAACATATTTGAGATCACACCCCCTCGAACCTTTAAGTTCAAGTTCTAGAACTTGAAGATCCTATTATTAGATCAAAAGTTATTCTTGGAAGTCCATTTTCTATTTTTTTCTTCTTCTTCTTTTTTTTTTGGGGGGGGGCACACTGTACATCATCATCAAGTTTTCAATTTTGTCATAACATCCAATACCCTTTAGAAAAAAGTTTCTAAGTTTAAAATTTTTTTCCTGTAAACCTGGTAGAAGCATCTATTTCAGCAAATGAGAATGTAAACTTTATTTTTGCATTGTTGTGTATGTTGAATTGCCATTGCCACTTAGTATTTTTTGGGTCTTAAAATTTTATTATCAAGAATTTAACCTATATACACGATTTAATACAAAGGTAGAACATGCCCAAATCGTTAAAGGCAGAATAATTCAAAGTAAAGACTGAAATTTCACTCCATCTGATTCCTCTAAATAAGGAATGCTATTAAGTTAGAGTGGTAATTTTTAATTTTCGCATTTGTTGTATATCTGAATTTATCATGTTAGTTGTTTCAACTTGTACCGATGATTATTATTATGAAATTGTAAAAGTAATTAATAAATAAAATGTTTGTTATTAATTGCTTCTGATTATTTGCTTTGTTTCAGTATTTTTTTGTTATAATTAATTCATATTAAAATTTTTTAGGTTACTAAACTTGATATTCTAAAAAAGGAATTGGTAACCAATTTTTTATTTGTAATGGGATTTGTTTATGATCTATCAGTTTCCAGAATTAATCCAAGTAAGAAATGTTATCAATTATTCAATTAATTACTTATTTGTTTGTTATTTAGGTTATTTTATTTTTAGGGATTAAGTCTTAAAATCTTCCGTAGTATTAAACTAAATAAAAATGCTATAAATACTAAAATTGTGGCTTTCCCAAATAATTTATAAATTGGTGAATGACTGAGATTTGATTGTCAGTTGTGACTTGAAGTCCATCAGATCAACTTACCTGAGAATTAAAGGCTTCTTGTTCATAATGCTGATGTTAATTACCATTATCAAGCTGTTGATTAAGAAATAACAATTTTTTTGAGCATTAATCAATCTTCATTACCCACTACTGGCTGTTGGAAAAATGTTTTACTTTTTAAAATGTTTGATAATAAAAAATCTTAATTAAAAATCACCTCTTTTCTTTCAAACTAAATAAATAAATTGACAATTGTTTCAAAATTTTGCAGATTTTTTTATTTTTTAATGGTTGAAAGGTGATAATGATAATAATTGAATTAAGAATAAAAGTTAACTTAAGGTTGAATTTAATCAAAATATTTTATTTCTCATTGAAACACATATTAAGCACTTTTTATTATTTCTCATTGAAACAAAAAAGTTTTTAATTCCGAAACTGTTTATTTATTTATTTATTTATTTTTTTTTTTGAAGAAAGACTTTTATATTAACTGCAGGCTTAGTTTGAACCATGCTTATGTGTAAGCATGCAGAATATTTTATACGAACTAAATTTTTTTCAAAATATAAACTTATTTCAAAACTTCGAATTATTTAAAATTTATATATATTTTTTTGATTGGATTTGCTTTTGTCAAAAAGTATGTTGTCTGTTTACCATTAAATACTTTAGGAATCGAAGTTTTAGCTTATTGTTTTTTGTTAGTAGTAAAGGTGTTTCTTGGAAGCTTAATATAAATCAATGTGTGGTATCAAACATAATTTTTTTCCTTCTACATAGCTTAAAGCTTTTGCAATGAAACTTTTTCTAATCTCTCTTCACCTAATCTGAACAGATTTGGTATCAAAATGATCAGAATATTCTGATACAAACCTGAGTAGGCCTGAAAATAGGAATCTGCTCATATTTTGGTACTTTTTCCCTGGTCATATCAATAGTCACTAAATTTATCCTGGCAACTAGAATATCAAAGCATAAGCTTAAATCATCAATAAGTGAAAACAATCAGATTATGATAACAAATTAAACTTTATATTTAAATATAATTTTTAAAAAAAATTTAAACATATGCAAATTAATAAACTTGAAGACAAGATGACATTTCTATATTAAATTATTTCCTAATGTTAGAAATATTTTGTAATTCTCTTAATTCTTACCTTTAATATAAAAATAAAGAATGAATTTGGTTTTTAAGTCTTGGGTTCCGAACTACAAGATTAACATCTAAATGTGTTTTGTTTGCAAAGGGTATATTGTAGTTCTAAACAATTAAAAACTAACTATGTATTAAATTTATTTTTGACGGTTCATCTTTACCTAGCTTACATCGTTATTCTTACGGTCTCATATATAATAGTTTCCTAAATTTTGTCATTTCATAATTATTACAGTTTATTAGAGATGAATTGTTTTCATATTGATTGCTTTTCCATAGTATTATTTGACAATATTAGTGTAAATATGTATATATTTTTATAATGTGAATTACATATTAACATCCAAAAAATGATTTATAATTTCTAGATAATCTATAACCATCTAATTTTCAAGCTTTTTGTTTTTAAAAGTGACTTACTTATTTAATTTGCATACATCTTCTTATATTTTCTTTTTTAATTTGATTATCTGTGTTACTCTGTACTTAAATGTTATTACTGTAAATGTTAAAATTTTCAGAGTTATTCCATTATATTAAATTAAATGAGGAAATTGCTATAAAATTTTTTACGGGGTAATTAATATAATTAGGGTTACATTTATTCTTCTTGTTAAATGGGCTTATGGTGAGGTTTTGTCTGTTATATATTGAAGCAGTGGATAGAATTTATGCAGATATTCTTCTGATTTTAATTTCTATTATGTATCTGTATTTTATTTTTCTAGATTTGCTCTCAATCAGCAATGGAGATGGCATTTTAAAAGTTTATGATGGATGTTCCCAGTCAAATAGATTGAATGTTACTTCAATATATATTTACTTCAAAACTAAAATAATGACAGTATGTTCATTTCATTTCATTTTTTTATCTTACTAATATAAGGTTAAATTAGGAAATTTTGCTACTAGCCATTGACCTGTTGTAGTATTTTTAACAGTGGTTAACATTTCAAAAAATATCGGTTTTAAACTATTTAAAAAAAAGAAACAGTCGATGTAGATAGCGTGTAAAGCATTTCTTTTCTCAAAATAGGGTAAAAATTATGATGTTCTCAATGAAGAAAAAAGGGTTTAATAAAGTAATTTCCTGAATATTACAAAATATTTATAATAATTCCATATTTATTATAAAGTAATAAAGTGCACATGGGGGGCATTTTATTGTTTTGCATCTTTTTTCGACAAATGGCAGGAGACTTTTCAATCTCCACTTGTTATATTGAATTGCTTTGTGGCTGATGGCGATCATTAATTTTCCTTAATATCTGCTAAGAGAACTTACTTCTAGCAGAGTTTGCTTTAGGAATAAAAAAGGGCGGGGGGGGGGGCTTCCTTACAGGAAAAAGCACTTAGTTTTGAAAGGTCACTCACTTACCACCATTTAAGTTTATCAAAATGTATAACATTAAGAAATAACTAAATTTGATCTTCAATTTTTAAATTACACTCTTATACTATATTATGTGTATATGTACCATAATAATTCTCACACATTATTAAAATAACAGAAAAATTTGAAGCTTTTGGAAAATAATTAAAAGCATGCTAAAGGAAAATAATTAAAAGCATGCTAAAATAAATTCTGTGTATAAATTTTCTTCTTCTTCAAAAAAAAAAGGATTAATTGGTAAACAACTTGACAGATTATGTTATATTTTAAACTGAAAACTATGAGAAATTAAACATTTAAGGGTGTTTATTTTAAATAAAAGGTATTTATTTTATAAAAAATAATGGTAAAATTTATAAGCATTAAAAAAATTATAAGTATATCCCACAAATAAGATATGTGAATATCTCTGGTGCTGAACATCCTGTGAATGTTAACTAGATTAACTAGAATGATAACTAGGCAACAAAACAAATATCTTACTAAAATGAAGGAATGGAATTAAAAATTTAAGTTAAATAACTTAATATATCTGAAATGGATTTTCAATAAAACAGGTGGTTAAAGAAACATCCTTTTAGTGAAAAAATAAAATAAAAAGGCAGTGTTTTTAAAAGATTGCGGCTTATTTTTTACAAAAAGGACCAGGAGGGCTCAGTTATAGGTATCAAAGGGCAGGCAGGGCTTGCAGCCCTTTTAAAAAGGCTTAGGGAGAACTCTGCTTCTAGGGTTTATATTATACTATATATATAAAGATGCAGCTATGCTAATGATTTTTCATTTATTAAGCGTTCAATTTTGATTGTTGAATTTTGTTTTAGGCTGCATGGCATCCCCGATCAGAGAATATTCTTGCTTATGCTACAGATGAAGGAAGAGTAGGAATTGTAGATACTTTTAGGAAAAAGTAAATATGCTAGTTTTATTTATAGATGTATACTGCTTAGATGTATTTTTAAATTCTATTTTTCAGTCATTCAAAGTTTTGATCAAATATATTTTTCTTTTTAGACTTTTGTATAGCTTTGAAACTCATCATACTGGTACAGTGTACAGTTTGGTTTGGGGACCCTGTGCTAAGGCTACTAATTCAGGTTATTAATTTTAATGTTTTGTCATTTTATTTATTTTTTTAGTAGTTACTAAAATATTTAATGATCACCCTTAACCAGAAACTATGGAATTTGGTCTTAAATGAAACCTTAAAATAGATTTAAGGATCATTAAAAAGATATCTAATTTTTTTTTTCATTATTGTAAATGTTACATTGTACACTTATGTATGTAAAATTTTGAAAATTTCTGTGCAAAAGGAAAAAAAAAACATTTTGCTGTGCAAAAAAGTAAAAGAAAGTTTCGAGTAAAAAAAAAGTACAAGAAGCTTCCTTATTGTTATTATTATTTTTTGCCACTCTTTTACTTTGCCTTCACTTTAAGAAAGTTTTTATTTTTTTGATATTCTAATTTCACTGTTAGTCATATTCCAATTTTTAAATTTTTTAAAATATTACTTGCTGTTATCATATATTTCGATAATTTCTTTTGTATCTTTTTTTTTTGTCTAATTAATAATTAATTGTCATTGTTTGAAGTTTTTAGTTCAGTTTTATTGAAGGTTTTCTTTTTCTTATCCCTGTTATGTATAAGAATTTATAGTATGTAATGGACCCTATTGTAAAATTATGAATGTTTCAACATATAAATCTTGTCCTTTTTTTCATTCCTGTGAGAGAAAAAAATTTTAATGGTATTTTGCATTTTAGAATAAACAATTAACTCTTGCAGCTCTAATTTTTTTTTTTTTTTTAAGTCACTCAACCATAGTTCTATTTTTGAGATTGCTTAGAAAAGTAAAATTTATTTCAAAATTCATCAGTGTTTGTTTTTATGTTAAGAAACCAAACTTATAAGTGCTTTATAGATTTTAGTGCTTTATAGATTTTAGTGCTTTATAGATTTTTGTGCTTTATAGATTATAGTTAGCAAAAATGCTTGCATGCCTGACAAGTATAAATTGTCTGCTTACTTTAGGCAGGCTGATCCCAGACAGACTACTTTAAATTATCAAGCTGTCTTGAGGTTTTTTTTTTCAAGTCTTTTTCAAGTCAAGTATTTTTTTAGTTTTATCTATCTATATAGAACATTAATTACTATTCTATATAGACAGGATGTCTTGNGGGCGCAGTAGGCCTTGGCCCTCTAGGGCTGTCGCGACGCTGAGTTTAGTTTTTATGCAGAACATTAATTACTGTTCTATATAGAAAGGATGTCTTGGGAAGGAATATTTTTTTAATTTTATCTATTTATATAGAACAATAATTACTGTTCTATATAGATAGAACGTTTTGAGGGAAGGAATATTTTTTATCTATCTATGTAGAACATTAATTACTATTCTATATAGATAGGATGTCTTGAGGGAAGGAATATTTATTTAATTTTGTCTATCTGTCTATATGAAACATTAATTACTGTTGTGTTTCTAGACATATTCCCTTTAAATTTTCAGTATTTTTGGTAGTTTTTTTTTTTTTTTATTGCATCTATATTCTTCTTGAATTTGAATGTTTTTTTTTCAGACCATATATTTGCTAATTCTTGTGCCTGTTCTCCAAATAAAATGGTGCATCCTTGCCCTGATGCATTTATTTTCATTTGGGAATTTTTATTTCTCGATAAATAAATTCTAAATTATTTTATTTTCTATTTATAGAACCTGGTGAACTTTATTTATATTCCTGTGGTGGTGGTACCGTCTATGTGAACAAAGAACATAATCCTAAGACCAAAGCATTGGATTTTGATGAACTTACAGAAAAAGCCCTTGAATATCATGATTCAAATCATAGCTATTCTGAAATTTGTTGGAATTTCGACTATACCCTATTCTGTGTTGGAAGTTACAAAGGGTATGTTTATTATATTTTTAAGGGTACATAGACTTTCGGTGGTATGTGTCACTCACTCAACATAGTTAGGTATGAAACATTGATGCTTTTAGAAGTTCTAGAATTCATTGATATTTCTAATAAATTTTGTATTTATATTAACAAAAAGGTTAAAGTAGAATATTCTTTGTACTATATTATTTTTATAAAATTCTTATAATGTTTTTATGCCCTCTATCTGCTTAACCAGTTATACTCTGATTTAAATTTTGGAAATCCTCCGCGGGGCATTGTAATTGTGTGTGTACGTATATATATATATATGTGTGTGACTGTTTCTTTTATCTATGATAAAATAAGTAGTGACGAATAGTTTATAATAAAAAACAGTTAGAGCTTTTTTTTACGCCTCACAAAAACCAGCTAGAAATGAAATGATTTGGCCATCAGTTTTTCACGTTTTTTGTCTTCTGCTTATGTATGTCATGACGTACGTAAGTTTTGGACCACGAACCCCTTCCCCAATAATAAATACTTAGCAGTACTTGGTAAGGATGATACAGTTGAGACAAAGTGTGCCGAAAGTGCAAAAGATTTTGTTCATTTTTACTTTAATATTTAAATATTAAAATTATTATAAAATGAAAACAAATTATGAAAATTTCTCATTTATGAAAATTATAATTAGAGTTTATAATTTTTCAAAAGCAGAAATTACTACAATCGATGAATATATTTGTCTACATACACTTTTTTCAGCTGAAGTTTCAAAAAAAATTTTTTTTCGTGAAGCAATTACCCTTGTTACCTATTGATAATAATAGTTATTATACAGATTTTTATTTTTTTTAAAAACATATTTTGTGATAAAACCATTAAATATCAGTAGAAATGACATTAAAAAGATGTAAAGATTTATTTAATTTTTAGATGAACACTTTCTTCCCTGGTATTATTTATTTTAGTTACATGATCTCTTGTATATACATCTGAAAATTAAGGAATTGCTATTATTTTATATTAGGTTGTATAATTTATCCAACAAATACAAAAACCGCGTGTAATTCGGTCAATTATACCAGTAATTAGAAATCTCCATTGGAAAAAAAAAATTCCATATTTTTATTGAGGCAAAGTGAGACAAATGAATTCTTTTACCTGCGGCAAAATGCTATTTCTGCTGAAACATTTTCTGTTCTTACCCCATCATTTCTGTATCGGTAATATACATACCACGAAATCATTTTCGCATTGTATTCTATTGAAATTTCGAGTTTTAATAGTCAATCATAATATTTAAATATACACGACGAGTGTACATATTCTATGCACCACTATAGAGATTTTGTCTGAAGTGTGTACCCACCATATGCACCACAATAACTGCAATTTGAAATAGACTGAAAACGTAATTAAAAAACCAAAGTTTTCCGATAATATATCTAAAGTTTGTGAGAACCACCTTTGCTAAAAAAGTTAAAATTGTTTTAATTAAAATATCTTTTATTAATTTATTTCTTTAGGTTAGTTGAATTATATGATGCCAGTCTGAATTTTCTTGGAAGACTGATTGTACCGATGAAATCTGTAGAATCTCTTCGTTGGCATCCCGAAACGACTTATATGTCACCTGCTGGATCACCTTTAAAATCATGGTTGGCTTGTGCTGGAAGTGATAACGAAATCTACATTTTTGATACAGCTATGATATTGGGTATTTATATATTTTTCTTTCTAAAATTATTCAGAATTTTGTTTTGTTCTATGTTATTGTACATTTTATGAATTTTTATTTTTACAGACTAATTATTAACATTTTAAGAAAGTCACAGATCAGGGAAAGTCAATGAATTTTATCACTTTGTAATAATCAGAGAAACAGGAAAATATTATGGAATTTAATTAAAATACTGAATTAATGAAAAATGAATTAATTTGAGTGTGAGGTAGCTAAAAATCCAATATATAAAAATAAATAAATAAAATAAAATTGATGCACGTTTTAAAAGATATTTTCTGAGACTTAGTTTTGATTTAAAAAAAATATCAATAGATATTTGCTTAAAAAGAATTCACCTTTATTAACATTTATATTTATTACATTTGTAAAATTGTGTAGAATTATTTTTTTGCGAAAAGTTAATTTAAGATTTATTAGAAAATATTGCATTATCAAAATTAAAAATATTTGCCTTCAAACTAGTATTTTATTATGGATATTTATTCTAAATGATAACAAATCTTTCCCATTGTAACTAAAACTTCTTGTTTTCTTTGATATGTCATAAATAGCAGCAGCATAAAATAAAATAAATGTGTATCATTTATTTTATCTTGGAATTGCATGTGAATTGCATGTGAAGTTTTTTTAGTTTATTCTTGTAATATTTTTTAACTTCAAAAGCGATTGAAAGTTTTATACTTTCTGTATGGAAAAAAAAATGAAAATTTATAATAAAAAATTAATATTACAACTCATTGCATTAGATACAAAAATCAAGGAATTTTATTCTCTGAGTATTGTGAGCACCTTGTTCAGTAATCTTAATTAGTATGATTCTACCAGGGTTGGAGTTTTTGCCGGCAAAAAGGGGTTTTTGCCAGGACAGTGGCAAAAACCTGGTAAAAACTGGTAAAAACCGGCAAAAACCAAATTATCTAAATTGCTGAATGCTGATTAAATATTATTACAAAATACTTGAAACAAATTTAAATCAGTCATAAGGAATAATAATTTTGATACATTACATGAAAAAATTATTTTTAACATATTAATAATTAATATACCTAAGGGTAATAATTTTTAAAAGATTGAAAGTTTTTGATCTCTTTTCATTTTAGAATCCTAAAATAAATGTTTTTTTACAAATAAATATTATTATTTGTATAATACTATTATTTATTATAAAAAATTATTATTTGTACAATAATTAACTACACATGTTGATAGATATTTTATGCTTTAAATTATATTTGTATTAATTTAAAAATAAGTTCATTTCACTGGAAAAAAGAGAATAATCACAAATTTTCCAATCAATAATGTTTTAAACTACTAAAATGATACATTATCATTNATTCATTTTAATTGATATGGAATTCTAATGCATTTCATTTAAATGAATTTAACTGAAAGTGTCTGGTACAAAACATTTTAAATTATATCTTGAATTTTTAAATTTACATGTTGTGCTATTCTTTGCATTTATGTACTGACAGCATAATTTTTCGTCAATAAAACATTTTTTGCTCTTTTAGAATTGACTAAATTTAAAATTTTATAATTTTAAATAATTTAATGCAATATTTTGTTAGTTCTTACTTTCTCGTTTTCCTCGTGTATTTATTTCTTTGGTCTTAGCTTTTTACTCTCTATATTGAATCTACTTATGAATATTAATTTAGCTTTTTTTTTTTTCACTTGATTTCATACTACAGTACAGAACCCGTTATCCGGAAATCACAAAACCGGAAAACCAAAAAACCGGAACGAAATTCGATAAATTTTCCGCCATTTTTTTAAAAAAAATGTTTTTTTTTCTTCATAGGATTTTAGGATTTTTCTTTCTTTTTGAAAAGATGTTTACCTTACTATCATTTTGGAAATAATCATTAGTGTATTACTTCGTTTTTTCTTCTTTTTAAGATTATTTCCAAATATAATTTTTTTTAAGTTGGGTTTAACAATAAAAAAAACGGCTTTTTGTAGCGATTCAGAAAACCGGAAAAATCAGTTATCCGGAATAGCGATGGTCCCGATCGTTCCGGATAATCGGTTCTCTACTGTACTATCATTATGGGATAAGTAACCTAATTTGCTTTTAGGTGTTATCGATAGCAATTAATATTTTTTGATCTGTAGCATAACATGAATTATGTAATTGTAAAATTTGATTTCCCGCCCCCCCTCAATTTTGTCTACTACCTTAAGTTTTTCAACCACTAAATGACTACCTAGGTGGTCATATTGGACCGCTAAATTTTAATTGCTGGTATGAACCCTAGTTATATTAAATTCAAGAGCTCTTATAAATTTTCTGTGAAGTTTCTAGATTCTAAATAAGAGTCTAAAGATGCTTGTTTCATACAATAGCTTAATTTTTTTAACGCTGTTGTTATGTATGTAAAAAGCTTATATTAAGTATTATATTCAGCAGGTACCAAGCCTGAAGTCTTTATGCTTAGGCCCATCAAAAAATTGGTGGGTCATAATAAACGTGTTGTATCTCTTTCATGGAGTGAGCATAGTGATGGTTTTCTTGCTTCTGCTTCTAAAGATGGCTCAGCAATGGTTTGTATATTTGAAGTTTACTTTTTTTTTCTCAGTGATATACACAGTGGTTTAGAACGACGGCCCGCTCTATCTGACTTTTGATCCCTATAAATGCAAATTCAGTAGTTCAAAGTACCCTTTTCTGTAAGGAAGCGCCCTGCCCTTTTTTCATCCCTAGGAAGAACTAATGCAGTTTGAAAGCATTTTGTCTCTAAAGAAGGATTTATATTTAAAAAAAAAAAAAAAAAGGTCTACCGGCCTGTGGGGGGGTTAGGGAACGGCCCCTGCATCAGAAGTGTTCTGGGTTCGAATCCCGGGCAAGGCATGGATGTTCTTTTCTTCTCTGTACTATCTGTCCTTACTGTGGGAGCAGCGTTGGCCCACCTATTATGGTACCCCTGAAAGAGTGGCGAGCAAATCTGCCCTTCAGATGCCTGTATGACCTAGGTCATTATCCAGGTATTAGGAAGAGAAAAAAAATATTTTAAAAAAAAGTCTTGATCAAAAATTAAGAAATATCTTTCTTATATTTTCTTGTTTATTTTTTCCCTCAAAGTACTTTCTGAAAAAAATAGTTAACTATATTTTTTTTCTCAGTAAAATAAATCTAAATGCATTTAAAGAACAAATCGACACAGAACTTTCAAAGGGGCAATTAAGTGATATTTTTCTGTCCGGTTATAACAATAAAGACATTTAAATTTTGTTAGATGTTGGCATATTTTATCTTAATTTTGTATTTGTGATAACTTCTGTGTGTGTTTCCTACTATTTCTTTTAGAGTATCGTGTTAAAAGTTATATTTTTTACCAATCACTTAAATGTCATTTCTGTACTAACAAGAAAAGTAAAAAATCTTAAAATTGCTTTAAAAGATTAGTGCAGTTTTTTGTTTGCTTGTTTAATTACTTATTTCGTATTTTTCTTTTCAAATCAGACAGGGTTTTTTTTAAAGAAAAGGTTTAAATCAACTACTCAATGTTGTCATCTACTATTCCACATTACTATGTCAACTTGTGTTTTCTACTATTCTTTTTTATATTATCTTGTTTAAAGTCATATTCTTTACCAATCACTTAAATGCCATTTTTTGTACCAATGAAAAAAGTAAAAAATTTAAAAATTGCTTTAAAATATTGGTGCAAATTTTTGTTTGGATGTTAATTACTTATTTCTTATTTTTCTTTTCAAATCAGACAGTTCTTTTAAGAAAAAAGTTAAATCAACTTATGAATTATAGCTTTTGATTTAATGAATTTATTTTTAAAGTGTACATTTTAGCACGTTTTGTGTAGGTGCTTAAAATCTATACTTGTTTTGAAATATTTTCATATGAAAGAATATAATTAGTAAGTAAAGTATATAAATATAGCTGTTAATATTTTTTCCTCTTCATATATTTAGGTTTGGAATGTGGTAACTCAAACATGTATTGCAACTTTTTTGTCTCACTTTGATGTTGTTTTGGCTGTTCAGTGGAGTGTGACAGATAAAGATGTTATTTACAGTGGTGGGCAGGGGGGAGCTGTAAAGTCATGGAAAATATCTGAACAAACCCCGAAACCTGCACCAGATAAAGGTACCTTTTAAAAAAAAAAAATCTGATTTTTATCATTATTTTTCTTTGTTCCTGAGTCTCTGGGAATCGTGGTCTCAATGTCTTAAGCTAAATGGTTATAACAATTGATTTAAAGCTAAAATAAATTAGTTGATGTTATTTAATACTTGATATTTATTCAAGAATTCAGTTTTTTAAAAAAATTATAAATCAAAATTTTTAAATTTTTTTTTTTTTTTTTGAAAAAACCCCACACTTTTAATTAAGTACATTTAGCTCATATCATGTATTCAAACTTCTTTTTAAAAAACAATCTTAATCTTGTATTTCTCAACTTGAATGAACTTATTTTCTTTTTGTAGGTCGTATTAGAAAAAAACTGAAGAGACCCAAAAAAACTGAACATAGAAATTCCACTGATACCACAGAAACTGAGAGCTCTTTGCCGGTGCTGTCAGAAAAGAGTACCATTTCATCTGAAGATGTAAATAGCAATTTAAATGTAAGTACCTTTTTTTTTAGTGTGCGAGTACTTAATTTATGCTAAGTCTTTATATTATGAGTTGCTTTGTTTCACATTAATTCACATAATAGTATTGTTTGCATGCATTAATGTAGTTCATAACATGTTACGTAATCTAGTTCATAAGATAATACGTAATAAAATGTTTTATTGATGTATCAGATAAAACAGAATTCGATTAACATGAAATAATTATGATAACCTTGCCAATTATGCTTTAACAAGGTTGGGCTGTACCTCATGGTTTTTTCTTGCGTTCTTTGCTGAAGTGTTTGTTGGAGAACTTGTTAAGCTATTATCGCAGCTCTTGTTTCTTCTTCGCAGCATTTTTTTATGTACGCAACATACTTCAATCTGAATGCTCTGATTGGATGTTTGTACTTGAGCTCAAAAAGTTTTATATTCTAGTTACTTTTTAACTCTGCTTTTATTTTTCTCACTTTGTTAATCTCCGGCTGTGTTGTGTGCAATAAATATGTCATTGACGGATCTCAGAATTACCTTCTCTTTTTCCGAAAAGCACAGTTCTAAAAGATAAATAGCAGCTGAATAAAAATAAAACTGTTAGCAATAATCAGTTAAAATAACTGCAGACAAGAGATAAAAAACAGGAAAAAATTGACTTAAATGCATCCTAATGCCTAATTTATACAAGCAACAAGTGGCGATTGTTCAAAAATCACTATTCCAGTGTTTTCACTACAGCGCGAGAACACGAGAATCTCGCATATTTTTTTATATTCTCGCATTAAAAAATGATTACCGCAAGAAATTTGCGCATTCTATTAACCAATTTCAAAATTCGCGAATTTCTCGCATTTTGAAAAAAATTTCTCACTTGCGCCATTTAGAATAAAATCCATTTCACTTTTCTTCTTGGATCTTTTATTATTTTCAACGTCTGCCCCATTATCTAGCTTCCCTATTTACCAGTATTGTTCAGAACCTTTAAGAACAACAGAACACTATCCTTCTGAACCACGGAACCTCTTTCAGAACGCATTTCTCTGCAACCACGTGTTTCCCGTAGGTAAGGTTTCTTCATGTAAGACAATTCAAATTTTTTGCTCGTTAATGTAAGATTGACAAATACCTTGTAAAGCCAATATCTTCTACTCCGAAATGGACAAATGAAAATGGGTAGAAACGATCAAAGCGAAACAAATACGCATTTGAGCAACCTAATGAGAATAGTAGATGTAGAACATTTTCCATATGATGATGCAGCAAAAATATTCAATGCTTTAAAAATTAGAAGATGTTAAAAATGCATTATAATTAAAGAAATGATTTTTTTTCAAGTCTCTTTGTGTTTTTTTTTTTTTTTTTTAATTTTTGAAATCTCACCCTGTTTTTGAGAAAGGGTGAGAAATTCTCACCCATTTTTTTTCTGAGATGAAAACACTGCTGTTCTGAGGTTCCCAGTAATGTAAAACCCATGGAAGATATTAGGTACCATAAATTAATGGCCGTGCTTTGGAGGTTGCCATTGTTTCGAGGCTGTTGTTAATGTGGGTTTTACTGTAATGAATTGTAGTTACAATTTTTTTCTTTATCACTACAATATGGTTAAAATTATTTTATGTTAAAAAAAAATTGCTTACATAGATTAAAGCTACATATATTTACATATTGAACAAAAAATTATTTTCTGTTAAAAATTGTGTTGTTTACTAAATTAAATTGTTCCCAAATTCTGTTATGTTTTTTTTTTAAAAGAGAACTTAAAAAATAGGAAACTGTTTTTTTGAAGTTATATAAGAACATTTTCTTCATGAATTTAAACAAATTTCTCTAATAAAATTATTCACTATATTTCTTTTAACATCGATGCAATGATTTTTGTTCTTTGAAAATTTAATTATTTTTATTTATAGGTGCAGCATACTGTTAATGGAAACAATTCTTCAAAAAAAGGTAAGTTTTTTTAGAAGAATTGATCTTAATTATCAATATTTTTTTTCCTCTACTGGGACTAACTGGCTATCAAATGTTGAATTCATTTATTTTTCAGTAATTGAGAAAGGAGTAGAAGAAGTCTTTGGCAGTGAAGAAGTTGAGCCAAAAAAGTTTAAAGGTAGAAATAATTTTTTTTTCTTCAGCTTCAATATTTTGGCTCATTTTGACATTTCTGTTAGGTTAGGTCTGATTCCTATTTTCAATCTTACTTTTCTTATGTCTCCTTTTCTCTCTCACTCTTCCAATATATTCTTTCTTTTTAAAGATTGAGTAAGAATAATGAAAATAATCACACACATTAAGCTTTATAAATATACAAAGAATGTCACCCTTTTTTGTTTTTCAAAAAATAATTTATAATATTATAGCTAATAATAAATTTATGACTGTGATCAGACTTTAATCTGACAAATAAATTGAAAATTACAGACTGTTATGTGCAGCTTCAAAAATGCCGGAATTAATTTACAATACTAATTTGTTTTTGGACAATTTGCACTTGTACTTTTTGCTACCAGTAAATATGCAGTTGGCTGCAAAATTTTACCGATAACTGCATTCTCTATATTTATTGCACTATGATAGAGTGCTAATTCTTTTAACTTTTCATTTTTTGTTTACAACTTTTTTAAAAAAACTTTTTTGTTGGTCCCCCCCCCCTCAAAAAAAAAGATCAACAGGAAAAAATCAAAGAATTAAAAAAATAATGAAATCAAAAAATTTGAAAAGGACAATAATGTTTCTTTTTTTTCTAGTTTATAAATATAAAATTAAATGTATTAATATTCAGAGAATGTATACTTTTTCATTTATGTACTTAATTATTGTGTCTAAACCGATTTTTATCATTTCAATTTATACTTTTCTATTTGTTATTTAAATTTTTTATTTATTGCAAGTCTTATTTTATAATATACTTGAGCAATTTATAATTTAAAAAATTTTGCTTCTTTCTTGTTTGTTTTTCTGAGAGGAAAATTAGGGAAAATTTAGATTTACTATTTCTTTATATATTTGCTAAAATTATTTTATTTTTTAAATCTATATCAAAGAAATTTGTAGAAATGATTATTTCAGTTTCTCAAAAAACAGTTTTAAATATTTAATATTTTCTTGTACTGCTATACCCTAAAAAAGGCCATGGAATTTTTCCAACCAAAATTAAAACCTGTATTCAAAGCAGGAATTTAATCTTTTCTTTCATTTAGTTATTTCTTATTGTATGAAAAAACTTATAATATTTTTGGTAATGAAAACAATCCTCATGAAAAGAGATGATGTTTGCCTATTCTATAAACTTTTTGTAACCAAATATTCAAATATACTTGATAAGTTTTATAAATAAATATTGAATTTTTGAACTGTTTTTGGGCAATGTATTAAAATTTACGTTGCAAAATATTGGCTTTTTAGTATACTTCATTCTTTTGCTTTCCTTAAATCATTTGCTTATTATTACTTTTAATATCTTTTTGTAGTTGGATTTGGAAAGAAATCAGTTTTATTTCCTACTCATGTGTTTGAAGAAAAGGCTTTCTGTAGTGAAGATATGGAAAACTGCCAAAAACTTGCCGAAATTTTAAGTGCAAAACAGAAGAAAACACCCTGTTTTGATCTTAGTTTTGACTCAATGAAAAAGAATGTTCTAAATGATGATGAAGTTGTGAAGTTTGGTCTGTATACTGATCAATTGACTGCGCTTCGATTGTTAGATGTGCAAAGTAATTTTATGCCTTATTTCTTATATGCACTTATTTATATTATAAGTACATAAATTAGAGGATACTTATGAATGAAAGGATACCCATAGATTACTCTATAAAAGTATTGCAGTGTTGATGCGACAAAAACAGAAAATATTGCAGTTTTTCTATTTTGATGACTATAAAATTCCCTAAATGTAAAATATTTAGTACATGCAGCATTTATCATGAAATTTATTTTATTTAGTAAAATCTACTGGATTTTTTTCTATCCATGTTGGCTGTTCATTTGGATAGAATAATTTAGAGTAAAAAAAATATTTGTGACTTAAATTTTTTTTTTAATGTTACCAGCTTTCCTTGTCTTTTGTTTTCATTCTTTGAAATATATTTAATTTCAGTATTAAGGAGCAAGATTAAATGGATATTATCGATTTTTGGCATTTTCAATTTATGCCTTTTTTATTACACTCTAAGTAATCAATAGAGATTAATACCCAAAATAGTAATTATAGAAAAGATACAATTATTAAAGTATAAGTTATTAAAATTAAAATGTTGATTGCTGAAATATTAAAATGCAAACAAACAATATCTAATTTTATTAAAAATTACAAAATTTCCTTTAGCGAAGGAAAGAGTGACTGAAAGATACTTTTAAGTTTCAGATTTGCTTTGTATTTTTTATTCAAGGTGAAAAGTTTTTATCAAATGATAAATTAGCAGCTGCCTGTGATGTTGCTGTGTTTTCTGGGAATATTAAGCAAATGTTGCAAGATGCTGCAGAAAAGAAAAAGTTAAATGTTTCTCTTGTTTCTTTAGCACCTGCAGGTATGTGAAAAATTGCTCTTTATTGTTGTTGTTATTTATTTACTTTATCCTCTCTTGTTAGCTCTACCCTCGTTTTTAAAATTACTTGATTGTTCCTACACTGGTAGCTGAATTTTAATATACATTCTAGTGATAGGTGGGAAATTGGTAAATAAATTACAACACATTTATAACAAATAGCGCAAGAAAATATATTTTATAAAAAAGTCGTTTTACATAGACATCAAACAGACATTTACCTGAAATATTTTTGGAACAGCTGTGCAAATTGCGAAATATATATATGTAATTTCTGTTCCGAAATACCTTTTTTTTTTTTTTCCATTCCGAAATTGCACCAAGCTGCTCAAAAACTCTAGTAATAATCAAAACACCAAGCAATTTTAATTCTTTCCCCCTCTTGATTTTGATTAACATGTTTTATTATTTTCAGGAGGGGGGCCTCCTGAAAATAATTTTTGAATTATGAAATTCTTCTATCATAATAACATATTAAAATATCAGAGTTGAAAATAAGATCAGGAAATGGTCTGAAAAAGTTAATAAACAACTGTGAATTTACTATAGAAACGTTGCAAATAGATTGTGTCAAAAAGTGCTACCCGATGCATGTTGTAATGACATATTTAAAATATCGAATTCAGAGGAAACAATTATAAAACAACATAGAATTAATATAGAATCAAGCGTGCAAAAAAGTGATTTTCGAATAAATTGCAAAACAACATGGAATTAGTATATTTAGCATGATAAAAAGTGGTTTTTGTATAAATTATTAAAAAATAACTAATACTCAAAACTAAAATTCATGTTTTCTAATAACATTAAAAATATCCGAATTTGGTGAACGATGTGAGAAAAATCTTAAAAAACATCGGAAAATTAGAACAACAGAATTGGCGCTAACACAGCTCTTGCACTTAGGAAATTTAGCAAAAATGAGCCTTGAATGATGCAATATATATCAGAATTTTAAAAAGTTTATCATTAGCTAAGTGGAGGTTGATTGTGTTTCCCTTCAGGCGGGAAAATGCAGAGTGAGTGGAATAAATATAACTGAAGTGTCGTATTTTTATAATAATGACTAAGTTTTTAAATAAATTCAAATTTATTAATCTCAAAAATATTGAAGCTAAGAACAATTGATAAAAATAATTTTGGAATATTGGCAGTTTAGTAATAATTATTTGTGAGCAACATTATCATTCCGACAGCTTTCAAACTTGTGAATGTCGATAAATCCATCGAAGTAATTAGAGAAGAGAAAAACTTGCTTTGAAATCCCCGCTTAAATACTCGGCAAAGAACATTCTAGAAGCTCTAGACAAGTGTCAATCTATGAATGACTGTAGCTTCAATTACCCGCCATCCAGCGTCACTCACGAACCCAGCCTGGTCGATCTCACGCAGGAAAATGTATTAAAAAAAGTATTACAATACCGCTATTGACAAAGTTGAAGCTCAGGCATAAAAAAGTTATTTATGTTTGATTTAAGCCATAACAAGATTAGAAATGATAAATATTAAATATTAGAAACTTAATGAGTTCTTTTTATGGGAAAAAATACATTAATATGCTATTTATTTAGTTACTTGAATTAGATAAACATTGTTTAAGTAAGTTGTTATACTTTCTACATGGGTTAAGGTAAAACTTAATAAATATTGTACTTAAGTTTATCGAATTAAGTATTATATTGGATTAAATATTATATTGAATTAAATTAAACATTGTTATAGGGAAAATTATATAGTTTAATGTATGATATGGAATTTAAATAAAAATATGCTAATTGCCAATAGATAGTAGTACTTATAAGTGACATTTCTTCTTTATTTTACGTTACAAAATTGAGTACATTTAAGATATCTGTATTTGCCACCTGCTTAGACACCTGTCACTATCAACTTATAAATCCAGTCCATTTTCGCTTTTTGTTAAGAATATTTTTGATTGAATGCTGCTCTTCATTTTGATCAGAATGGAGGCAGTATTTTTCATATTTGAAAATGCATATCCAGAAATCATTGCTTGTTCCTCAAGACTAGGGGTGCACAACCTTTTTGAGTGAAGGGCCACTTTCACAGCAGGTAGATTAATGAAGGGCCGTTCGCATATTTAGTCATGTTAGCGGCAAATATAATTTTTGTATAAGCATTAGTGTTCTAAGCACTAAATATTTTTATCAGTTAACTTAATAACATATTTCAGAAAATTAAATACTTTTAATTATTTAAATTTATTTAAAACAAAAAACTGCTACTTTTTTTAAAAAAAACTTTTTATTTTTTTTTGCAATAATTAATATATCATATATGAATATTGGGGGGGGGTATTAATTTTAACCGAAGAGAAGCTTACAGAATGAAAGTTCAAAAAATATATGTCTTTTATAGGTTAATATAAATTTGAATTAAATATTTTAATTAAAGAAAATTTATTATGTTTAAACAAAACCACATTAAAATAAATCCTCAAATATTCAATCAGATAGCCTGTGGCATTTTATGCGGTGTTCTTTCTAAGCGTTTTTAAAAAGGGAGTCCTTCCCGTCTGAGTTTTGATCCCTATGAATGCGCCCCTTTTGTAAAAATAAGTCTCCATTCCTTAAATACACTACCTTGTTATTTTATTTTTTCAGGAAAATGTTGTTTTCTTAACTGTCTGTTTTACTGGAAAGTCCACTTTTGATTTAATTAGTTATTGATAATTATTTATCTTTAATTTTTAATTTCCTTCTTTCATTTTAGTAGGATTTTTTCTTTATGTTGTCTAGTTATTTTGATAAATTTTGCATGATATTCGGCCCCAGAAATAATCACGTCTTTTATTTGAGGGAGGTATACTGATAAATTTTTTAGCAATTTTAAACTTCATCATTATTTTTTTAAATAAATATTTTTTATTTAAAAATGAATTCAATTTTTTTATTTAAAAATGCACTTTTAAATGTTTATTTTCAAATGTATGTAATAAATGTTTTTAAAATGCTATAAAATATAGATTATCCTAATTTCGTATTTTTATATTGCAGTTTCACATAGCTTTTGGCTTGAAATTTGTGAAAAGTTTGCTATTCAACTTATAGATACACAAAGTTATTTCAAAGCTGCTCAGTATTACCTCATATGTGGAAATATTCATGCTGCTGTAGATATCTTAGCTAATAGAGGAAATATTTTGTGAGTATTTTTGATAGTTTTTATTTATTTATTTTTTTCCTTTGAACTATTTAAAATGATAATATCCTCTTTTTTCTACCTACAGGGATGCAATTACTTTAGCTAAAGCTCGTTTGCCAGAAAATGATCCAATCATTCCAAAACTTCTCATCTTATTAAGAAAGAAATATGAAACAGCTAAGTGCTCAGCTGCTGTGATACAATGGTAAAAAAATTATCTGCTGTGTGAGTTAAATCAGGGTTGTAGTAGAGGGGTTTTGTGAAGGAGTGTTATACCCTTCTCTGGTTTTTCAATAAAATTCCGATATTTTATTTATTATAAAAAAAAATTTATATATTTTTTTCTAGTGTAAAAATATGTTAGTTCTGATAAAAATTAAAAGTTCTGTGTGTATTATTTTTTGCTGATGCATTGCTGCAGGCATATTTGACAAGAAATGTAAAAGCTATCTATCAGGGATACACATCATCAACTGCTCTTTTTATCTTAAAAGATTAGAATGTAAATTTGAAGAAAAAGAAATTTAACAAGACGTTAATATTTTTTTTCTTCTTTTACGTAGCATTAAATTATATTATAAATTCAAATTAAGAAGAATATACCTAATTTTAAAGTGGTTTTAATTAATAGTTTTTTTTAAAAATCAAATGGAGTAGGAATCCAATGTTTCTGTAGCAGTTCTACCGTAAAATACTGATAAAGCACCTTCCCTAATTTTAACAAAAATTGCCACGATGTAGAGGGGGATTAAAAGTTCTGAAGAAAATTCAACATGTCGTTTTAAAAAAAATCAACTTACTGTATTTGATTGGGCATAATTAAATATGAAGCACAAGAAATGAAATAAAGTAAAAATAATTATAGTAAGAGAAAACAAGTAAAAGGAAAGATAATTTTAATTAGTAAGTCTAGCTTAACTTCTACAGTAATCCTTTATTTTTAAATCTTGGTTGGATTGTGGCACATGGAAATAAGGGGGAGGGAATAAAGATTCAAAAATAAATATGGACAGTATTTCATAAAGAAAGATAATTTTTTTATTTACATTAATCAGAATCTGGAAATCCATCGAAAGAAATATCCAATTCACCCTCCAAAATAAGGACAGTGCTCTCTTCATTTAGTTCATCAGTACTATTATTGTCTATGGATCCGATATTAACTTCTTCTAATCAAGAATGAAAAAGCCCATCTTTGCTTCCACCTATTGCACCAAAACGCTTAAATGAATTTTAGATAATCTCTTTGAAGACTGCTCCTAAGCGGACGACACAAAACCAATCATGTCTTTTAGAGTTGGCCTTTTTAAATTCCCGACAAGAATAAACAATTCTTTAGTTTATTCTGAATGCAGAGCGCCCATTCTATTCATAATGCAGTTTTAAAGAGTGCCATCTACAAAACATCTGCTTGCTACAGAAGGCTTATGCATCCTGCTGGAATTAAAACTATATCTGTGTCCAAACTTTTTCATTTTTCAGAGAAACTTTGTTTTATAGATTCAGGCCCAATCCCAGATAATTAACCTCCAAACGTCATTTTCGTTAGCTAACTTTCCATAACGCCAGCCATCATCTATTCGTTGATAGAGCGGATAACATTAACATTGTCTGGTATTTTTGGGCAATTCTAACATACGATACTAAGAAATGATACCTCCCTTTTACTCTATATCTCTTTCATTCAATTCGTCCCCCTTTCTATTCACATTTTTCTTCCTTCATTAGGACCCTTCTAAGCGTGATGAACTCATCCTTTTACTCAATTTTCACGTTCAACTCGCCTATCTCCCGTCCCAACTTAAAATATTCCCCTTTCTTGCCAGCCAGTGCACATACCATTCAACACTATCTTGATCTACATGCAGGAGGAAGAAAATGTTGACCACATGTGTGCAGGATTGCTTCCTCCTCTCTTCTCACCTAACTTTACAAACACCTGCACTTTTGTTGGCTATCTTCAATTCAGTTACTGTGATTAATTAATCCTCTTCCATTTCCCCAACTTATTGCTCATTTGCAGTATAACATTTATCTTCTACCCTAAACCTCAGGATAAACAAGGAAACAAATTCATAAAGAATTTTTAGAAACAAATGTATTAAGGAATTATAAAAATAAGAACTTTTATATTGTGCTGTGGGGAAGGGATCGCTTTTTTTTTTTTTTTTTTTTGGTACTGATTGACAATCAATATTTGTGTTAAACTACAGGGTGGCACTTTCTGGAGTCAGGTGCATTTTATTGGTATTTTACGGCATAATTTTTTTTTTTTTTTAAGATGTCTGTAAAATTTTGGAATTTTTGCGTCAGGGAAAACAGGAAAAACCAGGAATTGTCAGGGAATTTTATTTTGACTCTGAAGAGCAGGGAAAGTTAGATTTTCACAAAAGCCTGGAAAATTCCTGCATCATGTCTGGAAAATAACCAGTCTTAGAATTGTCAATAACAATAATCAGTAACTGAGATTAGAGTTTAATTCTGAAATCCGTTACAGATATTTATTGTAAAACTTTCATATTTTAGTGAAACTTCCACACATTCAATATTTTTATGCTCTCAATAATTAAAGTTTGCTTTTTCAAATAAAAAATATCAAAGTTTTCTGACGGAAATTGTATGGTATAGATAAAATACGTCTGGATTTCAATTGAAATTTTTCCGATATACTTGAAAATGTCAGGAAATTTTTTTACTGAAATTGTATAGGTACCTTGTTTTAGTGTTTTTCCTCTGAAAAATTTAAAATTTTTAAAATTTTTTTACAGTGTATGAACGTATAGGTTTGTCTTTTGTGTATTGTTTTATTATTGATTTTTTTAAATTTATTTTTCATTTCATTCAATTTATTTTTCCAGCTGTGTATTAAAGTTCATATGGATTTATATTAATTTTTTTCTTAATTCCATGAGTAAGCATTAATTTTTTATGAGGGTTAAGATATAAAAACAAAAGTTTTGAATGTATCTTAAATTTAACCCCATCAAATAGTAAAAATTTCTTGAATTGAAATGGATAATAAAGTTAATAACTTTCCAAAGAAAGTAGGAGTTTATTACATTTTTTAAATACTTAAACATTCCAATTTAATGGAAAAAATTTCACATGCAATTAATGTTTTATCTGATATCTCAAAATTTATCTCAAATTTTTCCTCTATATATCAGTGATGTATCTTTTTAAATAGTTATCCTATTCATTATTTTCTTTTGAAATTTGAATTGTTAATTTCTTCTTTTTTTTCCAAAACATTTCTTTTATATTGATAAAAAAAGAAATGTTTCAAAGTCTCAAGAAATATTTCAAAGAAAAATATAATTTAAAAACTAGATATTTATAATAAGATCTAAAATTTCATGCTTTGATTTAAATCAGAATTTTTCAATCTAGTGCACGAGTACTGTTTAAATGTAATTCAATTAATTATTTTTTACTTCATTTCAATACTTTTTTGTATTTTTAATAATGAGTAGAAATAAGTAAAACAAGCGTCTTAATAAAGTCAAGGAGAAATTTATTAACATCAAAGCATTCAAATAATAGTGCTTGGCTCTTTCATCAAACAAATTTTAAAAGATCTACAAAATAAGCAAAACAAATATATACGTTATGTAGAAATTTGATATCTAAAATTAACAAACTCTGCTTCTTATTTTAAATAAACTAACATTAAAATTGAAAATTCTTATATCTAATTCTGGATGAAGTTTTAATTTTTAAGTGAGCTATGTATTATAAATTTGTAATCTTTATATAAACTATTATTTCTACAACATAAACAGTAATTAGAGAATAATGCATAACTGCAAATGTACCGAGCGCAAAATAGAGAGATATAACACCTTAAAAAAACTTTTATAACTTTTGATCTTTAGATAGTTATAACTTTATCATAAAAAATATCATATGGGTCGATTATTGTAAAAATTATATTTTGCATGAGTTACCTTTGTTTAAATGAGTTTTAAGATTATTTGCAAAGATTTTAGATTTATTTCATTAGGTTTAAAGTTATAATAAATGCAAGTAGTAAAATTGAGGGGAGAAATTTTCAATCACTCTTTTGATATAAATTATTTTGACTATATTTTCTAGATTTGGCTCTAGCCTTTATATTTCGAGGATCAAGAAAGAAAAAAAATATGATTTTTCAGAGAAAGTACATATTTGTGTCTGCACAAGTTAATTGACATAGTATTTAAAGTTAGGCTTTCAAACCATAAAAATGCATCTTACTATGTTATGATCTAATCATTTTGGTCTTAAGTTATTAAGGTGCTCCACTTTTTTTTTTGTACTAAACTTTGTACAGCCTTTATTTGCATCATAGTGTATAAAATAAAAATGTTATGAAACATAGGGAAAATTTATTTATTTTTTTGCCTCAATGTGTTTTTCTTTTTTTCTTTTAGTGAACTTGCTTTAAATGAACCTTTAAAAGCTGCTAAACTGTTAGCAACTACTTTGGATCCTCAGGCAATTAGAGCAGCTGTTTATATTTGTCAACAATTTGAACTAAATGTGCAAGCTACTGAATATTTATTTTTATTCTTGGAAACTTGCCTTGTGAAGTATAATTATAAAGCTTTTGAAGCTTTTGCTGAAAAAGAACCATTCCTTCAAGTAATATGGCCTAGTTTAATTTTTTATTTACTTTAGTTTCTTTTATTTAACATTGCTTTCTAATTGCTGATGATTTTTCTGTTATTTCTAAAAATCTAACATCAAACTATTAAACTATAAGTTAAAATGGACTGTTTTACCTTCTAAAGTCACCAAGTAGGTGCAGGGGCAAAGGGTCAAATATTTCATATTTATATATTCTTTATAGATAATGGTTGAAATTGAAAAGTCTTAGCCAATATGAAAACTAAATCTTTGAGTTTTAATAATCTCTATTCTATTGTAAATATCAAGAGATTGTGTAGGTACGTAATATGACTCACATCAAGGGAGAATCAACCTTATAGTTTCCATGGAAATGGTTTGAAATGGTATTGTGTATTCCTTCTCTTTTTTTTGGAAAATTGAACAATGTTTTTCCTTTGTTTATCAAATTAAGTCACCATTATTTCTAAAAAATATTAAGTTTTTAATCTCTGCTATGATATGCTTCAAAGTTTCCTCTCTCTAGAAATTTCAAGTCTCATCCTTGAACAGGATTACCACTCCACAGAATAAGGAAAACCTCAAAAATACAGGGAATTTAAAAATTACCTAAAATAACAGGCAAAATTTGAGGAATTTTGATTTTTTCTTCCTGAACTGGGTAGATACCGTGAATTTTGTTTCTCATTTTCATCTTTTAAAAAATGGTGACCACTCAAAGCGTAATCTATGGGATATTCAAGCATGATATTTCGGCTATAAATTATTTCATTTACTATAGCATTATTTAAGTATGTTCAGTTGTTCCTTTTTTTTTCTCTACGTTTTTCCAGCAATTAGAACTAATAAATTTAGTTAGCCCAATATAGCTGGCGGCCCTGTTTAAAGTTCAAGAATCTTTCATTAATTTGAATTTTTTTCCCTTTATATCATTTTTTAAATCATCTGAACTGGTTGAGTTATGAGAAGAAGAATGTTAGCATCCTTCTTGTTGATATTGCCAGTATAATCTTTTACATTTTGAGATGACTGTTTAAAGGAGAGACCCTGGGGTAACATTGCCGAACAATACAATTAAAATTCCGCTATTGCATCCATCTAATATTTATTATATGCCATACAAAAAGAAATGATAGGAAAACATACCAGTTATACCTTTATATTTTGTGTTTGTTTCAAAGTAAGAACTTTCAGTTAAAATCTTAGATCTAATTATTTTTTCAATGTAACATGTAGCCGTTTTTTTTAACTTAGTATTGTATATCGTTACAGATTTAAAATTCATAATACAATTCTGCTTTATTATAATATTGTTAGCTGAACTACTTTGATATTATATTTGCTTATTTAGTAGTGTGATTTATTATACTTTTTATTTCTTTCTTAGATTTATGAAGCACTTGTGTGTGTCCATGAGCTGCTTCATGATCAAGTTCGTCATTTGAGAAATAGAGATGGTTTGTTACTCATTTTTTTTAATTGATCTGATTTTTTAATATAGTTAAATGCTTTATTAATTGTATTAGAAATCATTAAGAAAGAAACTAGCTGTGAAATATGTTATAATCAGCTTTGTAGTTTCATATTTTATAATTATCAGTTTTTCATTTGTTAATAATTTATATTTTTACAATTTTTAATTTACTATTTCTTAACTACCTTATTATTGCAAATACAATATTTTTTTTTATAATAATAATGTAAAGGAAATTTTTTTTTCTATGTTAAATTGATATAAAATAGATCATTTTAGGAAATTTAATTTTTACTTGTTTAGGTTTATATTATTTTGTAATTAATAATTCTTTCACTTTCAGTAGGAAGTTCAAAATTATAAGTAATATATATATATATATATATATATATACCATATTTGCATCCAATTTTCATTGCCTTTGATTTATTTGACAAATTATTGTTTTATAATTTCAGACAATACTTTATTAAGAACAAATTTTTTTTATCGTCGATTAATTTAGTTCCTTTAATTTCTATACAAGACACAATACTTTTTAATTGGAGAAATTCTAATTCCATCTTTTTTTATGAATGATGTTTCTGATTCCACTATGTTTTGCTGTTTTTTCCCCTTCATTCACAATACATTTTGTACTTAATGAATTATTTCATTTCATTTTCAATTTTTAGATGGAATTTTTTCATTTTTATTTCAATTGATCATTACATCCTGCCTTGTCCTGTGTTTNAGGGACAAGATTCTAAAAATAACTCCTCCTTTGAAATATAAATCTAATTATTATTCAATGGTATGTTTTCAGCCTTGAAATCCCAAAATAGAATTGCTCTACGCTTTCTCTTTAACAAAGACATTTTATGAAACCGAAAGAGTTTTGATTCTTTTATTGATACAAAAGTATTTAATTTTTGTATTACATATATATATATATAGTTAGTTTTTTTCTATTGTTTTTAGTTTATAAAGTTTTTATTATAATATTACTCTACTTTCACATACTATTTAAAAATAATAATAATAATTTATTGATTTATAACAATGTAATTTTTTTTAATAATCGACCGGCTTTAATCACTATTTGAAATACTGATTTAAATTGTTGATACCCTGTTCATAGTAATTATGCATGCTAAATATGAATTATTCTGCATACAATGAATCTACTTAATTCATTGTAATAGTTTTATTTAGGTGTTAGGCGTGTTCAGTTTTAAAAAGTAACATTATTACTAAAAGGTTACTATTAATCAAAATATTTTAAAATTCTTACAGTTTAGTAAAATTTTGACTTCTTAGAAAAGTCATGATATACATTTTGAAATTTTTATTACTGTTTTGTATGACCTTTATTTATTTGTACAATAATGAATGGAATTAGTTTCTTCAAAATATTACTTTACTTGTGTTTAGACAAAGCATTCTGTTGGGAAACACTCTGTTTAATTTAGCAGGTTCGTCATAGAGCAAGAAATTAAGGAATAGTGAGAAAAAATCAAAGAATTTTGCCTTATCAATCAGGAAATGTCAGGGAATTTAATTAAAAAATTCAAGAAATCTGCAGAAATGAGTTAATTTGAGTATAAGGTGCTTAAAAGCCAAATATTTAAAAAAAATAGTTTTGTAATTTTTTTGAACAAAGTGATGTTTATTTTCAACTTTAATAGCACGCCTAAGTGTTCTGTAGTATATTTTATCCATAAGAATAGACATGATTGAAAAATTAATGATGAAAGTTATGCCGCCATTTACTAAAATCTAAAATTCAATAAAATCAATCTGGAATAATCGAAATTTTTTCCCCAAGTGCTTAGAGCTACTCTAATTATATTTTTTTTTTCTAGGATTGGTCTTACAAAGTATATTCAACAGCCAAAAGATTGGCCCTCAAGTCAAAATTTGGAGTGGTGCCTCAGACAAAGGTGTAAATCAACCATTTATTAATGTTTTACATACTATTTTGCTATCAAGAAACATTTTGTCTGGAGAAAAATCTCCACTTGCAGATATATTAAATGCTTTGCGAATCCTAGAGGAGAGAAGAAAGAGTTTAGAAGTATCTTCAGAAGTAATTATTTATTTGATTTATTTTTTAGTATTATTTTTTATTGAACTTATATATTGTACCTTTTTCAGATTATTTTCACATATTTATTTAAATTCATTTTTTTTTTTAAATTAGAATTATTTGGAGTTATTTAAGCCATTTACCTATTTAAGGCAACAACCAATTCAAGAGCCTTCTTTTTTGAAATTATAATTAATTATTGTGAAACTTAGGTCTACTTCAACACTCTATGTTTACATGTATGAAAGTTTTCTGAAACATGTAGGTTAAAGACAAAATAAAGAAGAATACTTGGTAGCTTATAGTTTGTCTATGGTAAGAACTCCCCCTGCTACAAATTAGGAACAAGAATAGCGCATTTCAAGGAGGATATCTTCCCTTCACTTTAGGGTTAACAAGGCTCGGGACCGGTAAAAAAAAATTACTTTTCTCTCTCAGACCTGAGCCAAAACCTGTCCTAAACGGTGTCCCCAAACTCTTACTATAAATTGCTATATCTCATTACCATAGTCACCGCCACGGGTCTAGACGAATGGCTGGGAGACTTTACTTTACAACAACTTTACTTACTTTCTTACTTTAGACAAACTATATGTTGTTTTTAAAGTTTAAGCCAGCACAGTATTTAGCTTATGGTAGTTGGTGAGGGTAATAAAAGGCAGAAATGTATGCACAAATGCTACTAGAAGCATTTTTTAGTTAAAATAAAGTGTGAAAAGAATTCTACCATATTTTTAATGATTTAGATAGTTATTTGAATTTAAAAAAATCAAGATTATTTATTGATTGCATAGCAGTGTTATTAAATGATTGAAGTAATACCAAAGTTGGTTAATGAAGTTCAGTTACCCCTTTGATGCAGAATTTTCATGAAGCATATTTTTCTTACTTTTTTCATTTAGGTCAAAATAAGTAAAAAATATATTTAGCATTTTAATAATTTTTGGTTAGGAAACACAGCATCAGGCATTGGTGTCCCTTTTTGCATTAAAGGTAAAATTTTCCAAACAGGGTTCACTTCTAAACAAAAAAATTTCATACTTGCGCCTATTTGGAGTTATTAAGATCTAAAATTAAGAGTAATTTATCTCTAAAATTTCTTTAATTTAGAAAATCAATTATTGATACATTTTTGAATATGAATGAAATTGAAATTTTTTAAACTACTTTTTTTGAATTTTATGTTTTAGAACAAATATAATTCCAAGAATCTTAACAAATTTTTTTAGTGATCATTAGACCGATTTTTATAATTAAAAAAAATATCAAAATGTTTTTTACTTGTAATTAGAACTTCAAAAAAAAAAATAGATAAAAGGAACACCATTGTCTCATCTCAACTATGGTTTACAAGTTCAAATCATGAAGTCTAGTGTTTTTTTTTACTTTGGACCATGTAGTGCAGATGTGAAAATATCTATAATATTCACTTCCATAGTTTTGTGGAAAAAGTTTGTTGCTCTTTGTTACTCCATACCAGAAACAACAATGAATTTAAATCTGTAGAAATTTTTTTTTAAAAAGTACCATATGAAATGTATAAATATCAGATAATGCAATAATTGCTGAAAGAAAGAGTGACTAGGCTATATAGTTTTACTATTGAAGCTGCGAATATCTAAGTGATTGCATGATTTAAAATTTGCGTCTTGAAAAATATACTAAAAATAAGGAATTTTAATTTTAAAAAATTGCGATAAATTTTTTTCTTAGTAATTTTAGAAAATATATTAGTTTATAACAATTTTGTTGTTTTTGAATAACGCTTGTGAAATTCTGTAAGCAAACTTGATATTATTGAATATGCCGAATTTGCCTTGAAGTCACACATTGTAATAAATTAACTTATTGCAGCTTGTTTATTGGAATTTATTGTATATATATTTTTAATTTTTGTTTTATAAGCAGGGATGTGATTCTTCCGCGGATCCGCTGATTTCCTCTTTTTTCAGATTTTTCCATATCTTCCCCTCTTTTTTCATAAATTTCCGCGAAAAAAAAATTTTTATGCAGTAAATGATATTTTGTTTAAAATTTTTTTCTTCCGCAGAGCGAAAGTATTGAAGCCCCCAATAAACCTTTCTTCGCGTGTCAATCTGCTGGCTGGGGTAAAAGTGGTTGACCTTGGTAAAACAATGCCGTCTCCTACTCCATTACTCTCTTATCTTTTCAGGGATGAAAGACTTTTTAAAATTTCCGACCATGTTCCAAGAACTTTTGGGGAGTCGAACGAACGCGGATTTGCGACGAACTCCCCCCCTCCCCCTGCAGTAGCCTCCTGAGAAAATGATCTTCAGAAGAAAATGAGTAGAATTTCTGTAGAATGGGTAGAAAAAGTCCTAAGCAGTTTCGTTTCGGATGCTGATATTTGATTTCTTTTGATTGGCTGATTTACAGAATTTTAAATATTAGGAACTGGGCCAGAATCTGCTAAAATTGCGATTCTTATTTAGACGATTTTTATGTAAATCATCGATTTTCGAATTTAACTGATTTAAAAGTTACTTGTTGAGATTCGTTTTTACACGATTTAAAAATCATTACTCGCAATTCCCATTCACGCAATTTAAAAATTCAATGTCGCGATTTGTATTTAAGCGTTTTTAAAACCCAATATCGCGATTTGTATTTAAACGTTTTTAAAACCCAATATCGCGATTCATATTCCCGCTAGTTTAAAATCCAATGTCGCGATTCGTATTCATATATATTTTTAAATTTCAATATTGCGATTCGTTATCACGCGGTTGTAATATCAAACATCGATTTTCGTATTTATACGCGGTTTAAACATTACTCGTTGCGATAAGTATTCACGGACTCTAAAAATTATGCATCGTGATTCTTATTTACGCGATTTAAAAATTCAATACCGCGATTTGTATTTTCGTGCTTTTAAAATCCAATATCGTGATTCTTATTCACGTGATTTTAAAATTCAATATCGTGATTCTTATTCACGCTATTTTAAAATTGAACATCGCGATTCTTATTCACGCGATTTTAAAATCAAACATCGCGATTCTTATTCAAGCGATTTTAAAATCCAACATCGCGATTCTTATTCACCCTATTTTAAAATCGAACATCGCGATTCTTATTCACGCACTCTTAAAATCCAACATCGCGATTCTTATTCACCCTATTTTAAAATCGAACATCGCGATTCTTATTCACGCACTCTTAAAATCCAACATCGCGATTCTTATTCACCCTATTTTAAAATCGAACATCGCGATTCTTATTCACGCAATCTTAAAATCCAACATCGCGATTTTAAAATCCGATATCGCCTTATTCACGCGATTTTAAAATCCGGCATCGCGATTCTTTTTCACGCGATTTTAAAATCAAGCATCGCGATTCTTATTCACGCGATTTTGAAATCCAACATCGCGATTCTTAATCTAAGGCCTCTAAAAATTGTGTGAGAAATGAACTTTCTTGTCCTATCAACACTGATGATCAAAAGTCTGCAAAACGCAGTCTACTGATCAGTCACGTTAATAAAAGACCATCGAAAAAACAAAGAACTGATGAGAAAGTCCATAAAGGTCCTTTGACCATTAAAGAAATGTTTTTTAAAATGATGTGATACATAAAATCGTGCTTATGCATAATTACTCAAAGTCATCTAAATTATTAAAAAAAAAATTTTTTAATCAAGATTTTATTTAAGAACATAATTACCATTTATTTATATTTATTTGAATAGATAATAATGTAATCATTCTAAGATTGGCTATTGAATTCATATAATTTTTTCTTTTGCACGTTTAATGCTACAGTTATGAACTTCTTTTTTGTGTTTTTGTCAATCACATCCCTGTATAAGACTGGATAAAATGTTTGTGTTTTAACATTCAATGTAAGTTTTAAACTTTATTTTTTAAAAACATTAAATAACATAAAGTTTAATATCTTATAATAATATATGTTTCATAATCATATGTTTTGTATTCAAATAAAAATACAGGATAAGATTGTAGTCTTATCATGGATTTAATATTTAACTACTATAAGTTTACTGAGGAATATCTGAAAGCTTAAATGCCTTTAAAAAATAGAAGACTAGCAGGTATCTATTTGTTTAATTTTGAAAATGTTTTCAGCTTACAGTGCCACATTTGGAACTTAAATTTTTTTATGGATTATGGAGATATTTTTGTCTTTATAATTTTTTGATAGTCTCTTTACTAAAGTATTATATATTTACTTCATTGGTGCCAATTCTGTCAAATCACATTACGACTATTAGTCTGCAAGTAAGTTCAGTTTTAGTATAAGTACTGTATAATATCAATGCTCAGTAAATTTTGAATAGTGGAAATTCTGCCTGTATTCTGTTCTGTTATTTTTCATTTTTATTAAAATCAATTGGGGGAAAATGCTACTTGAAATGTTTTTTCCTCGCAGCACCTAAAAAAATTTGTATGGTGTTATTTATTCACTTGTTTTTTGTTTTAATCAGTATTTTTTATTTATTTTAGGCTCACATTCCAGTATCTATTTTTCTCACAGAATACATTCTTCAGTCACAGATGAACAAAGATTCTGTCGAGCATGATTTACTAAACATTTTTCAAACCTCCCATAACATATCTTCTTTACCTAGAATATTATGTTTGCTTTTCTTTCCCTTAAGTAAGATATGTCATAAATTTCAAGTCTCAATTTTCTATAATTATTGTATTTTATATTTTTTTATGCTTTTATTTTAATGCTCTTCATTAGTGAAGTGTTAGGCATCTTTATTTTTTATTTTAAAATAAGAAATCTCATTAAAATTTACACCAATAGCATTTCAAAAGAAAATTCTTTCTGTAAGAATTCTGCAACAGTGTTCCCATGATTCTGCCACGGGGAGCCAAACTTGAATCACAATTTCATCGTAAATCCACCTAGTATTATTGATAATTTTTTCAGCAGTTATATTTCCACAGCCTTTAAATTCAATTTTTTAATATTATGAAAATTTCTGCATTTTGCCTCGCATATACAGGGTTGCCACAGGCGAATATTTTTCTGAAAAGGCTAAAAAAAGCAACCATTTTCAGGAAAAGGAGACTATTGGGAGACTTTTCAGTATTCCTAGCGATGTTTTTAAGCATAAATTGGGTTGCGGTCCATGGGAGCATCTGAACACACACTGAAAATTTTTTCTTTGAAAAATAAACAAAAATTTTAAAATTTGGAATTGAAAATTTGAGTCATAACTTTTTAATGCGCTCAATTTGAACATATTCCATTGTAAGTCTATTTTGTTTCTCCATCGCCTTTTCAAGGGTTATTGCTATGAAATTCTGCATGATTTTTAAAAAAAACAATTTACGATATTATGATGCTTGAATCTCGAATTTGAGTAGCCACGTTTCACAATATTTATATGTATAAATTGATTTGCTAAACCAATAATTGATAAAAAGGAAATTTTCTGCAAATATACAAATTTTTTTGATATAAAAATTACGCTAGAACACTAACATTTATATAAAATTATCACATTTGCCACCAACTTGACTAAATGGATCATGGTATATAATTATTAAATCATTTAATAAAATTTTAGTCATAATTTTGATGAATTTTTGTTCTTATTTAGGCAACTAAGGGTTACCATAGTTTTCGGTAACTATTTTCATGCTTTAGGCTACAAAAAGCAACTATTTTGTTCATTTTTTTCTTTTTACAAATCTTATGAAATTGTATGGACGCTTGAGGTTTCACTGTATTATGACGGAAATTATACATTCGGAAAAAATGTTGATTAGTATTTTAAATTCTGAAATACTAACTATGTGAGCTCAGACAAAATTTTAAAAGTATATCACAAACAGAATAATAAACAAAACAAACTCAATACTAATTTAGTTATTGGGAAAATATGCAATTCATACATCAATAAAGATTTCTACAAGTTTCAATGTGGAATTTCAAAGTTGATCATACTATTTTACATTACCAAACCTTATCCATTTTAACTGTAAACCATGAACTCTTTTAATGCAAAATTGCTTCTACCTAATTATAAAAAAAAAAACATAAAATATAAGCTTATTTCTATTTTTTAACAGAAAAGATGTAGGCTATTAAAAAAAAAAACTTTTTTTCATGAAAAATGCTTTGATCAATGATCATAATTTACTTATCATACCACTAATTTTTAACTGCCACTAATTGTGATTTATTTTTGTATTGCAGATATCTATTGGATCACAGAAGACAAAGGTTTCTACTGTGAGTTACAGTCCTCTATGAGTCTGAATACAGATAACTTTAAAAGCTATTTCCTTGTCTGTCAGTCAATAGCAGAGAAGATTCAAAGTTTTAAATTTGCAGCACAGGAATCCTTATTTACCAAGGAAGATCTGCAAAATAATATATCTATGACTGCTTTAAAAATGAAACAGCTTTTACTATCAAAGGCAACTGATGAACTTTTATTGCTGTATTTTGTTGCTAATCTTACTGATGAACTTCTGAAGAACATTGTTAAAAAGAAAGAACTTCTGTTGGATTGCATTATGAATGCTTTAAATGAAACTGGTGAAAATTATGCAACTATTGCAAATGTGACAAAATCTGTTAATGATAGTCATGTCGAACACAGCGGGGTAAGTGAAATTAAAAATTCAGAATTAACGAGTGATCTCAATAAAAAAGTTGATCTAGAACTTCCCATTAATTTAATTGCAAAAGAAAATGCTAAAAATACATCTAGTGATACAGATTATAGTGAAACACCAATTAAGGATAAGAAAAATGATGCCAAAGATAATGATGATCGTCTCACACCAGGTGACGCTCCTATTATTGAAAATGCTAGTCATGCTACTGAACCAAATGCATCTTTATCACTGGATATTCAAAATAATTTCAGTTCTGCGGAATGTCAAGTGTCTCATATTTGTGAAAATAATACTGAAAACGTCCATGACACTAACGAGGACAATGCCTCTTCAAAAGACTTAAACGAGCCTGAAAATATGACTCAAAGCCAGAAAGATGATTTACTTTGTGAAGATGTTCAAGAAAATGTAGAAGACAATATAATTAAAAATGATCTTATAGATGTGAATGATCTTCAGTTGCAAGAGTTAATTCAATCAGTTATAGAAGAGGCAGATTTAAAAGCACAATCTATAATAGAAAATAACAAAAAATCCAGCTATATAGCAGAAAGCAGTGAATGTATTTCTGAAGTTTGCATAGATAGTGAAGAAAAGAATTTTTCTCTGAATCTAGTTAACGAAACCAGCAACTATTCCACAAAAAACAGTTCTAAGATAAAAGATATGCCGAACGATAGTACAAAATCATCCGACTGTGCAATAAAAACGAGTTCGGAGTCTGGTCCCTCGAAACCAATGTTTGATCAAGAAAATGAAGAGAGGCAACATGAACTATGCTTAACAAAAATAGATTCGTTTTGCGGTGTTATATCATTAATATCACAAACTGTTTGTAAAGATGAATTCGCTTTACTTTACTATCTTAAAGAACGTTTAAATTATTTGAATAATATCATGTCCGCAACAGTACTAAGTGAAATGTCTAAAGAATTCTCAAAAAATAAAGGAAAATCCAACAAGAACTCTAAAAAGAGAAAGAAAAAGCAGCAGCAACCCTCAACGGAGGTCTCTCTTACTAGTGATAGCAGTTGTGCAAATGAAATTTCTGATCAAACTAAAAAGGTTGATCAAAATCTCCCAACAGAGATATCTTCTATCAGTGATACAGAAACAATTTTGCAAAATAACACGGCTAATGAAGAGTGCTCTGAAAAAGAAACTCTTATTGATGGCCCTGATGATGTAAGTTCCGTTGTGTCGTCTGATAGTAATTCCAATGATATTAAATCCAATGAAACAAATAATTCACAACAGAATGATGTTATAGAAGGAGAAAAGGACACACGTGTCATTAATTGTAACGAAGATTGTAGTAAAACATTGGACACAACTGTTGATGGAAATTGTGCAGATAATAGCCATGCATCTTCTGAAAATATCAGGAATACTAAAGATGGATCCCAAAAGAAAAGAACAGAAACTCTGAAGCAAGAACATAAAATGATTTCAGATGCACTAGTAGTTCTTGAAGAAAATGCTATGGTGAGTTTTTTTTAATAATTATTTTTTTATATTTCTATTATGTAATGCTTTCAAAATAATATTTTGAAAGCTACTATGTATTTATTTTAAAATTGGTGTTCTGATTTTTCATATTTGACTATGTTCTCAGTTTTTAAAAAGTTGCATAAAATATATTTATTGCAAGCAAAATAAGCATGAATAATTATATGCTTAAAAATCTAAGCTCAAATCTTTTAGTTTAAAAGAAACAAAATGAGAAATAAATGCATCATGTTCAGGAGGTAATACAACTAATTTCTTTAATCACCTTTCACTAACAAACTAATCGTGTCCCATTAATAACGGATACATTATTAATTTTTTTTTTTTACTGCTCATCGCAATAACCTTGTTAGAAATAAAAGGAAAATTATGAATTTTATGGGAAGAAAATTAGGAATATTACAGTTAATTTCAATAAGTTTTTGATAATAATTGTAATAAGTTTTTGATGAAAAAAAATAAGAATTATTGTGACAAAAGTAACTGAAATACTAAATTTGTAATGTAACTAAAATTGCTAGAGTTTTACCTCTTCTAGAAATGCTGAAATATATAATTTTATTATAATACTATATTGCATATCATATGCCTACATCAGATAATCTCAGTATCCCTTTGGAATAATAATTTCACTTTGACCTTTGATCCACAATGATTAAGGTTATTGAGTTACAGTAACAGAATGAAAAGAAAAATTAACAGTTTTTAATAAGTAATCTGGAGAAACAGGCTTTTTTGATGCAGGAAAGCCTGCATCCGAAAGTTTGAAATTACCACTCAGATGGTTAAGTTGATGCCAATTGTTTGCTGAATATTGGTCTTACATATGCATGGGTGATTGTAAGCCCAACTCAAAAATCTTGAAAATTTCTTGAGTAAAATCATTAATGACGAGGTTCAAAAAATTAATGTCTTTATAATCTAAATAAATGATTATGCAGCATAATTTAAATCAATACTTATGTATAAGTTTACTTTTATCTTTAATCACATTTATTATTCTACCAGAAAAAATATTTACAAATGAAAAATATGCCAAGTATAAATTCTAGTTCCAATATTTCTAAATAAAATATACAAAAATTTTTATACATAAAATGTAATCAATGATTTCCGGATCACAATTAGCAAAAACTCTGGAAATCCGGATTATTTTCCGGAGCACAATCATCTCTGCATATGTTTTTATTTCAAAATTATATTTTAATATACATTGAATTCATTATCCCACAGTTTTTACCCATCTTGTATATAGTTTTATAGTAATCATCATCAGATTGGTAAAAAATTAAGAAACTCTTCTTCACTGAAATTTTTTTTCTCTCGTTTAATTTCAATTCACTTTTCAAAATCTTTATTTTAAAAGAAATCTGGTATTTTTTATCAATACAATTTTTACATTTAAACTAATAATTATCTTTTTTTAGTGTTGCCTTTATCCAAATCCTTTTGATATTTTGTTGAAGCTTAGTGATGCTATACATCAAGTCGTATACAAATCAGAGTGCCATGCAGTTCGAAATAAACTGCACAGCTTCCTTCATAGCATCATCGATTGGGAAGAAAAATTCTCTTATGGTGAGATCAAGTATGTGTGTAAAATTTGTAAGGTACCTAAATAAAATTTGTGATACATTGTTTTCTAAATAAATTAATCCAATCATTTAATAAAAAAAGGTCATTGACATATAGATTTTTCTTTATTATACATACAGGCAATGTCATCAGTCACTTGTGAAGCATTGTAATACTGATGGAAAAAATAATGATTTAATAACAACCATATTTAAATAACAGTGACCAATATACACATGATAACAATCTTTTTCAAATGATCTTCATTAAAAAAAAAAAATTAAACTTATTAAGCTTTCATTAGTTGAAACATTCCAAAACTATCCTTAAACAATAGGTTTTTAAGACATGTGAAAAAGTGGACACAATATTAAAGCAAATGTTAATCAGCAAATAGCTATTGATATGTTTATACAATTTTAATTGAATAAAAATAAATTTTTTCAAAGAAATTTACATATATACATGCTATTTATTAATGTGGAATGCTTCGATTAAAATATTAATTACTATTTATTTTTAATATTTAAAGCCAGTCAATCGAGAATTTAACTGAAATTTTGAGATGGACGGGTCGCTTAAGAAATTTCTAAAACTATTCATAGCCCTGACAAAGAACTTAATAAATTACAATGCATTTCTATGTTGTAAAATAAATATTTTAAAAAAGATGAACAATAACAATCTGGCACTTTTCTTGACTTATCAATAATTATAATTTTTAAAAAAAACTGACAACTGTTTTTAAACATTTAACAACAAAAATATCTAACAAACTCCATAGATTAATCTTTAACAAATGTGTAACAAAAATAATAAATATGCATTTTATTACATTTAGCAAATAAAAAAATCTAACTTCTATTAGATTAACAAAGCAGGATCCAACTTAAAATCTTAAATGTAAAGAAATTATGCGAATCCATAATATTTTGTTGCTAAAATTTTCTCCAGTTACTTTATTCAATAAAAATATAGCTATTTTTAGTAAAATAAGTGTCTTTGAAACAGAAAACAAATATCTTTATCAGAAGCTAAATATAGTATCACCTCATAAATAACAAAAAAAGAAAGATGTCATTTATAAAGTAAAAATAATGTTCACTATTTTCTATCAGATCTAATTATAAAAAGAAATGGATTTATATTACTATTGCCCAATTTATTATGCAAATATTTTAAGTTAGAGAGTCAAAAGGAGGGTTTTGTAAATGTTGAGATCTTAACTTATGGTACAGTCTAACTCTTGTTTTGGCAAACAGTCCATTGTAGTGGCAACAGATCTAATTAAGTATGTCATTGTACCATAACATCCACTAGGAGCACTGTCATAAAAATGTTGACAAATACCTGCAGCACCACCGCACGGATTATCTGGCGTAGTTGTAGCACAGCATATGGTCGCATCTCCATTAATTTGTTTCTAAAGCACAGAAATATACATTGTATAATAAATAGTTTGTATATTGGTATTATACAGTCCTTAAAAACTGTAATTGGAAAAAAGGATTAAAACTCTTCAATTTTACAAGCTAGTAACAAAATAAAATGTTTGAAAGCAAATCACGTGAAACCCTGCTTAAAAAAGTAGCAGAATTGCGCTGTCGTAAATTGCAGAGGTTGAAGGTCAAGTCCCAACGTATTCAATGATGTCATCAAAAACTGCATGGTTAAAATTCTCACTTTTTCTTTTAGGGTATTTTGTTATTGTAACCTTTAGATTTGAGGTATTTATTAGTTTTTTAATTGTTGGAAAAATTCATTTTTGCTTGTATCTATCCTCTGGAATGAAACCAAAAATCTTCTGAGTTTTGGCTAATTAAAGGTCAAACTAAAAACTGCCATTTTTTCTTCCTCAAAAAAAAAAAATTGTTTTCCTTTTCTACTAATTTTTTTGCAGGTAGCTCATCAACCCCTATGCCCATTGTTCAGTTTGCTGGAATTGATAGATCAATAACGCAATCCTTACAATTGGGTATCATTCACTAATTAAGTTTTTCTACATAAGACAATACATGATAACAGTTTTTATGTTTCAAAAATTTCAACCCCTTTTATTCATTTGATATAATAAAGTAAGGTATAATTCTATCCTAAAATCGCAGATTTTGTACATGGAGGACCATTCACCGATTTTACAAGGTTTCTAATTTATCTCACTTATTTTATGGTTCAAAAAATTTTCTGGACTCTTGTTCCTTTATATATAATCAACATTTAAAAGAGTATGGATTGAGGGGTTAACATTTATGAAATATTGGCTAACACAGTAACAAATCTTATGTAAATTTGATTTATTATTTTTAAAAAAAAAAATCAATCTCTTAACCAACTCAATTATCTCAGAATAGTCAAAGTGGTGAACTAATAGACTGTATACTAAAATGTGTAGTGGCTATACTCATTTTATTTTTGTTTTCAAAATTACTGACACTCTATTTAAATTATTTGATTTAAGAAACATTGGATCTCATCTTTAAATTTGGGTATTATCATCTAATTGTTTATATTATTTTACTAAGTTCCTTAGCATAGTTATTGTAACATTTTCCAATCTTTATGATTATTGCCACCAATTACCGATTCAATACTTAAATTAACATGAAGTCTTTTACTAATTACCTATAATATATTTTTTAGGTGTTTACTCTCTTATTTCCAACGCTTTATCAATCCACTATAATCAATATTAATAATCATCTTATAAATGTTTTTGTAAACTATACATTTATAACTAATTTTTTTTTATTATAATAAAGCACCATACTTATTTTAATGGCATCTACTGATATTAATTAAAAAAAAAGTTTTTACAATATCCCCCATATTTAAATATTTTTACCCATCTGAATTATCCTAATTTTAATATGAAAAATCTCCCTAATTTTAATTTGAGCAAGAGTCAATTTATTCTGAAATTGACTTATGTTTCTCTTTTATTGACTGCTGCTGCATATGTTTTGTAGGAAAAAATATTGAATTAGAAGAATAGAATAAGAAAAAACAATTATTCCTTTTTAATATTATTATTCAAATTATTTTACTTTTCTCTGCTAAATTTTGTATTGAGTATTCTTAATGCTCCTAATTTGGAATCAATTATAAACAACCCGGTGGCTAAGAGGTAGCTCTTCGCGCTGTTGTGCCACAGGTCCCTGGTTCGATCCTCGGGCTGGGCAAGGTTGACTCAGCCTTTCATCCCTTCAGTGGGTCGATAAATGAGTACCAAGCATGCTTGGGAACTAAACACTGGGGGTTCCGCGTTCGGCTGACCACCTGACTGGAGCATCCGCTCCTGCACCCCAGAGCCCAAGGTCAAGAAAACTGAGATGGGCACAGTAGACCTTGGCCCTCTAGGGCTGTCGCGCCACTGAGTTTAGTTTATAAACATACAAATATCACTGGTGTTAAAATTTTTAGAGCTTCTCCATATATATAAGTTTATTTTTGGAATTTACAAACATGGTTTAATTTCTAGTTCAAAAGTATTGTAAACATTGAAAATACTTAATTAAAAAATAGATTAATCATAAGATTATATAAGAGAAATTAAAGAAATGATAAATATAATTTATCAGAGTGTTTTCCAATTAAAATAATGTAATTAATATTGATTTATACAGTTTATTTTTTGAAGCATTATAAATTTTACATTAATTACCTTTGTTTAAAAAGATTTAAGTGAACGATAAAATATAATGAATAAATTTTATAATTCCATTTAAGCATTCATTTTTAAAAAAATTATTTTTATTAAAATTTTTAAAAAAATTATTTTTATTTAAAAATTCATTCATTTTTAAAAAAATTATTTTTATTTAAAAATTATTTTTATTATCCAATACCAACAGGATCAGGGTTAGTTTGTCAGAAAATTGAAATCATTGGATAAATGGTAAACCTTTAAATATATAAAATTACTCAGAATAATTAGTGACTTAAAAAAATGCTTTTGTTTCATTTTTCTATCACAAACAACAATACAAAATTTGGTTAATTTTTGTCTTCTGTTTATTTGTAATTTTCCAGCAACCAGATTTCAGATTCTTTCTGAAAGCAATAATTGGATTGAATTGAATTTCATGTAATAGCACAAAGGTTATAAATGCAACAATAGTATCGACTGTAATAACGATTAAAGGTTTGCGGATTTCTTTTATCGTGTATTAGATAACTGAAGTGTTGTATGGTTAAGCTTTAGATAATTAGGGAAACTCTGTTACAATCAATAAACCTGACAAACACCACAATAATAAAGTGATATTGCAAATTTGGTGTGAACTTACTTGATCTTCTAAAAATATTTGATTTGCTTTATGCACTAAATGCTCAACATTTATTATTCCTCCAAGAGTTTTGACTGCATCATGTTCAACTAATAGCGTCAAAATCATCAAAGCTTCCACCATCAATTGACGATACTCTGGCTGTGGTATACTATTTAACACTGTTTCCACTTCAAGTGCAAATTTTAGTTCACCTGGTGTCATCTAAATAAAATATATTTGTTTTTTAATTATTTACAATAGTAAAATATTTGTTTTTATTAAAAATTTTCCCTTTGAAAAAATATTATTTAAACAATGACTTGTTTTCTGACCCATGATTTAGGTCAAATTAATATTGGTTAGAATATCTGGTTGTGTTGAAGCAAGATCTATTGCCAAGCATTCAAAACATTAGCAAGATGGTAGCTTTAAATGTCCGAAAACAAAAGAGGCTTTAAAATCACATCCAATTTTAAAAAGTAGTATGCGTAAGAATTAAAAAAATTTCCACTATTATAAAATAATAAATATTTTTTACATCTTTGTATAAATCAGTTTTATAATGGTGTACAAAATGTTTTTAGAATTGCTTATAATGGTTTCTAGATGTGACAAAATGCGCAAGAAGTAAAATTGTTGTGAAGGGTTCCACACTTATGACAGCTCCCTTGTCTAAAAAAAAAAAATTTGGATAGTATTTTCCTAATTACAGTTACCCTTATATTTTAAGGATCAAGAATTCAAATCCATTGCTAAAAATCTATGTTTACTCAAGGAAAAAGAATGTTTTTGTGACTGATTTCATAAATTAAAATATCGTTGCAAATTAATAAGCATATTTAACATTAGGCTGTCAGACTATTAAGATCAAGTCCTAATACGTGAAAATCCAATCATTAGATCAATTTATTCAGGGTGTCCATTTTCTTTGCACACTGTATATTATTATATCTTGCAAAATTTTTTACTATTTTGAAAATCCCTTGTTTTGTTTTTTTTTTACACAGAAAATTTTAGTATAGCATGATATACCTAATTTTTACTTGTAACCATTTTATTTTTCAAGAAGAAATTTCATGCTTCCACCAAGAGCAAATATAATTTTAAATTATTTGATTTCAAGTAATAAAATCCTGTATTTTATTTGATAATATCTCACTACAGAAATGGTATATTTTGTCATATGAGATAAAATGTATGAAATTACCTCTCTTGTTAATTGCTGGTTAAGAATTTTTCCTTCAACTGACAATCCTTGGCACTAAAATTAAATACATTTATTAAAATATTTTCATGTATAAACATTGAAAAAGCTATTCACAATAAAAAAACAATCATATGTCATTTTAATGAAGTAGTTTTAACAGAATAAAATGAGAAATATTTTATTTATCAGATTAATCTTTTCTATTCAATCTAGATGTAAAAGTAATTTACCTTATTTATATTCGCTCTCTATATTTTGAGGTGTTCGAATATGAAAGTTTATCGCTTCATTTCCCTACCAATTTGAAAATATACAAATTCCTTAACTTTTCTGAGAATATAATATTTTACAATTACATAAAATATAAAAGCTACCAGTGACGATATATCATTTCCGAGCAGCTACTAAATATATTCAATATATCTATTTCTTTAACATGTATGCTTTAAACTTACCCTTTCTAAGACTGACCAAATGCGTGGATAGAACCCTCTAGGAACTCTGTTCAGAGCTCCATCGAGTCTTCGTCTCCTCAACCACTGCCCTTGTCTATCACTTTCAAACTGACCTCCCTCATCACTCGGTCCATCTTTCCCCAGGATAATATCAACCATGCTTTTCTAAAATTATAGAAATAATTTATGTATATATTATAGCATACCCTCCAACTGCTACGGAATTTCCGTAGTTTCAGAAATCTTCTTTTCTGACGGTAGCAAAATTAATGCCTTAATATTTAAAAAATAATAATTTTAGCGTAACTTGTCCACTATTATTTATAAAAGTGCAGGCCATATGGCTAGATTCTTAAGTTCTGATAAAAGTTTTATGAGAAATCCATTTGCTTTAAAAATTTCTACTTTGGTTCGCTACCACTAGAAAGAATTATTTTCAAAATCCTCATAAGTTGGAGGGTATGTATTATAGTATCAGAACTGTCTAATAAACGTAACTCAGTAATTTTGGCTATTTATTACTTTCCTTTCTAATGGAAAACTTGCCTGTCCTATACTATCCAATTTAAAAATAATTCGTAATTGTATTTAATTTTGCATTGAGTTGCAATGTTCATAGAGCTAATCATGAAAAATGTTTTTCAAGAAAATGAATATTTTAGTTGGTAGAGCTATGAATTTGATTCAACATTAGCTTTGTGGGGAAGTTATTAATAAATTAGTACAAATGGACACTAAAAAATTTTCACAAAACCAAAAATCACATACTGATACAAATAAAAAAAATTTAAATTATTTCCCAGTGGCTTTACGTTAATTATCAAAATAAAGACTTATGACTATTCTTTAACTCGATTCATATACCTTGTTTAATTTGATAGTTTATTACTACTTTAGATTCAAATTTGAAACAATTCACATTTTTATTCTAATTCTTTCTCTTCATTTCTGATTTTTTTTTCTTTCGAAAAGACCTCATTTTCTATCCGATTCAAAATACTTTCTTGCACTTGTATGATATTATTGTTTAATACAATCATAAATCGTTTGTGTGAAAGCGAGATGTTCATTGGTGGTTTATCATTTCTTTGACTTTTCACTTAGTGTAAATAATTTAGCTCTCTAACATTTTTGGCATGAGTATAGATCGGTAGTTATTTATTTTGCATGTATGGTTGAGCTTCTACCCTTGTTAGCAATGGTTCCAGCTTAATTTTGGATAAAATTTTATTTCTAAATTTTTGAAGTATTTTATCTCTGTGGCATTCTCTTCTCTAAGATTGCTTTATTGAAAGGTAATTTTTAATTAAATGTTATATCCAAAGAGCTCTTGAGAATACTCTAGCAAATTTTATTATTCAGGAAAGTGTAGTCTCCTCTAAGAACCATGAAGAAAATTTTTTTTACCAAACATATACATAATTGCTAAATGGAACTTAAACTCTCTTTCTTTAAAGTTAATAACTATTTCGAATAATTCAGCAGCAATTTCTTTTAATGCTGAGGCTAATATAAATGTACTTTTACTCACCTTACTTTGAACTTTACTTGGATTGGCAACAGAAACAACTCCACTTCGTGCTGTAATGAATTAAAAGGTATGAGATATAATGAAATAAAAACCAACTTTAATAAATCTAACAGGTTAAGTGTTAGGTTAAAAGAATCTTTCAGCGATTTACCATACAACTGTCTATTCCTGAATTCTGAGAGCAATAAAATAAAAATAAAGAATTTTAATCATTGTAAATAATGAATATATTTTGGAATATCTTTAAAATACAACTTACCGCTTTTAACAACAAATTCTTTGCCACTCAAAATATGATGAAGTAGCATCTTGACTTCAAAAGGACTTAAATTTAATAGATGTTCTGAGGCTTCATCACCTAAAATATTTGAATTGTAAGTACTAATATTTTTACTCTAACAATTAAAGGTCTTAGGAAAATAATATAACAAGGTGCCACATTTTCAAATTCTTCAGAAGAGCATTTTTTTGGTAAAATATAGTTACTATGTAAGGAAAAATATGTTTTTCTATATTTTGCATTCATCTAGTGGAAATATGAAAAGTATCTATCTGGAAATAATACTGAGGAAAAATTAAATGCAAAAGTTCCATTTCGGCAATAGTACGGCTAATCACTTTATTAACACAAGTACTTAGATTTCACTTAATGAATTGAAATTTGATTGAAGGGGCAATATTGTAAGCAATAAAAAATAAATCAGCAAGTTTTTACCACTGACTACAAAGAAACTATTTTTGGATAATCAATTAATAAGTAATAAACTTCATTATTATTTATCCACTTTTAAACAATTCTATTAGTAACTGGCAACCAATATTAAATCAGTGGAACATTTATTGCATACTCTTATTAACAACACTGTGCCATCAAGAACAGTGAGACATAATTTAGAAACTCTTCCTGTTAAAAATAATATCTATAGAAAATATATATTTGTTGTTTCAACTGTCACCCCAGTAATAAAAATTTAAAAAAGAAATAAAAATCTTTAATTTTAATTATCTTTAAATTAAAAGATTTTTATGGATGAAGATATTAATTATATACCATTTAATTCTGAATAAAAACCCAGTCATGTACAAGCTAGTACACTTTTTATTTGAAAATTCACCTAAAATTCGAAACTCGTATATAAGCAAATGTAAAAAATAAATAAAGCATGCTACGCTTAGAAACTAAAATATACACCCTTTCTTGTAGTAATGATAGATCTAGTAAGGGTTGCATAATGGGTAAAAGAAGTATTGACCTATTGAATTCTTAATTAGAAGATTAAAAAAAAATAGTATTCTTTTCAGATTGTTTTTTTTAAATGTTTCTTTTTCAATTTTTATATTTAGGCATTCCGTTTACAACTATTATTTTATGTGTTTGTATATAGGTTTCTATATAGGCATGCTAATGTTCGACTAAAGATGATTATTTTGGTGATGTCCTGGAAATTTTCTAAGTCGGTGAATTTGACTACCAAGTGAGCTTTTGAAAATTTTCACGTAATTCTCAGCCTGTATTTGGAAATATATATATTACATAACATCTTTTACATCTATATTAAAATAGGGAATAACATTTAATGTTGCGAAAGGGACCTTCAGGGCTAATCGTCAATAGCTATAAGATTTTTGTTGCTTGTATCTAGCTAAGGAACTGCTCAAACAGGTAAAATAAAATAGTATATAAACAAACAGTAACGAAGTCAAGATAGTAATTAATTATCATATTCAAGAAAGATACATGATTTTAAAAATACACTACTAGTAAAAGACATACTGATTTTAAAAATAACAATTCTTAAATTAAGGTTCAAATCATACCAGAGCATTTCAGAGAACGAGCTAATTCTGAAGCCATTACTTGAATGATTAAACCAACTCGTAACCTCAGCATTTCTAGAAACAGTTGTGGTTCAGTTCTTATGAACATAGCTAAGTAAACTAACAGTTCCTAAAAACACAAATAAGAATCAAAATTAAATTGTCAAGAGTATTAAAAAAAGAATATTTTGAACAACTATGTTTCATGTTTGAAAACTAATTTTTCAGTAAGTTCCATTCAAGAATCTGATTACAATTGCATGTATAGCAGAAAAACTACAAAAGAGTTGCTCTTCACTTACAAGAATGTCACTGTGATTTTTGCAAAATGTCCAAGTAATAAAAACTGCATTAAAATGAATGATATAAAAATTGAATTTATATGTCTTGTAAACAAGAAAAAACATTTTTTTAAAAAATGACATTTCATATTTAGGAAAGCTTATTCTATTAATACAAAAAGGTGGTGCACTTTTCTCAATTCTATAATTTTAGTTTACTTCAAGGAAAATATTCTTCAATCGTGCAATGATAAATTATATAAAAATTCTATTCTTTTTAAGAATGCTTTAATATGCATTATTTTTTACTCACCTGTGTCAGCATTGCAGTACTTTGATCACTGCCATGGGCATTATGAATTATTGCAATTAAATCTTTTGATGGTATAGGCCTGTAAAAGATTTGAAATAAATAAATACATATTTATGTATAATTTTGTGATAGTTATAGTAGAGGTATTTTGAAATTTAAAAGAGAACTTTCATAGTTAATATTAAAAAGAAATATTAATAAACTGAAAAGCACTAGAAAACAAGTGTTAGTAATGATAAAGGTTACAAAAAGATTTTAAAAAAATTTTTTGTGTCCCAATTATTTCAGATAATTGTGATTCTATGGTTGTAAAAAACGATAAAGAAAAAAATAATAATCATCGTTTCTCAGATATTGTGTAAGGAAAAAACCAATAACTTTAAAAGGTCATAACAATTTGCATAGTTTTAAAATGATGTATTGAATTAGTATTTCATAGTTATTTATAAATTAAATTTTATAACTACAAAATTATATTTACTAAGAATTAATTAATGCCTATTTCAACTGTGTTTTATTTACCTTGTAATAGTTTCTTCACAAATAGACGGCATTCCAATAGTAACTTGTTTTTGTCGTACTAACAAGTCAGTAACAGCCTAAAACACAGCAGATATTAAAATAAATCCCTAACCATAATAAATTATTTATCTTTTACTGTGAAAAACTCACTTTGGCAAGATCTTCCACTTTTTTTCCAAGCATTCCAGCAATATGTCTCACTAAAGCCCATTTCTTTTCATGGCATGCCTTTACAAACGTGACAAAAAAAAATTTAAATTATAATCTGCACTTATTAATAGCAAACAAATATTTAAATTTAATTAATTAAATTACCTTTTCGTATAGATCTTTCAATAAATCTTTAATAGTAACAACATCGTTTTGGCCACCTAAACCAGTATCCCAATGTATACCCCTAAAACGACAGCAAGAGATATTTTTTAAGAGTTAAAATTTATTATTCTAAAGTGAAGGATTAACTCACATTAAAATTAATACCCTAAGAATAAGCTCTTGTGTCAAATTAATTTTAGAACTCCAGAAGATTTTAATGTAAATTTTATTAAGAATACAATCATGTTCTGTAAGTATGGTAATTAAAAATACACAATTCTTAATTTCCCTTTAAATTAATTTAGCAATTTGACAACAACAAAATTCATAATTTTTCAAGAAACAGAATTGTACTGTATGTATTATTAATTTTTATTATTTTCTAAAAGTATTACAAACAGCTTACTGTGTTATTATTTTCACTATAAAAATGTCCATTATACTAAAAAATTCTATCATTTACAAAAGTATAAGTTTTAAGTTAAAAGAACAATTAATGAAATGATAAAAAAAAATTATATAGTTGAAATTTATTAAGAAAATAGTAAAAAAAGATAAAAGTTTAACATTAATGTAGGATAAAGTTAATAATAATGAATGAGTATACTGTAAACATTTAAGCATAAAAATAAAAAAATACTTTGTGAAAAGTTTGATTGCCATCAAAACTACTTTTCTTAAATCACAGTGTTGATCTTTATCAAGAGAATAAATAAACAAAATAAAATAGAAAACTGATTAAAAAAAGCATAAATAACAATAATGACCACTCTATAACGATTTGATGCCATAAACAAATATTTCGTTTGGTGATAAAATAATTTAAACCAGCCAGCCCAGTAGCAAAAATCTTGCAGTACAGCAACGAACACTGCAGATTTTTACAGCATTAACATATTATCTTTCATTTAAGTTTTTTTTTTTTTAAAAAAAAGCAAATAAACAAATTTATAGAATTTCTGATACTCCTTTTTTAAAACGTCTCTAAGCAACTCTCTAATAAAAATTATAAAGATGAATTAAAAAGCACTGCAAAAAATAAAAGTATAGATCTTTTTTTAGTTACTTGATTACAGACTTAACTGTATAGAGATTTATTCCATTTTTTTAGTATCATAGTAAAAAATTGAACTTAAATGTTAACAACATAAGGTTTATATGCTTAATTTTTAAGGATCTTATGTAAATGCTGTTACATGCTTCGATTTAGCTGAATTTTTACATTATTATTTTCTGCGTGACTGCGCCCAGCTTACAGACAAATTTGAATTTTTGAAGATAAGGCTGCAGATTAACTCCATAAATTCTGCTACCAGTCAATGCTTTTTACTTCTATTAGCAATAATCTATTGTTTTAATTTTTTTTTAAAAACTTGTTTCAAATCTTTCAAAGACACATTTGAGTTTAAGCAAACATTTGTAAATGCAATATGGTTTTTTTTTGTATTACATTATAGAGAAATGCGAATGGCTCAATAGGGATATTTTCTAATTTAATAACCTCATTTATAAGTACTAATCATACAAAAAGGTTACAAAAATATTGCTTTTATTGTTATCAAAGAAGAATTTACAAGACTTCACATTTATTGACTTTGCTTAAACAAAAGAACATTTAATAATTATAGAATGATTAATTGCTATATTAACTAAATAGTAGATTGACTCTGTAACAATGCATAGACATAGTATTAGATATCACCAATTCACTTATGTTACTCACCATATTAGGCTTTATTTATACTGAGATTATCTTTTGGTTACCTTTTCTGTGGTAACTTCGCGATGCACAAGGGTGGAATTATCAACTACCTCATTTATTTGTATTTATTTTATGTTAATAATAAATCTAGTTCTAGTATAAGGATGAATGGCATTAAGACATATTTGGATCAAAGTCAATTAGAAATTTCTTTACTTTATTGTTCAATAGGAACCCAGTTCAAAAGATGCCTTTCTTTTTATTACAAATTTAATGTATTGTGTAGTTACTTCTTACTGTAATTGCAGGGCAAGTAGGCCAATATTGTGCATGTAAGATTCCGGTTGAGAAATATAGGCCTTTACTAAAATACATGGATAAACATCCCATGTCTCAAAGCACAAAATCCTGAAGCTTTTACTATACCTCGCAATAATAAAATTAATTGGAACTCTTGTTAAGTCTAAACTCTTATTAAGTTGAAATACTTCGCACCAGATAAGAAGTAATTATTCATTAAAGGTATGTAAATAAGTTATCTAAAAATCGCAAGCGTATTTTGTGATTGAAAATAATTATTTGGAATTTTTAATTTTCTGCTAATTGCTATGAAGAATAAGGTACCTTACTTTTTATTAAATTGAAGTACTTTGTATCAGATAAGAAGTAATTAATGTGGTTCATTAGAGATATGTAAAAAGCATAATTTGTGATTGAAAGTAATTATTTGTAATTATGAGAAACATACCTGTTTCCAACGATATAATGCAAGATATCTCCTTGCTCTTCCAATGACTCTGTTTCTTTGAACATGATCACCAGATCTTCATCATTTACGTTATCATACTGCCGATCAGAAATTGTACGAATACGTGCAGTCGAGCTCCAGTGATCATCTTCCTCTGGGTCTAGTCCAGGGGATGGTGTTCTACCTACAGATTCTGTGGGAGAAGAGTAAGGAGATTCTGACTGTATGGAATAAAGTCCTTCAGGACCAGGAGAAACAGGTGGGGGACTATGAATCTTTTCATACCGTTCACGCAAGTTAATCAAATCTAAAGAAGAACATAAATATATTAATTTCTCTAGCTAAAAGAAAATCATTTAAAAATTTAGTCTTTAATAGAAATTCTTCAATAGAAAATTCTTTAATAGAAATATATCATTATAAATATATAAGTTAATGTATAAAATAAAGTTTAAGAAAGCTATTGAAAAAAATCTGCATAGTGAGCAAAAAAAAAAAACATCCTGAATAAATTTTGATCCAATGAATGGATTTTCATGCACTAGGACTCAAACTTAATGGTTCATGGGGGCAAACCTCCAGTATGCTAATGAATTTGCGCAGACGATATATTTTAAGTCACGAAAAATACACAAAAATGCACTTTCTCTACAGAAAAATACCTTTGCTTCAACGAATAATGATTCCNAAAAAAGCACTTTTTAAAAACGCCAGCTGAAAAAAGCACCTTTAAAAGCTTTTAAAAACGAAATCCCCCAAAAAGCACCTTTAAGTACTTTTTACAAACGCTACGCACCCTGCTCCAGTATGCTAATGAATTTGCGCAGACGATATATTTTAACTCACGAAAAAATACACAAAAACGCACTTTCTCTACAGAAAAATACCTTTGTTTCAACGATAATGATTCCTGATCCCCCAAGGTGCTGGGGGGGTCAGAGAACAACAGTCTGAGAAATATGGTCCCATAGTTTGGTCAGGCGAGAGGTCCAAAATTTAGACCCCTTAATGTTAATTTTATCTTTTGCATAGTTCTCCATATTTCATAACTTTTATAGCAAATTGAAAATTTTTGCACACAATCGTAAAATTTGTTTATCCAAAGATATTTCCATGCCAAAGATGTATTTTAATAACTATTTATTATTTTCTCAATAATAGTAAAAAAAATTTCAATTGTGAGGTTAATTTTTACATCATTTTAAATAATGTAATTTTATAAGGCAAAATAGAACATTTGAACAAAATCAGTCAAATAGTTATAGAAAAATCAAATTTTAAAATGGTCAATTCAAAATTTTATGGACAATTAATAAATAAATTAGGAATAAATAATTATTAAAAAATATTTTTTGTATGGAATTATCTTTGGATAATTGAATCATATAATTGCGTCCAAATTTATTATTCACATAAAAAGTTCTTGAGATGTGGCAAGCTATGAAAAAAGTAAAACAACATTACGAGGTCCTAACTTTGGACAGCTCTCCTGGCTAAACTCTTAGGACCAGATTTCCACTACACCCTATATTTTGAGGGTGATAAATAGAAATCCGTCTGAAAAAAAAAGGGTATTTTTATTCAGTGAAAGCACGTTTCTGTGTTTGCTTTTGTTACTTAAATATCGTCCGCATAAACTAATTAGCATATTTGAGGTCCCTCTCATGAACCTTAAGTTTGACTTCTAGCACGTGAAAATCCAATTGTCAGATCAAAAGTTATTCAAAGTGATTCGTTTTTTGTGCGCTGAAAATATCTGAAGACATTCGAATGATTTTAAATAATTATTACAATGGCAAATATTGTTTTAGAAGTTGGTTTTAAATTATCAATAAAAATAATCACTGAATAAATTCTCTACTTAAAAAATGAAGAACTAAATCAAAGTGAAAGTCAAGTCAATTCCTAAATATTTATTCAATACATTGACACTATGATACATTTACAAAGGTTTTATCAAAAAGGAAGTTAATCATAATGGTTTTCATAAAACTAGGGCCAGATAGCTCAACTTTTGTAATTTAAATATTAGCCTTTACAAATATTTATGATATAAATTGTAATTTGTAGACAAATACCTTATTTTAAGAAAAATGAAAGTAATGCATTTAGTTACACAATTTTAGAGCAATTAAAATATTCATTTAAAAAAAATAACCATTTAATTTTATTTGAATGCAATTTAAAATATTTATAGGAAAAAACATGAGATTACAAAATAAATTTAACCAGTGGAATTTCTTCATATCTTTAAGAATAATCCTCGATACTGTGACATTTATTTTAATGTAAGGAAATGCTTCCGAATTATAAACAGTTTTTATTATGTCATAAAACTTTTAATATAATTTTTGTCAGTGAGTAAATGAGTCTAGAATGTTACCTTAGTTATTTCCCAACGATGAGAAAGAAAAGTCAGTTTTCAAAAAGTAGAAACCTCACGGTTAGTACTTTTTCTTAATAATACCATCTTAGAAAAACACCCTCAATACAGTTTTGTTAGTAATAAAATAATTAGTATGAGTAAAAATCCTTTGATTTGCTAATAAAAGTACTAGACAGAAATGGTAAAAATTCACCTGAAAATATTTCTTCATATACCACTCTTCAGTTTTGTATTAAAATGTATAGAACATTGCATACATTAAACATTTTTACAAATTTCAAAATTATGCATAGGCAAAAATAACATCTTACCCATAAAAAAATGCAAAAGATAAAACAAAACAAAAATCTATGTCCTTAATAAATTTATGAATAAATATCATTAGAACATTTATAAAAATTGTTTCAATAAATATTTGTACCTACTACTTATTTCAAATAAAATGAAATGTGAATTCAATTAACAGCATTGTTTTCTATACAAAACATAGATAGCTTGGTCTTATATTGTCTTGATAATGATTATTAAGCAACAAATAAATTGTGACTTAGTTATAAAGAAATTTGAATTGAAATAAATGATCAATAAAGCCTATACTAACCAGGATCATATTTGTCAACCTGTATTGATCTTGTTCTCTTAATAATACCACTAACTCCAGATCGCCGGGACCTCATAGAACTTTTCTTTCTTTTCACAGACATGGCTCCATAGCTCAACAAAGGTCTTAAGAAGCATTTGTTTAGTTCTTTTTCTAGATATTCTCGCACACTTACATTTAAACCTAAAACAATTTAAAGGAATTGTTACTGAAATACTTAAAAGACAATTGCTTTAAAATGCATTTTTTATACACATTAATTTAAGCATATACTGTTTATAATAATGTGAAATCAAAAATACAGACTAAAAAAAAATTAACCGAGTTTTTATGAATGAAAATAAACTTAGCAGGAAAGAGAACCAAAGAGTGATTACTCAAACGACTTCAATTTAAGGAATTAAAATGTTTAAAAAAAATTTGTTTTGCTTAAGGAAATGTAAAATTTTAAAAGTATAATTTTTGATTTCAAATTTTTTTTTTAACAGAGCAATAAATATTCATTTAATAGAATCAATTTAAGATAATTAAATGCATATAATTAACAAAAATTACACTTAGCTGCAAAAAAAACAAAATTTTTTTTTTGAGACTCTAAGCCATTTTTACTTTTTTTTTTTGTCTAAAATAAATTCCTACTTTCTAATGTGAACCCCACTTACCGTTATCATTAATTGTTTAATGTAAACAACTAACCTCCTATTTTTGATGAATTTGATTTGGAGGAAGAAAATATGATACTTGTATCTGTTATATATTGTCTGAACGGCTACAGAGGTTAAAAGCTTTCAAACATAAATTCTGTTACAATTAGCGACGTTTTCCCCCTTAAAATCTTTAAAAAAAATCACTGAGAATGATTGTTTAGAGGAGTAATTTATTAGTTATAATTAGAAAGATTTTCCCCCTTTAAATCTAAAAAAAATCACTGAAAATGATTGTTTTGAGGGGGAATTTATCAGTTATACTAAGGGAGGTTTTCCCCATTAAAATCTGAAAATGATTGTAATGAGGGAGAATTTTTTGTAACACTTTATTTACTTTTTAACATATTTCAAATTATAATCTTCTTTTCCTTCCTAAAACAGCCTTTAATACTAAAAAATATTTAGAAACAATCTTGCTTTAAAGTGGATAATGGGGGAGATCAGAGAAACCCTCATACAATAAATCATCCAAACTTTTTTGTGAGTGCCTCTTCCCACAATCTTCAATCTACCTTTACTTCAAATCTTCATCTTTTAGAAATTTTCAACTCTATAGCCTTTGATAAAAATATTGAAAATAACACTTTTTCCTTTCTAAATGAATCTCATTGCCATAAAATTATAGAAAATTGATTTTCATAAAGAGGTGTTTCCAGAAAACTCTCAGACAAATTGGTATCATAATTGATATAAGAAGCCATTCTACGAAGGTATCAGCAGGAATAATATCAGTGTCATTTTCCATGTAACAAAGTGCTATCTATTTTTTTTTAAATCAGCTTTTTTAGCTAGTTTTCAAGCATACAATAATTTCTTAAAAATTGATACAATAATGAAGATATGTTTTTAATTAGAAAATTATTAATTTTCAATTGAAATTTTTTTTAAATAGAAAATTATTGCAATAAAGTGTTTGTAGTTGTTGTTAAAAAAATGAACCTAAGATATGAATTAGTACAATTTTATTTTAGCACAACTGCTATACTTGCAGCAGTCTCAGTCAAATTTTACCTCAATAGAAATTAGTTTTTTAATAGCATCAAATTACTCTTGTTTAAATACATTCAATGTCATATTTTAAGCCATCACAGAAACATTCTTCAACAAAAAAAAAGGAAACAATTTATTATTAACTCAAAGAAAACAATTTTATTAACTTTTTTTCCTTCTTTGTATAAAAAAACGAACATGTATAATTTTAAATTGATAAAAACGTACTTTCTGGATCACCTTCTTCTTGGTTATGTAAAAAGCTTAAACTTGTAACGCAGGATGTACTTTGAAAATCTTCTAAAGTTCCAAGTGCTACTCTATAACGTTAAGCAAAAATTAGATGAACATCAACTTCAATATTTGTTCTAGTATTAATTGATGCAGTCAGCAAAATAATTTTTAACATCATGTGCTCAATTATTTTAAAATTATTATGTTCGGATAAACCAGCATCATATTGATTTCAAACATTTTTTTACAATGTAATACTTAGATAAAATCACGTCTTGAATAATTTATGTTATATTTAGACAATACACCAAAAATTTATTTTTACATACTATGCAATTACTATTTTGAAAAAAAAGGTTACAGGTTAAAAAACTAAAACAATAAAAAGAAAATTTAGTGCATATACCTTGTTCCATTAATATAACCACTTTTCAATTTTTTGATAGTGGAAATCATAGCTAAGGGAACTTTATCATTTTCTAAATAAAAGAAAATTATATCACATAAAAATACATTTGATTTGAAGCAACAAATTTTTAAATTATATTATTAAATAAATGAGTATATAAATGAATACACAGAAAGCAAAAAGGAAACTTATTCTTTTGCAGAATGAAATAAAATTATTAATATATTTAGTAGAAAAATATAATAGACATCCATCAATTTATATTGAATCAATTTATATCCGTCAATTTATATATTTAGTAGAATATAAAGTAAAAATTGCCTTAACATTTCTTGTAACTATTTCAAAATCGAATTGAAAAAAAAAATCCTTTTTTAAATTCAACCAGTTTTATAGTTTATGTTCAATTTTTGCATTGCTCAGCAAAACACCTAATTTATGCTGGCATAAAGTTAAAGTTGTTAAGTTAGAGAAAAAACAAATATTTTTCAAATTTTCTAGACTTTACAAGTACTTCACTAGGTAAAAGTAAAATAAAGAAACATAGATTTGAAATCAAAATAAAATTTAGATATAATGAATGAAACAAAATTGACATTAAAACAAAAGGAGTTGTTTGAAATGTGAAGCACAAGAAAAAATAAGCTAGGAAAAAAAAACAATCATGCACACAAGAACATCTTTTATGAAATATACATACAATAGAAAGGAAGTAGTTTTTTTAAATAAATAAAAGAAAATAAACATGCTAAAGAAACGAACATTCTCATAAAATAAATGTTTAAAAAAGTAATAAAACACAAATTAAACAGGCAAGGAAAAAACTACTACAAAATTAAACATACCTAAGTAATAATGAAGGAATCTAATGCACATAGTAGGGCGACCAAGCATTCGCCAATTTGTTCTAAGAAAAGCTATATCTGATCGCAAAGTACTGGCAAGTAATTCTATATCATTTACCAAATAGAAATCTTCTCTGTCAAGATTCTACATGCAAAAGGGAAGGATTGAACTAATTATAACTGTTTAATATCAATGACTTCAAGTTAAATCAACCTTCTTTTAACTTTTGTTGCTGTTTTTAATGAAAGTCAATATGTCAATTCTTGTAAGGCAGTTATTATATTCATTCTAAATTCTTCCTATCAGTGTATAGTTTAAATTACAATAATTTTTTATGCAAGCAAATATTTTATGCTAAAATTATTATTATAAGAAAGAATAAAACAGACAAGAAAAAAAATTATTTTTATTTTTTTAAATTTTATTCCATGTTCATTCATTTATTATTTTTAGTTCTTAATAGGACAAACATTATCATTTATTTAATGATATATACAAATTTATCATTTTTCATTTTCTAGCCCATTTATCGCAAAATTGTAGTCAAAAAGCGAGTTGATAGTCAAGATTTAGGGTTCAATAAATATGAAAATTTTTTTCAATAACTTATTTGATATGAAAGTGAAACATAACTGCTGTGTGTAAGTGAAATTAATCTAATAAATAATATTTTGTGTTTCATGGACTCTAAAATGGTGCATTATATTCTTATTGAGACTAGAACTTATGCAACTGCTTTTAATAAATATAAAACCAAACGCTGTTAAATTATGCATTTCAGCAAGTAACTTTTTCTGAAAAAAAAGAAAAACTTATTAATTCAATTATAAAAAAATATTTAAACCACTATATTATTATCCCATAATGTTCACTACTTTAAGTTTATTTTTTTCCTTGTTTTTTTCACAAAAACCAAACAGTTAAAGAATAATTTTTTTTTCTAATCAACAAACAACAAGCATATACTCATTTCACAGGCAATTTAAAAACAAACCATACCATGCACACAAAATTCATTTTTCAAAAAAAAAAACTAAACTTTCCTTAACAATCATGCTACAAATACAGTTTAAGGTGTGGGGTGGAACCCACCTATAATGGATTTTTGCAGATTTAAAACCACTGTGGGCCTGCCTAACATGTGCCAACTTGTCTTCAAGAATGCAATTTCAGTCTTGAAAGTATCAATTAGAAGATCTGTATCAGATGCAAGATAAAATCGCTGCTGATCTACAAACTGTAAGGGGGCAAATTTTCTGATATTTCATCACAGACATAAATATCAAACACATAAATATAGTCTTAAAAAAATCTACAACAATTTTTAAACTAATATTCAATGCTCTCATTAATATTCACAAATATATATTTTTAAATATCAATATGATTAATTTCTCATAAGAAATTATTGACAAAAGAGCTTCATAAAAATTACTTATATTGCCAATCAAAACTACTCTTACACAATTTAACAATTAAATTGTAATCTAATTAATAATGTGTAATTGGGACATTTAATATAAAATCATAAATGAGAAAATTTCTTTCATAGAATATGCTTACTTAATATTAATAGGTATTCAAGTAAGTGAGTTATATTAAGACGTTTAAGAAAAATTATTTGACAAGTATAAGGGTTTTAATTAAAAATGTCATTAACTTTGTTTCAATTAGCTAAAAATAATCAATTTACCTGAGGAGTGAAAGCAAATATTCGATCTTGTAAGGTGAATAGTTTACTAGTGCTTAAAAGACCTACTTCTCTTGAATACCGACCTGAGAGGCCCAATTTCTTATTTTGACCTAAAAACAAATAAGTCAATACATAAGATCATACAGGTAAGAAATACTGATTAATGTTATTAAATGCTGGAAAAAAGCATCTAATGCAATTATAAGGTGAGCACAAACACAGAGAAAAAAAATTCCCCCAACTCTTCCAGTCCGAATTCATAGAAATTGCCTGATTTTCGTACCTGATTGTATAAATTTCATTAGTAATTTTTCAGTTATGTCTTATTGGGTTATAGTCCTAAGTCATAAGAGTTTATAAATAAATAAAGAAAAAAGATTCAAAAAAATTTATTGTTAGACTTTTTTTTCCTCAAACATACATTTATTTATTTTTGTAAAAGCACTTAATATAAATAATAGAAAACACTCATGCAAGTCATTAAAGTTCATAAATAAAGAAAAAAAAAGATTCTTAAAAAAAAAAAAATTCTGATTTTCTTTCTTGATATTTTTTTCTGGTTCCTCAAACATACATTAATTCCTTTTTCTAAAATTATAGGTAATTTAGTTATATTCCCTGACATTTTTCCCAAATATATTCCCATACTTTTCCTTCTCTGCGGCCATCCTGAATAAAAACGAAATAATTAAGTTAATATCTACTAAACCCTTATTTACTTGTAGTAAACTGAAGAATAAAAATATCAGCAAGTGGATGTGTTTTAATGCTATACTCGAATAAACCAATAAAATACTAGTTGCTGGTAAAGAAATTAGTAAAACATTTTTTTTAGGCTGAACATCATTAGAGAAACATATACATTTTAAAGAATTTTTTCTACAACCAATGTTATTTACAGACACACTATTTATAAATAATTATTTTTTTGCTATTTGTAGAAACCTATATAATTTGTTAACACACAACTTGTGAATAATATTTTATTTATATTACAGTAGGGAACCGGAACGATCGGTACCATCGCTATTGCGGATAACTGATTTTTCCAATTTTCTGAATCGCTGCAAAAAGCCATTTTTTTTTATTGTTAAACCCAACTAAAAAAAAAATTTGGGGAAATAATCTTAAAAAGAATAAAAAACGATGAAGTAATTTACTAATGATTATTTCCAAAATGATGGTAAGGTAAACATCTTTCAAAAAAGAAAGAAAAATCCTAAAATCTTATGAGGAAAAAAAATATTCTTTAAAAAAATGGCGGGATCGAATTTCATATCGAATTTCATTCCAGTTTTTTGGTTTTCCGGTTTTCTGATTTCCGGATAACGGGTTCTGTACTGTATTTGCAGAAACGTTTTATTACAAGTAAATCCTTAACCACAGGTAAAAGATTTATAAGTAACATTTTGTTTTTCGCAAAATAACTGCAAGAACTATTACATCAAACGGAACAGCATTAGCAAATGAGCAATTTTAAGTTCTTTGTTTCTTAGTAACGTTATATTAAACAACAAAATAATAAATAAAAATCAATTAAATATTAACCATTAAAAAAATAATAATAAAAAATTAAGAATATGAGAAATTGTAAATTCCTTGGTTTAGTAATGTTATATTAACATAAAAAATACAGCAAGAAAATTATTTAAATACAAAGCATTAAAAATAATAATAAAGAAATTAATAAAATTATATTTATTAATAATTACAGTAGTAGCATACAATAGGTTTAAAAACATTTAAGTAATTACACAAAAATATAAGGTAACATTTAATTATTCTGATAGTATGTTATTATGTACCTAAATATGAATAAATATGACTTAATACTCGAGCTGGTTGAACCTCAACAGGGGCCACTTCAGATAATGTTTGAGCATGAATATCATGGTTTCTTAGTTTTTCTTTGACATACAGGTCTTCAGCCAAGATCACAACTAAAAGAGAAACAACAAATAATTATTGCGATCAATTTATGTATCATTAAGATATAACAGTAGAAGATCTATGTTACACAATTCTATAAACGACAATTCTCTATAAACTACAATTCTCTATAAACTACAGTTTTCCATAAACCACACTAGCTTTGTGGGTGTAAACAATGAAATATGCTGTTCAGCTAAGCAATAACTATAAACTTTTTATATTATTTGTTTAATTATTTGCTAATAGGTTAAAATTTCAAAAGTAAGCAAACCAAAATTTATTAACTTGTTTGTCGCTAGTTCTAATGCTGCAGAAAATTTCAATTTATTTCTGTTAAATGTAAGTAATATGTAAATACATCTATCGCGCGTTTTTAAATAATTGTATCTAAAAATTATTTTCAATCATTTTAAGATTGATCTCTCCGTTCCAGACAAATATTACCTAATTTATTTGATAAGTTTAAAAATAAGTGAAATGTTCTATATAACACAAAATTCTATTAAGTGCAAAGTCCCTGCTTTCGAAGTTATAAAGATCTTCCACTGTATTAAGAAATTCAAAATGCAACCTTGAACAACTACATCTGGTTTCTGTTCTGAAGAAAGTCGTCTATTTAAAGGATCCAGTTCTCCTGGTGCAAGAAATCCCTACATAAAAATAAAACATTAAAAAAAAATGTTTTAAGCAACAGATTGAGATTTAATTATTTTAAAAATAAAAGTTTTACATTAATTCACTATTAACAGAGTGATAGTTCTCAAATTTGCCATGGATTTAAATTAACAGGATTTTTTTTCTTAAATGAAAGTAATCCAATAGGTTATGTGATTAAGATATACTTCTTAACTAATTTTACATGCATTTACAAAATTATGAAGTATTTTCAAGATTAACAGGCAAGGCAGAAAAAATATATTATAATGTAATAATTAGAACTACACAATGATAATTGTTAGGTCAGATTTTATCAAATAAATTCTCTATTAAAATAGTAACTTATTTTTTATACTTATTAATTTTTTTTTCAAATTTGTGATACTTTTCTTGTTTTTGATAAGTAATAAAAAATTACACATTGATGGATAAACAAGGTTTGAGTTCCATGATATAATTAATTTACATTAAACGTAAAATAAGCTAATTAAATATTAAAGAGTGTTGGAAAACGTTAAAAACAACATTAAAAACAAAGACAAAAATTAAATATAAGTATACTATCAGTGCGAACCAAATTGATAAAATACTTAGTTAAAAACAATACTGTATTAATATTTTTTTTATATTTGAATTGCATGGGGCAGATTTCTTAGATAAAAAATATTTTTTGCTCAATTTAAATTAAAAAACTTTATAACTAAACTCTCAACTATATCAGTTGAACGAGAGTTAGTTCTTTTGATATTTGCAATACTATACTATAGATTCTTCCCTGAAACTTTCTTTTTTTGTATTTTTATATACTTACTTTACATGTTTGTTGAAGAGATAAATAACTCAAGGGAAATTCAATGTCCAAATATGCAAGAAAGAGACATTTTTGTTTCAGTGTAATAATATTGGGTCAGTTTAACAATACCGAGCTTTTGGAGCCTGCTCCAATATATTCTGACGATCTTGTTCCAAAACTAACTGATAAGTTGAATCGGTTTTTATCTTAAGAGAATAGTAGAAATATTCTTTTCTTCTTTTTTCGTTATAAACAAAGGATTTTGTGTAAAATTCAAAATTTTTTTTTTTCATTTGAATAAAAAAAAATTTCTAATGCTGCAACAGCAATATTATATACTTTGTCACTTTTTCATCAAAATTAGAATTAAAATCAAATAAAAACACATAAAATTTGATTGATGTCTTTTAAATAGAATGATTAAAGTTTGTAAAAATGGTGAATTGTAGTGCATTAAATCTTTCTGAAAAATATTTAAAATATTGATAAAAGAATTATTATTATAAAATAAGGAACAATGACGCCATGTGAAAATTATGAATTGAATCAACCATTCCGATAAAATTCTAAAAAGTTGAAGAAATTTGTAATGGCTTAAAAGCTTCATGTCTCAGAACTGAAACAATGATAAATATACAGGCAAGGGAACGCTTTTGAAGAAAATATTTTAGAAGAATTTTCAAGATCAGATACATCATGTAATAAATACATTTACCTCTTGCAGAAGTCTTCCAACAATATACAAAGATTGAGCCCAGATAAATGGCTTTTGTCCAATTGCAACTCTTTCTTGGCTATGGGGATTTTGATATTCTAAATCAACCTGTATTAGGAAAAACCAATGAATAAATGAAATTATGGTAATTACAATTTTTTTAACTTATAACTTTCGATCAATTAATAAAACACATTGGTAAGTTGTTCATTCTTATTTTAAAGATTTTCCTTCCTAACCATTGCTTTTTTTAACAGTAAAAATGTCTTTTGGAAAACTAAAATATTTTATAAAAATTGAAATGAAGTAATGATTTTTTAAAACATACTTTATTTTTAAAGCATACAATATTTTACTACAAATTACATATGGTTAAAATAAGACTATATTTAGTAAAAATAAATATTATATGAAGTTTTTTTTTAATATTATAATAATAAATTAAATAATATTATTAAATAAATAAGCCTTTCATCCCTTCTGTGGGTTGATAAGCTGAGTACCAAGCATGCTTGAGAATTACACACTGGGGGTTCTACATTCGACTGACTACCTAAGCCAGACATTGGTTAATGTACCCAAGAGCCCAAGGTCAAGAAAATTGAGATTGGCACTGTAGGTATTGGCCCTCCATGATCTGTTGTGACACTGAGTTCAGTTCAATATAACATAAAAAAATATTTTCTTCTGAATGTTATTAATTACAAAAATTCTGTTTTTAATATTTTTTTAAATTTTTTTGGTTAAATCAGAAAATCGAAACACATTTGAAAGTAAAAGAGCTGATACAAAAATTATGGAGTCTACGTAAACTAATGACAGTTATCATCTATGATATAAGTTAGTTATAATTTATGTTATAAGATATCATCTATGGCAGTGTTTCCCAAACTTATGTCTTTTGTGTACCCCTTCTAAATTTTTCGTAACGCTGTGTACCACTGATAAAAAAATGAATGTATTTTTAACAATAAAAAAAAAATTGCACGAAAGTTAAAAATCACAACTGGCTGTTGACACCACTAAATTTTAACTGATAACTCTGCAAAAAATAGCCAATAGAGAAATACGTAATAGTAAATTTTCATGGCTAGCTTTGTTTTGAAATATAAATTTTTGAAACGTTCGTGTTTTCCAAAATATTTCGCATAAGAACGCGTACCCCCTCTAAACTGTTCCCGTACCCCTGGGGGTACGCGTACCACACTTTGGGAAACACTGATCTATGGTATATGATAGTTATCTACTAAGGTATAAGATAATTACCTTATCATCTGGAACAGTATATAGTTCAGGAACAAGTTTTAATCCATTTTCTTTAATTAATATTACATCAAGAGCATCAGAATATTCTTCTACCTATTACATACATAATGATTTAATTAAATGTAACTGAAATGACAAAAAAAATTAACGTATGCCCATCCAAATAAAATACAAACATTGGAAGTAAAGAGGAAAAACAAATGAAACAACTACTTACTGTTTCTCTATCTCCCCGAAAGCATGCATCAATAATGTAATAGCAGAAAAACAAAGGCCATTCACATTCAATATTTTCAAAAACTTTTAATTCCCAGGGTTCATAGTACAACCTTTGAGAGTCCTGCATTAATAAAAGATAATTAAAAGAAAGTAAAACTCTATAAAATACATATAAAATTCTTATTAAAAAAATAATCATTAAAAAAATTTTGCATTTGAATCACAAAACATTTATAAAATATAACATAAAATACATTTTGCAATATAAAAATTAACATACATTAAAGAGAGAGAGAGATCATGTAATTTTAAAAAAAAATCTATAATGCATTAAATTAAACAAATTTTTATTGTTCAAGAAATCAATAACAAAATTATTCTTTAATGTGTTTTTCAGATTGGTATTTTGAATTTTAAAATAATAATTGATAGTTGAATAATTATTATAATTTTATTGTTATTATTTATAGATTATTATAAGTTTAATAATTGAATAATAATTTTTTAACTTTTAAGCATAACTTGGACATATAAAAACACATAAACAAAGGGAATAAGTTTCTAACACAGATGATAGTGATAGATGGAAATAGGCTACAGATAAATTTAATCCATGAGTTTAATCACATTTTTACAACCCTGTTTACCTATTCAATACAGTATTTTAAAACTTAAAATGTGAAAAAAAATCAATCAACAATTTTTTTAGGTAAAATGTAAAAAATGGGACTTTTATTATAATTTTTTTTAAATTCTAACTGCCCTTTTAATTACAGTTTCTCAAAAACTAAACTACTGGTTTAATTTTTTTTAATGTAAAAAAGTTACACGCATAAATATAATACAAAAATTACCTTACATTTGTGTTGCAAACTTTATTTTGAAATGAAATGCTTCATTTGAATTAAGAGCATTATTAAACATTTAAATAATAAAAAATAAAAAAAACATGATTGAAAAAGTAACATTTAAAACCATAACAACTAATATTTTTCTTTAAAAATATAAGGCAATATTGAAAAAAATTATATTCATTTTTAGAGATGGGTATGATTTTTCCTTTTGTTTTCATTGTTTAAAAATTATTATGAATCATCATAATTTTTAACAATAAACACCAAATGTAACTAAATAAATAAAAAAGTATAGCGCTACAATACAATTTGCTTATGAATACATAAACTTACTTCTTTAGCAGTTTTATATCCATCACGCAAAAATCTTCGACATCCATATTTTCCCTAAAATTTCAAAGAAAATCTTCAGTAAAAAAAGATCCTATACAATAAAGTCTCAAACAAATCAAAAAAGTCTCAAACAAATCAAAAACATAGCCAAAAAAGTCTCAAACAAATCAAAAAATTCTTTTAAAACTAGCAGGAAATTTTTTTTTTTGCAAGCATTTAAAAATTATGAAAGTAAAATGATAAACTTTAATTGAAAATAAATAAAGAAATTATGTATAGTAACAACAACAAAGAAGATTTAACTGCTTTTTCTTTGATGACAGAAAATAAACTTAAAACACTTTAAAGAAGAAACAAATTGTTCAGAATATGACTTATAAAGTGAATTTAGATAAATCGTATTGATTGCACAATTGAATAATTTTAAAAATACTATAAATGTTTCTGTCAAACAAAACTCTTAGATTTTATTATACGAATACAAAATTTAAAAAAAAATACCATAGAAAAAAGATTTAACAAACTACAAAACCAGAACAAATAATATAAAAATATTTTATTAAGTAAATGTTACCCTTAATTTTTCTTCAATAGTATCTCTTGTTAATTTAATTAATTCAGGATTTTCAACAGCAAATGCTGGAAATCCTATCACCGAAAGCAAGGCTGCATCAACTTCCTGCAAAATGAATAGTTATTAATCGAACTATAAACTGAATTTAATATATTTTATAGATTTTTGTATATACCTCACAATATAAAAACAGCCAATTTAAACAGAAGTTAATTAGTTAAGTTAAACTTTTAGAAGCAACAAAATGGTTTAACTAACCTTAGAATTCGACTCTCTAGGAAGCATGGATTGTAATACTGCCTATAAACATATATAAAAAAAAATTTATTAGCTTCACAAATAGAAGCAATTTTATAAAATAATAATGTACAAAGAAATAAAAACACTTATTCAATCAACACCTTAAATGACCCTAACAAAGAAGTAGAAATCATTTTAATTTTTGGTAGTGTTCTAGTGTTTTTTGTTCGAAACACTTATAATTTAAATTAACTTGTAACCAACTTAACAAAACTATAGCAAGTTTTTTTAAAAAAATTTAAGCTTATTTTAACATTGAGATCAGGGTTAGCAAGTTTTTGACAATTGACGGTTTTATCTGGTTTAAACTGTCATGTCAAAAACATAAAATTTTGGTGTGAGTAAATTTTTTGCTAATACAAATATGAAGAAATAAATAAACACACACATAAAATATAATCATAAAATAAATTACAATCAATTATGTTCTTGAATTATTTTGACATAAAACTTTTTTTTTGTTTTGCCAACTGCTGTGAAAAACCCAAATTTTTGGTATTAAATAATTATAAATAAAAATGCGTAAAATTGCAATTTCGTTAATTTTTAATCACTGAAAATAAAAATACAAAAACAATAATTTTTATGAAAAAAACACTTAATCATCTTATTTATTATAGCTTATTATTTATATCAATTTTCCTTCACTCCCATTTCTCTTATTCCTAAAGCATGTAATTATAAAAAAATAGTGAAGCCCTTTGTACTGCAAGTTCATTTTTCAGTTTTATATAAATAAGAATGAAACCCGAAAATTTTCTTTGAATTGATGTTGCGCTGCATGGACATAATAAAATAACATATAACATATTATACAAAAAATATAAATATTTAAATAAATATTTATATTTTTTGTCATTTTTGATTATTTCATGGAACATAGTCATGATTTACTGGAAATATTCATGTGTATATAAGGAGGAGTGCAGAGAATTCTGAGCCAAATATTTCCTCAGAACAAAGTATTTATAGATCAAAATTCCCCAATTTTTTTTTTCTTTTTAGTGCAATATAATTTTCATTTTATCATACTTAGTGCTTAATATAGTTAGTTTATTGAATTCTTTAAAATAGTGAAGGTACACAAAACAGAGCACCTCTACTTCAATTTTCAGATAATTAAGGAAAAAGTAACACAAAGTATTAAGACAAAAGAATAACATTAGTCTTTTTTTGTTATTCCATGATATAATTAAAAGGAAAAATATCTTTTCTTAATTAATTAAATACTTTTTAATGAAAAAAGCGTCCTAAATTAAGTAATATTGTTAATTTATTAGCATTTTTATACTCATTAATATGAAAATTTATGAAACAGCAATATAACTGTATCTCTATTACACATGAATTTAGAATTTGCGAAAGCAAATGCAAATACATATTGGCAGCATATCTTTTTGGCATGGTTTCCAAGACCCTGTCCTTTTAAACTAGAGAACTCATACGCACTTTCAGATTGCAATGCATTTTCGTTTTAATTTTAAAAAATTATAAATGAAATTGATAATATTAGTATGCAATGAATAATCATTTTATGAATTTAAGAACAACTGCATTATGGAAAAAGCAAAATAAATTATCAGCAAAGCGAATCTAATTAGCATTAAATAATAACCATTAAAAAGCAAATCTAATTTTGACTTACATGGCATTTTTGAGCCTCATCTGCAAGAACATGTATGACTGATGAGGGTCCACCTCGTCCACCAAACAGATCTAATTCATTCATTGCTTCTAATGCTGCCTAAAAATATAAAATACTTATAACACGCATACTTAAAAAAATTATACGTATAAAAAAAAAACATATAAATTTACTATGATTTATTTATAATGTAAGCATTAAATTGCTTTTATAAAATACTTTGTAAACATGCTTATACAGTGCAGCTTTTAATTAATGAAAATTATGAGAAAAAATAATTCTAAAAATAAGCCCCTGTGATAAATTATTTATATTTTTTATAAAACTATGATGCCTTAAGTTATAAAAAAAATCTATTAAAATAATAAAATTATTACTTTTAATAATTATAGATGATAAAAATTATTAATTATAATATTAAAGTAAAGTAATCTAATGTTATAAATTGCTTCAAAGCTGTAGCTACAATTTTCACAACTTCTCTCTTACCTGCGATTACAAGCATTTTGTAAACAAGATATACAGTGATTGATTTATAAAGTAACAATATAAACAAAACTTTAAAAGCCAAGCTTTCAGCTTCCTACATTACTTAGCTTTTCGTAAGATTACATGTTTATTACCTAAATGGGAAATATTTTGCTTATAAAAAAATGAAAAGATTGAAATATTTTTTTAAATTAAATAAGATTTAATATATTAATTATTATAAAATAATCTAATTTGATATTCTTTATACATTTTTTGTAATAAATTGAAAATTCCTCAATCCATGCAACTTACAATAGATGAATGGAGCTGTAAAATTCCCAAGGAATTCTAACTAAAAGAAATCATAATGTCACCTTGAAAAATACCCAGTTTAAAAATGGGTCCACAATATGCATGATCGGATTAAGAAATGGGAAAAATATTAAAAGGTCAATGACAACCAGAATGTAACGATAATACTTTCATTAAAAACATGCATTTTAGCACACATTTTTTTAAAACTACATGACTATGGAAATTGTGAAAAAATATACACCTGCTTTACTGTTGAGATGTAGAGTTTAATTATACAAAAGTTGAAAGTAACGATATTACAGTACATGTGATAACTTCACTCTGGTACATCAACTTCAGGTTTTGAGCTAACCTTTTCTAAAATAAATTCTAAAATTAAGATTGCAAATCAGGAAATATGGAGGACTCCTCCATCTCACTTCCGGTATTGTGGGAAAACTCCTGGTAACGCCATCAAAATAGGGAGTGATAGAGCTGTCCAGATTGCTATCAGCAAGCTCATGAGTGGACATATAGGGAGCATTACATATATTGATGGGCAGAAATCTTATCGTGTGTGCACCTCAACAGAGGACAACCCAGAACATCTCCACTGCGTGGAGGACCTTATAACTACACCTCTAATTGTCTATGACTTTTTGAGGATTCACGACGTCCTGGACATGGTCCAGCTTGCAACTAGACCTTGATGAATAAGCCACACACACATTTGGCAGAAAAACACCAGGTTTGAAAATCTGGAGGGAAAAAGTCTTAGATACACCAAAAAAGGATCACATGATTTATAATCAGATTCTTTTTGAGAAACTATTATAAATTCATGGTCACTAGACCCTTTCCATGGATTCTGTTTTTTTAAGTCTCAGTTAACCAACCGGGAAAGAAAAAATATAATATAAAAAACTGCCAAAGGAAAAATTCTGATACTACACTTGACCAAACAGCTATATGAATTTTTTTAAAGATTAAAATATCAAAAACTTCTCTCAATGTATGAAAAAGAATTTTTATACGATTAAAATATTGATATTCTCAATCTTGTCTATTTATTGAAATATCATTTATTATTCTTTTTCTCATTTTAACTGCCGTAACGAAAAAACTATATTGCTATTTCTGGAGAAAACATTGAGACATTACTTAAATGACAAACCATGAAATAAGTATCACTGAAATTATTTGCTCAAAATTTTTTAATTGTAACGGGATTAATAATTTTTAAAAAAATTATTAAAAATACTTGCTGATTTTGACTTAATATATCTATTAAAAAATATCATTCTATAATATTAACAGTTTTTTCGCTGACATTTAAATGAACTTTTACTTGTAATTAATAAAAGTTTTTGGCAAAATATGCATAAGAAATGCATAAAAAAATTATAAAAACCTTAAAATATAATTTAATAAAAAAAATAAAGATTTAAAATATAGACAAGATTTTAAAAAGAATAAACCAACAACAGAAACAAAACAATGCAATTGAATACAGCCAAAAGTAAGAAATGTAACTAAATTCAAAAAGACAATTTTTATAAGATACTTTTACTTCTTATACCAAAAGCAAAAAGAGATAATGTAAAAATAATTAACTAAGAAACATACTTACTGTAATTCATTATTCTTAATTTATTATGAAGAGAAAATAAAAGCATAATTCCTGCACCAGTAAACATTAGTATAAGCATGATCAAAATACAGTAGTGATAGCAATGGCCCCATTCACGATTATAAAGGAATATAATAAGAGGGCTAGGCAGACTGCCTGCATATAAGAGATTATCCTGTGCCTAGGACAGCATTTAAAGTGGATGTAATAAGTTACACTTAATCTGTGGTGAATTCTTCCAACTTTAATTAAAAATCTTGATGGCTGGAATTGCTACCATGACTGTATTTAATTAATGCTATTACATATGTCATTTTTCATTTCAGTAATCTTTATGTCTTAAGAAAATGACAAATAATTACTTTAGCCATGCCAATGGAGCTTGCATTTAATTCAGGGAGACCATGGTTAGTTTTATCTCCTCTTTCCCATATTCCATAATCCTGTTAGTAAAAAATAAAAGTAAAAAAAAAAAAATTAGAAATACTTTAAAAAATTTTTTAACTGAAAGTTAAAGAGAAATTTAAAGGAACTTACAGGAATGCAGTATGAAGATTCAATATAAAAAACTAAATTTTGAATGAATGCAACTTCATCTAAGTTAAATATTATTTGTAAACCTGAAATAAAAAAGATATAAGCTATGTCACCATTGAAAAAATTAAAAAGTGATAAAATTGAATGAAGTAAATTAATGCATTTACCTGAAGCAGTCATCTGAGCTAATGTGAGCAAATATAATGAAGTTGCATCCAATTGCAAATGTCCCCATCCACTGTCTGATACAACAGTTGCACCAGTGTTTGAGCTATACTTAGCATGCAAAGAATCAAATTTATTTTGTGTTTCTTTGAATTTTTCTAATTTTTCTTTCTGTTTCATCATTGACATAAGAAGTCCTCTCATCAACTTTACACAACTCTAATTACATGAAAAACAAAATAGCATAAATATACATAAATTTTAAAGATCCTATCTTTCAAAATCATAACAAGCTACAAACCAGAGGCATATACATGGATCACAGAAAAAAAACTATCCAACTTTTTGTGAAAAACTATGATGATACAAAAATACTTCTGCAACTTCTGTTAAATGTAGTTTGTCAATAATATTAGATATTAATATTTATTCATTCATGTATCAACTTCATACAGATGAAGAAATAAATTTCACAATTAAAATTAGCACAATAGTCGACTGCATTTTTAATAAAAACCATGATTCTGGAAAGTTCTATAAAATTAAAATCCCAAATTATAAATAAAATCTTAAATACATAAAAATCCTAAAATATATATAAGTTAAATGAATAAACAATAATTAGAAAAATACAATATAAAAAATTTGAAAATAAGTAAATATATATACCTGTTCCAATTCATATGTTTTAGCACGATCTTCATCCAAATCTGCATTTTTCTTGTAGGCCATAGAGAGGGCCCATACTGCCATAATAGAATAGACACTATCCCGAACCCAAGCATGATCATTACGAGATGAAGAACGAATCAAGCCAGTTACTGGATTCTAAATATAGGACATGAAAAAATAAATAAAATTAAATTTTTAAGCATAGGATCCTTAAGTTAAATTAACTAAACACCAAGGCACCAATATGAAATCTATATGCTGCCTAACATAAGCAACAATTTGAATACAACTAAAATTCAAAATATTAATACTTTTTTCTGGGCGTGAAATATAATGTCTGAGTGTGTTTACTTAAAACTATCTTTCTATAAAATTACGAATATTCTGTGTGTGTTTTTATAACCATCACTATCCTTCTAAGTTGTTTCATTCTTAAGAAATATTGAAGGAAAAATTTGCCAAGTGAAAGTGCACTGGAAAAATTTTTAATTTATAAATAAATATAAGTCAAATACCTAGATATGTATAAATTGTTTGGAACAATAAATGGTAAGATACATTTTTTCCATGGGTAAAACTTTTACCTCAGTCTATTTATATATTGTGCAAGTTATATATTGCATCTGATCTTAAGAAATCATATGTTAAAAAATTGACACATCATATGTAAGATTGACCATCTCTGATGCCCTTTATCAAAAAAATATTACACTTTTGTGGTTATTTAAAAGTGAAATAGTTCAATATTGTTATACATAAAGTATATGATTTAAGGATTGCAAAAGAAAAAACATTGATTATAAAATTTTTGTTAAATTAAAAAAGTCTACTTTTATAACCTGTGACACACAATATTTATATAATAAATAGTTTCAGAATAAACTCAACACTAGAAAGTATTGAGTGGTCTGGAAGAAACTAAAAAAAAAATTATAATAGACACAAAAGCCTTTATAATAGACAGCCTTTATAATAGACAGCCTTTATAATAAAAGCCTTTATAATAAAAGCCTTTACAATAAAAGCCTTTATAAAACTTTATAATAGACACAAAATCAAAGGAAATTTATTAAAATGTAAACAGTAAAAAAATCAATAAAATAACCAGTTGACTTATTTAATCATAACTTTATTAATTTTCTTTACATAGAAAACCTTTATTAATATTATTAACTAACTGTTCACACGTAATAATTGTCCATTCACAGACAATTAATAATAATAAAAAAAATTTCTTCTTATAACTTTAAAAACTTTCATTTAAAAAAAAAATACCTGAATGAACGAAACTTAGAATTAACTCTGAATCCCACTGAGTATTTAATGAATATAAAGCTTTACAAATATTTTAAAAACCCTACTGATAAATTCACTATAGCTGCTGAAAAATATTATAAAATTACAGACAAAATATCTTCTATTTAAATTATTAGCATTATTATTTTTGATTAAATTTTTATGACATTTTAAATCTGTGTCTCCGAATTCATTTATGTAGTTTATAAATCTTATGACTTGTTTTAAAAAATTGATAAATAGGAGTTGCATATTAAGCTACAGTAAAAGAAATCATAAAGAAATATGGAATCATTATGTAATAATTTTTAACAAGACGATAAAAATTTGTTATAAATTACAAGAATATTTAGAGCAAATGCCATCAAAATGGTTTATAAAATCTATTCTATTATGTTAGTGAAATTCCATTTGATACAGCTGCTTTTGTTCTAAAACAATGAATATTATAATAAATGCTAAAATACAATGCCAATGTGAAATATTTATTAAAATTTGCAAGGTCTCAATTATAAATAGGATAATATATTTTAAAACTTCTTTAATGCATTGGTACAACTTATTAAACATGACCTTGTACAACCTTGCATTAAATGTGAATTAGAAGAGTATGAAAAAATAAACATTTCCCCATAAAAAAACACTAGAATACTTTACCTGATTGTCCAATATAGTCCTGTGAACTAATCGTTGATAATAGTCTAATCGAGCACCGGAATTACTTCGACTTCTCATTTTATCTCCCTTTTTGGTCGTTTTAAAATAAATAACAAATTCTACAATGTATTATTCTAAGATCATATCAGTAGAGTGATTTATTACTTTTTACAATAAGTTTATAGTAAGCTATAAAAACACTAACATTAAATTTAATTTTATCATGAAATAGTACATCCATTACTAAGCTAAAGGAATTTCATGATGGAAACATGCGAAAGTAAACAAACAGACGTCCTTTACTAAAAATTATAGGAAAAAAGCGCATAGATAAAAACGAGTGATCAAATTCAAAGTTGACTGATTAAAACCTAGCACTTTATAAACAACAAATAATGAATTTTAATGAAAGAAATTTTCTGGAAGAAAATAAAGTTAGAATTATTTTGTAATTTTTCGGGAAATTCCTTTAAAAAAGTTGTTTGATTGAAACTGTGACGGAATTTTATTTTATCACAATAACTTCAACTTTCATTTTAAAATCATCACAAACTCCTTGACCTGACTTTTCTTTGCTGGTCTATCGTGATTAAAAAAGTAATTACAAATTATTTTATAAGCTTCAAAAAACTTAATCATTTTTGAAAATTGTCTTTGCATTTCAATACGTAAAACGTTTTTAGCTTTATCCATTTCTAATTTATGATTGTTTATGTATTGTAGATTGTTCCAGAATGGGACAGCACTGGGGTGAACTAGCGAAAATTCGCCGAGTTGTTCATTTTCGAATATCTCCTTATGAGCAAAAAATTTTTGCTGGTTTCTTTTCTAAAGGAATTCCAAATTTGGCCCGAAGATTTCGGAGCCAAGTTTTTTACGTAGCTCCACGTAAGTTATGTTTTAAAACGTTTTCTGAACTAACTTTTTAATAATAAATTTTTAAAGGTATAGTTTACTGATATTCGTTTTCGCAAATATCGTTAGGAAATGGAAAATATTGTGTCATACAGGCAATGGTCTACAGTATTCCCTATCGTGATCTTTTGCGCCAACTGCAATCGCTAAGGTGCCAAATTTTAAACTTGCAATTTTTTTTAAAAATACATGTAGATAATTGAGTTTCTCGCGGGCCGCTGCCCAGAAGTTGCCAAGACTTTTTGCGATTATTCTGCCACAGATCAGGATACGTAAATCTCCCCGAGAGAGAGCTCTGTCGTTTCATTTTAAAAATACTCAGTGCTAAATAATCTCGCTACAGTATGGCCTAAGTGACCGGTTAGGCTTACCAGATCGCACTAAATGACCAAACTCATGAACAGGGTTTGCATGGTACTAGCACCTTTTCCCACCTCAATTAAGGACTGGAGTGACTGGCGCTTCTTTACTCCCATGGTGTTTCGGCATCATCTAGGCGTGATGTGGAAGAACATTCTTCATACAAACTTAATGAAAAGTGAATTTTTCTACTGCGTCATACTAGCAATCTGCAAGAGTGTTTCATTGCGAATCGAAATGTGTAATTAACCCAGGATTTGTTTTTTTTACGGGTATACAAAAGCGAAATTTTAAGAGGCGGGGAAGAAAATCTTAGAACTTGCTTTTTTTAAATTATTTTGTGAAACTGCAGTTTTTCCTAAAGCAGGGTTGGGTTTTTGACGTCAAAAAGTGGTTTTTGACATGACAAGGGTATAATACTGGTTTAAACCGTCAAAAATGTCAAAAACTAAAGTTTGTCAAAAAAATATATAAACTTCAAAACTACCAACAGTTGCCATGCATTATATTGAAATTTAATTATACTATAGGTAATCAGCAGGTTTTAAAATATTTTTTAATTGAAATTAAGGTAAAATAACAGATTTAAAATCTCAGAAATTTATATTCAAATGCATGTGCAGAAAAATTTTGCACAAAATTTTTTTAAATATTTATATTTTGAAAAAAAAAATTTTTTTTTTGATACTTAAGAAAATTAAAAGTTTATTACTATGCATTTTTGACATATAAGGAACATATAACTAATATTTATAAGGAACTTACAAGTTATGTTGTATAAATACAAACTTGATATAAGATACAAGTGTATAAAAAATTTTTTTTAATGTTATACCGAATATCTTTATTATCCAGTATGTTAATTTGAATTTAAAAGTAGTTATATTTGTGAATAATGATAAATATAATTCATATTGTTTATTATATTTATTTATAATTATTACACTTATCATTTTAAAACAATTTTTATCTCTTAATTTTTTTTTCTCCACTTGTATTAAGAATACAAATAATGCATATCTTGAAAGCAAGAAGTAATTATTCAACAGCTGAATATTTAGATATTCAACAAAACTATATAGTATTCAGCAAAATGAAATTCACAAGTATTTGGATAAACTAAATTTTCAGCATAGTAAATGAATAGGCTGAATATACTGTAAATCGACACTAACTACTCTGTGTATTTAACAGAAAGCACTTAAATTTGTATTGTCTTATGTTAAAAAGATTATTAAGAAGATTTAAAAGAATATTAAAAAGATTTTTCTTTAAAAGATGTCTAATGTACAAAACTGCTAATGTTTATCTTTAAAAATGTCTAATTTTTAGTATAATCTATACTATACACTAAATTTGGTTATAAATAAATTTCTTAATAATATCACTGCAGATTTTCAATAACACATGAAAATGAATACATAATATTACAAAAGATGTGAGCTTTCAAAAGTACAAGATTTTGGTTACTATTCAAAATATAAGTGTTTCTTCAAAATTTTAAATTTATTTTTTCTAGAACATATTTAGAAACACTATCCTTTATAAAAAATATATAAATTTTATGTATTATTTAAATTTCACATATGAATATAGGTTTTTGACATTTTTGACTATGAGGTTTTTGACGTGACGGTTTAAACTGTCAAAAACTGTCACATGTCAAAAACCTGCCAACCCTGTCCTAAAGTTAAGTTGGTGAAGGTACTAATTATATGTGAAGGTATAAATTTGCCCTGGACAGACCTTTGGTTTTTGGTGTTTACCATAGAGACTCTAGTGTAAAGGGGATGAGTACAAGTGATATCTTCTAGTTGGTCCTCTTCTGTAATTTTTTTTTTTTTAGTTTCTCATAGGCTGTTGCCAAGACTTTGCAATTATTCTACTTCAAATCTTACTGAGAGAAGAGGAGGATATTTCAGTTGTGCATGCATTACCATATCTAAATATATAGCCATTTATATGAGATTTTTATTTTAACAAAGTCAGACTCGCCATACATAATTATACACTCATGCAAAATTCTACATTCATCATTTTGGTTTATTAGACCAAAGATCTTCCATAGGATCTTTTTTTAATTTTTTACCAAGCTTGTTGAAGGCCTTTAAGTTTTTGTAAGTATTCAAAATTCACATTTGTAAAGTGCATTAGCTTAATTAAAGTAAATTAGAATGCACTAATTCTTGGCCTAATACTATCTCTTGAACCTTTTCATGATATCTATTCTTTGATTAGGTGACACATAATTTTTAAACTGACTGTTATTTTAATTAAATATTAAGCTTTAAAACAAAAGCTATTACAATTTACAAAGACTTCGTAAAATATTGAATTCAGTGAGCTATGTTCCTAACAGTTTTCTGTGGAGGTTATAGTTATCCTCAGTAATAGTTACTTAAACATATGTTTAATCTATCGTGGAGAAATATGAAAATAACATTTAGGTGTGGAATATACTTCCAGTTTTTAGTATAACTACAAAAAATGCAAAATTCTTAAATGTCAGAAGTATTAGGTGCCACCATGATTATGGTGTGGAAAGTAACATGAAAGGTTTTTGCTGAAATATTACGTACCAGCTAAAATGTTATTCTGTTGTCTTGGTCACTTAATGCGACCCAAGAATTTATCCCCGACTATGTGTATATATTTTTGAATTACATGTAGGGCGATTTGAATATTATTTAACTGCAAAGACAGGATAAGACTATAAGAAATTGAAATCCTTTTGTCAAACATTAAATTCTCATGACTAACCAGGAAATAAGTACTTATTAGTTTTAAAGATTGTAAAATGAGGGAAAATATTTACAAATTAAAAAGAGAGATTTATCTTATTTCTGCTGACAATGTTTAAAATCACCAAAGGCATAGTTACGCAATATTTGAATGGTCTGTGTGAATGTAAAAAAAATAATAAATATTTTTTTAGGTGTTTCATTGATCTGTCATGTTTAAAGTCTATGAAGAGTAATTTTTGCATCATATGATTTGATCATGTTGATAAGTAGTACTAATTGATGTTTATTTTCTTATAGCTTTTATTATGGGTTACTTGATTTATGATTGGGCTAATAAATACCATGCTGAACTTCAAAGGAAAAATCCCAAAGACTATGAAAATGATGTATAAATGTAAAATTATTGTTTCTTTTCAATTTAAATTTTTTTTTTTTTATTAGAGATGGAATAAAAATGTAAAGAGCAATTTTCAGTTTCTTTTATTGTGAATTACTGTGCATACTTATTTTTAAAGTACAATTTTTTTTTAAAATACTTTTAGAAAGTAATTTTATTTTGTTAAATATATTCTTGAACAAAGAAAAACTTATTTGATTTTTAAAAATGATAGAAAACAATATTAAAATAGTAACAATCAACAATTTCTAAAGTGACACATTCTTTTTACAAAAAAAATGAACCAATTTGTTATTTTGATTTTCTTTTAATTAGACCAAAAATTTCTCCAGGGCTGACTGAATTCCCCAAAGCAGAATAATAACTTCAGTTGAAAATTTTGACTATTAAATATTTTCAAATACAAAACTTCAAAATAGATAGTAAAAATATGCATTTAAATTTCCACAACATTCATTAATATATGGATTATATAATGAAGTTAATTAAAAATATTTTCAAAAAAGAATAGAACACCATTAAGTAATTAAAAAGGTTTATTTCAATATAATATTTACAATATATATAAAAGACAAGCATTTAAGTTAATACATTTATTCGAAAATCTACATAACAGTATCATGAAATCGAAAGTTATCAGAAACTATTTTCCAAACATTTCCATTTGGACCAGATTGGGTAGTGAGCATAATGGATTCAGTAAATAACTTAGATGTTCTTCCAGTAAATGTTATATTTCCTGATACAGTAACAAGAACAGTTGTTTGTTGAACAACTTCTTCTGTTAAAATAAATGAAACATTTTTATTATAATGTAAAAATATAAATCAGGTGCATGCATAACTAAATTAAGACACATTGTACAATCATGACTAACAAATTTTATTTAACACATGACAGAACATTTCATTAAAAAAGGAATATTTTATTCTCATGAGACCATTTGATATGCCTGTTTTGTTCAAAAGATTAAAGCAATAAAAAAAAAAGCTGAAAATGCACCATTTTTTTTATTTGAAGTAAAGAATGACAATGCAGTGAAAATATTTTTGAAAAAGTTGCAATAAATATATATATTGATTTTGTATTATTCTATCTAAAATAAAATTTGTAACTAAAATTCTGGTTTTATAATTTATTTAAAAAGAGCATGAGAGACTTGGGTTATGAAAATTATATTTTTTTATCAGATAAATTTAGATTACATACTGTTATTTTACTATTTGTTAGTAACCTTTTAATGTAAAAAAATAATTTAAAAAAATAATCAATCTTATCTCATAAATATCTGATTCAATTATATATATTAAATTATAATAAATTAAAAATATCATGAATAGAACTAGCTTTTTTTTCAACTTCCTTTAACAATTTATTTTTTGTCAATTAATTGTATTCTAAGTTAAATAAATTTCACAAAGTTGCAAATCATAAANCAGCAGTTTATATTTTAAATTATAATAAATTAAAAATATGAATAGAACTAGCTTTTTTTTCAACTTCCTTTAACAATTTATTTTTTGTCAATTAATTGTATTCTAAGTTAAATAAATTTCACAAAGTTGCAAATCATAAATTTAATTGACAAAAATATAATAGATAGTAAGTCAGTTGCTATCTTTTGAAAGTTATGGCCCATTTTTGTAATTATATGCGCGCCAATGTTGCATTGTTTCTTTGCAGAAACATCTGTTTTAGACTCCATAATTAAAAAAGTCAGTGAATATCAAAGCAAAAAACAGAGAATAGTGAAATATACACTTAAAAATTGATTGTTACACTCTTAAGTATGACAAAAAAAAAAAAAGGTGGACGTGAAGTTTGGCCTCACGAGAACTACTCCATACACCACACTCTCGTTCACGGTTCTGATTAAACAGAAAAGCCACTTTGAATAAGGATGTAGGGTAAACTGTTTCGTATTTAATTAGATTGGGTGTCTCATCTGCTCATATCTTACTCATTAAAAATAGTTTTACTTTTGTTTTCATAACAGCAGACATACAGTGGAGAGGAATTCTCATGAAAGCTGCAGAGTACTAAATTAATGCTGAAGATCTTGTTGATTGTGTTTTTTACAAACATGTGCAGTATGATAATAAAATTAGATATTTATAACAAAACAAAGGGTTGATCAATAATATCCACAGCTTTCTTATGAAATTTTCTTTTGACAATTCTAACTTAAAATTCCAAACTTTTCAAGTGAAAAGGATATTTTTCACCATAACTTTTGAGAAAAAATTGCAAAAGGAAGTATAATTAACCTCTAGAAAGCTGGAGAAAAAAGTTTGAACTATAATATGCCGCTACAATAAATCAATGGTCAGAAAAAGGGAAATTTCTAATAAAATTATACTAGGGGGCTCCGCCCCCTGCTCGCTACGCTCGCCAACCCCCAGAACTGCTTCGCAGTTCCATTGCATATTGCTTCGCAATCTTATAAAAACATTTTAACAAATTTAAATTTTAAAATAAAAATGCCAGATATTGAAATCAATTACTTAATGAAATTTATACACTTCTCTGCCCCCTTCACAATTTGATTATCTTTTCTTCATGTAGCTGAGAAATTTGGAGCTGTAGCAGAGAATATATCTCAATAAGAAATGCTTTCCCGTTTAGAATTCCGCCATTCATTTCTCTGACGTCTGCCAGAGATATTTCGACGCCTGATAGCAGGCATTTTATTTAGGCAGCAGGCACTAAATAAATAAAAATAGAACTAAATAACTAAGATATCGTTTTAAATCTCAAATCAAAATAATTGTTTGTAGAAAGTTTGTTTTGGTTTGAATATTCGCACGTTTGTTTTGGTTTGAATATTCGCACGATGCCATTGCCATTCTATTGTAACGAAACAAAAAATTTATCATGAAACTAAAAATTTATCAAAGGAACTAAAGATATTGAATTCTTTTTTTAAGAAATTCAGTTCCGTTTTTTTTTATCCACTCTTATTTTTGTTTATCAATCTATTAATTCAGAAATGCTTTAAATCAAACGATGCTTACGGAAACAATGCTTATGCGAACCACCCGAAAAATGATTTGCTGAATTCTCATTGGTTGAAACTAAATTATTAATTTTATTAATTAATTAAAGGAAATTTTCATAATTTAAGACCTTATTGCACATCTACATAACAATACCTTTAAAACGACACCTTATTTGTTTAATTCTGTTGCGTAGTTTGGGAGTTTTTAGCGAGACAAAATATTGCTAGCCTATTAATATATAGATTCCAGTCAATTCACTAATAATAGGGAAACAAGAACTATGAAGATGAAAGGAAGAACATATGTAAAATGTACATCACTGAATACTACTCAGTGATGTACAATGTACCAAAGAAAAAAAAACACCACCCTAAATAATTTTTGATCTAACCAAAATATATACTTACTTTATATATTATTAAATTATATGTTATATTACTAAATATTTACTAAACGTTTTTGCATGCAATTATCCTCGGAGAAACAAATTTTATAATTAAAAATGTAAAATTTTTAAATTTGCTTAAAAAGTTCGTGAGATATGGCAAAAAGTAAAAATAACATAACTTTGGAGTGCTCCCTTGCCAAATTATTGTGGCTATATTACCCAGATTGTGGCTCTTATTTTGGGGGTCAGAATTCTATATATATAAAAAAAAAATTATGTTTATTCAGAGAAAGTACATTTTTGCGCCTGACTTCGCAACCTAAAATACCATCTACACTAATTAATTAGCATACTTAAGGTCACCCCCTTGAACCCTTAAGTTTGTGTCACAGAACGTGAAGAGCCGATCAGTAAATCAAAAGTTATTCAGGGTGTTTCTTTTTTTCTGCGCCCTGCACATTTTGCATATATTTTGCACCAAAGATGTACAAAAAATTATGAAATTGTGTTTAGCATCACAATATAATTTGTCAATATCAATGTTTGCCTAAGATTCTGGGCAGAATCCTGATTGATGCAGAGCATGTTCAACATTTGCTAGCTGAACACTTGCTAATAAATTTAATAAAATTTTTTTATTATTAAAAAAAAAGATAACTTTAGAGATTCAATTTTAAGTTGTGCAAACATATTTAATCTAAAATAAAAAGGTCGTTGAAATTATTAAAAAGTAAAAACACATGCAGATGCATTACATGAATGAATTATGATGCTCTCAACAAAATTTATTTTTCATTTGTTGCTAAATTTTAACTTGAAATATTCTTTGCCATTTACAGTCTTTATCATATTAATTGTCATTTGATAATAATATTTATTTAAAAAACTATTAAAATCTTAAATAGTAAATTTTAGATATTGAATAAATTTTGATTTAATTCAAATCATCAGTTGATACTGCGCTTAATGATAATTTTTCGCTTTCGCGACACTATTATAATAACAAGAACAGAATCAGTAACAGAAATCAGAAAATTATAAAAGGAATAAGTAAAGAATTAATATTTTATGTAACTTTACAAGAAATATTTACCAAACACTGGCTGAGCATCAACACATTTAATTTCTGTTCTGCTAACTGGTAAAGATTCATAAAATTTGCCTATGGCTTCTTTGGTACAATGGGGATTGCCATTCCAAACTAGTGTAGCAAGGTCCATATACAAATTTGATACAGCCTATAAAGATTTAATTATTATAGTAGCTTGTAAATTTTGTTAAAGTTTTTTATTCAAAATTAAGTGGGTCATTCTCCACAAATTGCCTATTTTCAGGTAATGACAACAAGAAATTTTTTTTCATCAGAATTTCTAATTTTTTTTTAAACAAGATACAGAAAAAGATACAACACAAGAAAAAAAAATATAGCAATTGGTCTTAATATTAAAAAAAATAATAAAAAAATTAGAAGTTTTTATAAAAATGGGAGAATAACAATAAAGAGTATTTTTCAGTTCATGTCAGTCCTTAATTGCCTTAAAAAATAACAAAATGAAACACAAAAATATTTTTTTACCCAGTTTGTAAAAACATTAGAATCAATCCTTGAGAAGAGAGTCATTTTCTCACAGAAAGGAAAATATCTTTATTTGCTTTTAAAGTTTATATTTAGAAATAAAATTGAAATAACAATAAGAACATATATTGAGAGAGAAAATTATAACACTTAATACATTTTTAGAAGAAAGAAAAAATAACTTCATAACTTTAAAAGAAGAGTCATCTCAATACTCAAGAGAACATGGCACCGAGAAGAAATCCAATTGGCAAAATCAGTTTTTACTAAGGAACTTTTATTTTATTTTATAACCATTGCTGAACAGCAGCCCCAATTTTGAATTTACAACCACTAATGTTAAACTCCGTATCCTTGCAATTTTGAACCAATCCAGGAGACAAGGATACGTCTGGATCAGTACCCCCACCAGAGGTATGATTAGTTATGGGAACATGATGGACTTTGTGAATAGTCAGATTTAACGTGCATCAGTCATCATTTACTACACTTTGCCAAACTTCGGCCGGCAGAGCTTGAATCCACAACCTCTTGGTCTTGGGCCCAGTGCCCTACCAACCAGACTATCCCGGCCTTTAACTAAAGCACTTATGGGCATTAAATTTGTAACCACTGCAGAAAGTTTTTTACTATTACTAAAAAAGCAAACAAAATCTGCCTCTTCGAAAAAAGTTTTTGTCTTTTTCGAATTCCTGAGATTTTTTTTTCTTTTTTTACATCTATGCTTTTTCTTACCAATGCTGTTTCAAAATTACATGATTTTAAATCCACACATCGCAATTCTTATTTATGTGATTCAAGATCGTACATCGTGTTTCATATGTTTATGATATTATATCAAATATCAAGTTTTGTATTCACAAGATTTAAACTCCATTATTATCATTCATTTTCAAGTGACTTAACTATACATGAGAATTCACATTCACACAATTTTAAATTCAAACATCAAGATTCTTATTCAAAAGATTTTATAATCAAACATCGAGATTCGTATTCGCACGATTTTAAAACTAAACATTGAAATCCTTATTCACGTAAATTTGAAAATAAATATCAGGATTTGTATTAATGCTATTTAAAAATTAATTGTCGAGATTCGTATTAACTTCATTTTAAAATCAAACATGGAAATTTATATCCACGTGATTGTACAACAAAATATTAAGATTTGTGTTCCTGTGATTTTAAAATCAAACATTGTGATTTCTTTTCACAAAACTTTAAAATCAAACACTGAGATTTGTATACACACGATTTTAAAATTAAATGTAGAGATTTGTGCGATTTAAAAAACATACATTGAGATTCCTATTCACACAATTTAAATAAATGAATAAAATTTTGCATCAATATTTTATTAGAACGTTCATAACATTCTGTAAATAAATGTGTACTACAAATGCTTTTTCTAGCCTAAATTTTAGGTATTTTTTCAGTTATTTAAAAAGTATTTTTGCACATAACATTTTTTGATTTCCATTTTCAAATTTTTGGTATTTAACCAAACTCATTCCTGTAGTATAAAAATTAAGTATAAATGAGTTCTATAAAAATTAAACATCTTTTAAAGAATCTGATTTTTCAAAAAAATTTGTTAAACTGAGCTGGTGAAGTAAAATTTGAAACTAGTTAACAGAATTAATCTCTGCATGCAGAAAGTTTTTCATTTTTATCTAAGTCTGCTGCTAAGTCATTTTATACAATTAACAATTTGTGTCAATCATGCTTTATGTTATTGCATTTTGTAGGTGAAACTTTAAGTTATTCACATTATACCTGTTTCATTGAATTAAAATTAATATGCACTTAATTTTATATTTTACATATGTTTAAAATAAAATTTACAATAGATATTGTATCTATTGTAAATTTTACATTTGTATTGTATTATAAAGCTATCAAATTTCATATTGATAACAAAATAGCTAAAATAAAAATTAAGGGGAAGGTAGAAATTTTTTATAAGAAGCTTAATTTATGTTCCAGAGTTCTGAATGGCAAAGTTATGGAACTGAAAATTGTTTTTGATGCAAACAAAAATATTCAAATTTTTGTAAGTGATAGAAAGTTGCATCGGTACCAGTCTAAAAACAAGATAAAAATATCTATACATACTTATAGATAAAAAGAACATTATTGCTTTCATTCTGACTAGAATATATGACATGAGGATAAAGTTTTTAATACTCACATGGCGCTTCTTATCTAATGTTTCATAGAAAAGCTTTGAAAATGTATCTCCAGCTTGTCCAGCTAACTCAACTTTTGAGCGTTTAGTATCCTAAAACAGAGAATAAGCAATTACTATAATATCGTAAACAATCAAATATCCTATGTCTACACAGGGGAATTAATTTAGGCATTTATTGTTTAGTTCGAGGTCATATTTAATGAAATTTTTAATAATTGTTTCAATGCCAAACATTAAATTTCCTTGAACTATATAACATTTTGCTTAAACAATCTACTTATTGGGAAAACACTATCTACTTTCAACATTAGATTTTCAACATATTTCCCGCTTGCTAAACCTTTACTTCAACCTTATTAAAATTGTGTTGTTAAACAGATCAGGGACTCCACAAATCGATAAAAGAAAAATAAGTTTATAGCCTACTCTTTCTGCTTGGGAAATATTATAAGTAAAAATAGATTAAAAAAAAGTAATTCAAAATTCTTTTTTTATAAAGGAGATATAAATTAGTTTTTCTTGAATACCAATGCTGTATTGAAATAAAAATACTATAGAATACATGCATCAAATGATTAAATTACAGAGATATTCCAAAACAAACATGTGAAGTCATTCAAACCACTTTTTTACCTCGTAATTAAAATCAGTTTTATAGTAATATTCAAAATACTTACAGAAGACATTTTTAAATAAAATTAAAAGTTTATTTGCTCACTCAGTCATCAAAATTGTTGAATTTTGAAATGTTTTGTAAATTGTTGATGATGATGATTATCAAGGATCTGTTTTGGAGCTTTTTGCAATTTGCAGCTTATAGCTTGCTCTTCTGTCATGATGCAGTTTTTTTGAAATGTTCTCACTGCATTGTCGTGAAGCAGTATTTTGTTTATTTGAAATGTGTGACGGCCAAACATTGGCCATGAAAAAAAAATGAAAAAAAAAACAGTCAGAAGAAGCCATTTCAAGCAAGAATTGATTTCAATGTGTGCCCAACAGATTCGCACTCAATGTTGACCCACAAAAAAAAACCAGAAAGCCTCCGCAGAAGTCACTTCAAATGATTTCAATGTCCCAAGAGGTCCCCACCACAACATCCAATGTTGGCTTCGTGTGCATTTAAAAAAAATCTCTTTGGCATAGAGTTATATGTAGATGACTTCTCGGCACATGGGGAAAGACTTTTGACTGCTGGTACGCATCCAGTCGACCAGACATTGTTCGCGAAACTCATGCCGGCAATGCGTCCGGAGAGGAATTTCCACCATCTCTTCCAAGCAAATCGGGCAGGTCTCGGTGATTTGTAATACCATTCTTCAAAGGTTAACGTAAAGAGGCAATTGTGAATTTCGCTAGTTAGGCGAATCCGCAAAGCCTCTGTCACGTGACACCCTTTCCAAAACCTGTGATCGACAATAAATCCGAGCCATCTGATACCAAAGGAATTAAAGGCCAGGAATGCTGGGCTTCCGTAATCCCTATCCCTCTGAAGAAGCAACTCTCGATCGATGAACCTCTTGATGACACCCTTCACCCGAGTCACATCAGAGTAGCCGATCGGATCTAGGAATCGAAGCACTGGATGCGCCTCGTCCCCCAATTCCCCGACCTCCGGCTCCCCCATCAGCAACACCTCCCGAGGAAGAGTATGGACTGGAAACACCTGATCCGGTGTCAAGGGAAGGAGATTACTCACAATAAAGTAGTTTGCTATCTGGAATCGACTCTATGTCAAAAATAAATTTTTCCTCGATGTGCAAACTCTTTTAACAGACAAACAGAGGGAGCTTCAGTCGTCATGATGCAATGAAATGTTCTAGAAAACTCCACGGGGCCTGAAAATGATCACCTGATGGATATCATGTGACAAAAACATCCGATCGACCCTTTCGAGATGCGTTTCCAAAAAGTCGTGCGAAAACATCCGTCAGATGCAGTTTCAAGAGTTCATGCGACAGATCACCAGATGCGCTCCCAATAAATTGTGAGACAAACACATCCACCAAGTACACTTTTAGGATGTCACCGGATGCATTTCCAAGAAGTCGTGCTGCAAAACACTCCCGCCAGATGCATTTTTAGGATGTCACCGGATGCGCTTCCAAGAAGTCGTGCGACAAAACACATTGGCCAGATACACTTTCAGGATATCGCGTGACAGGACATCCATTCGAAACAACATAGATCCAGAGGATGTGGCAATATCACCCAACCCAGGATATTTGAAATCTTTGAGATGGTTGAGTCACGTGGATCATTTGAAAACTTTTTAAATTTCCTGGCTCTCAAATCCTGGGGCTGGGGATTTGCAAGATGAATTGGATTCTAAGCTCATTGGCCCAAGGACATTCTGAAGATGAGTTGAGAGTGCGTCGAGACTCGAGGCTTGGCTCAAACACTCAACTCCAAAAAAACAAACTTGACCGGAAGTGGGCGTGCGCGTGGCCAAATAACAAAGATTGCTATGCACATTGACCACCAAAAAATTGCGTCTCAAAAGACTCAAATTTCGTCTTGACCCAAATCTCCAGACGAGAGAAAAAAAATTAGTTTTATTGTTAAAAGTGGATCGTATAGGCTTATACGTTTCTAGACCAAATATGACCCTTTTCAAAAATGTCATTTTTTACAAAAACAATTTATGCCCGTTTGGCCACATCCACTCCCAGTCAATTTTTTTTAGTAATGCTGTACTTAAGCGAGCTTCGAGTTTTGCTAGATTCAGTTTGAAATTGTTTTTCAAGCCTCGAGTATGAATTTGATAGCTTTGAAAAAGAGAATCAGTTCTTCTTACAAGCACTGGAAGAATAGGGATATCGACTGTCCGCTTTGCACACATAAAGTGACGTTGGAAGAGTACATAAAGACTCATTCCATATCCAAACATGGTCTCAATGGAAAAACCGATTGCATTTCTTGTGGAAAACATACATTTTGCGCGAGTCTCGAAGCAAACAACAGCCGCATTGAAAAATGCTTTACCCTTCTCAAAAAAAGAATCGAAAAAACAAAAAAGTTTGCTTTATCCAAACTGACGACACTCCAATGGCTGAAACCAGTGCTGCCTCTGGAATCGATGCTCCAGAAAGCTCCGTTACCAGATTATATGACTGTATTCCATTTGATCATTCATTACTTTATCGTCGACTCAAATACCGAGACATGGAGGAGGATTCGCAACAGGCTGGATTTTATGACGACTACCCGGGCGACTGTCAAGAGTTGATAGACACTGGATCGTTTGCCGAGTTTGATGAAGAGAGCAATTTGGGTCACGAGCCCCTGGCCTTGTTTCGAATGTTTTTTTTCCGACGCTTATTCGCTCTATCATGTTTTTATTCTATCGTATGCCTTTTCTAGTTTCAGGACCCACATGTCTACTGTCTTGGAGGCCAGTTCGCTGGTCGTGTCATCCTTTTGGTGTTTGTGCGACGGTTGCTCGACCGTCCAGCCCCAGGTCATTGCGTGTCATAAACTCCATGGCCACATGATTGTGGGAGTGCGAGATCGAGCAGCCTACTTCAAAGCGTGGAAACGCATCAACCTGACTTTCGAATCCGAGCGCTATTGCAAAGGCCAGAAAGAGATCAAGTCGGCCGTGCATTTGGCCAATACCATTCACTACGTATCGTGCAAAAAATGTCAATGTTCCGGATCCCAGCAGCCGGACGTGGGGCGAAAAGGACACTTTTACATCAATCGCCCGTTGCACAAGCATGTCGTCACTTCCATGGTCCTGTTGTGGCCGACGGGCTCCATGGAATTCATCCAGCTAAAGATTCACGATCATGTAGTCATGGATTGGAAAACGGAAACCTACTGGTCATCCGGTGTGAAAAAATACCGTGCTCGACGCCTTGCCGGAGCTTCGAGAGTGTCCCGCTTCTTTGCGATGGGATTACGAACCGCATCCCGCTGGAGAACACAAACTGTACTGGACAGAGAGTAATATCATGCGCTTCCGACTCACGCAGGCAAGCTTCGAGAATCGCGTCGCGGCGATGACACATCAGATTGGATTGGACAATTCTTGGCGTCAACGCATGAAGGAAGTCTACTGCACGCTCAATAAACAACAAGACTTTGAAATGCATATTTTAGAACGCGTGCTCCAGAAACAAGGCACAGAGATGGATAAGCTCCATGCAACTATCGACGCACGGAAACGAGAAAATTAAACGCTAAAGAGCCGAGCGGCGATAAATTTTCTAAAACTTTGATTAGTAAAATGTTTATCTCATCCAGACGAGTCTATAGAAGCCCAACACGATATACCTTGATTGAAAATTTAAAATTGTACCCTGGTTGGTACAACTGAAAACAGAGGCCACCAAAATTTTTTTTCTCATCCAGACGAATCTATCGATACCTCACTCGATGTATTTTGCTTGAAACTCTTTGTGTAAAAATCTAACTCCTCTCCATGGGGCGCCTCATGAACCCGGGGGCAATCAAGATATTTTATTAATCGAGACGAATCTATCGATACCTCACATGATATATTTTGTTGGAAAGTCTTTGTTTAAAATATTAACTCCTATCCATGGGAGGTCTCATCGACCCAGGGGCAGTCAAAATATTTTAATCATCGATACGAATCTATCGATACCCCGCACGATATATTTTGTTTGAATTTTACCAAAATGTACCATGGGGGTCTGACGAACCCCCGGGTGACCAAAATATTTTACTCATCGAGACGAATCTATTGATACCCCAGACGATATATTTTGTTTGAATTTTTGCCAACTCCGCTCCATGGGGGGTCTCTTGGACCCAGGGTCGATCAAAATATTTAGCTCATCGAGACGAATCTGTTGATACCCCACAGGATATATTTTGTTTGAATTTTACCAAACTATACCATGGGGGGTCTAATGGATCCCCGGGACCACCAAAATATTTAGCTCATCGAGACGAATCTATCGATAGCCCACACGATATATTTTGCTGGAAAGTCTTTGTTTAAAATACTAACTCCGCTCAATGGGGGATCTCATGGACCCGGGGGCGATCAAAATATTTTACTCATCGAGACGAATCTATCGATACCCCACACAATATATTTTGTTTGAATTTCATAAAAATGCATCATGGGGGTCCAACGGATCCGAGGCCATTCAAATGTTGGTTCTGAGAAAAACCCAGAGCCGCTTCTGATTGGTGCAAATTATTGAAAAGTGGGTTTAAAAGGCGCTCACTCTCAGTTGGAAATCAGTCGCAGCCGCGACTGCACCTGGAGAAGAACTTTGAAAAATTCCAAGATTGATTCGACTTACCGAAGGACTTGCCGAGGACTGCCGACTGACATGCCATAGCTTTCGATACTATTTGCCGAGACAATTTAAAGTATTTGCTGTCGCTTGACTCGAGGAAGCAGTGACTTGCTAAAGATTTGCCGACTGACGTGCCGTGGCTTTCTGCATTCCTTGCCGGGACGATCTAGCAGCATTTACCGTCGCAGGAGCACATTGTAGACACGTTTTGACTCGAGGAAGCAGTTTTGAAAAATGAGCTGTGGACATGTGTCGTAACGAGATTCATCGAGGATTCACCAGGTACGTATCATTTTTATTTCAGATGGAGAATGCCAGAAGGAATATGCCAGCCATGAGATGATTCCAGAGTTCCAGCAGCAGATGGGGATTCCATTGAGCTGATATCCGCAGCTCGGAGGCCAAGCAGATGAAGACATAAAACCAGAATGATGAATACCAAAATACGAAATATCAAATTAAAAACTCTATCGTTAGCTTTAGAATGGGAGACTCTGCGGTCCAGCAGAGAGAAG